TACAACTTTTACTCAAGTAAGAGTTCTGTTACCTTATGAAAATATTACTCAAGTATGCTTCTAGAAGAGTACTCTGAACAGTAGATGATCTTTAAAATGTCTCTGTTTGTTTGTCTCTGTTGTAGCATGAGTCTGCAAGGAAATAGACATGATGGGAATACTCTGAAAATGTATTTAGTTACAGAATACTGAATACCTGCAGTTTTGTAATGTGTTCTGATACACAGTCCAATCAGAGTACTGTATTCAGAATACTTAGAATACTTTGCTTTGTGTTATATTTCAATTCTAGTGTATTAATAATACTTTCTATTTGTTTGAGTGTTTTTAACACATGGCCTATCATAACTGAAGATGGAAAACCACATGTGCCTCACCACAAGAGCACAGCTTTGTCACTGATTCTGTTCAGTGTTGAAGCCTAAATTACATGATCACATACTGTAATGTATTCTTTTCATTTTAGAAATGTAACTGTATTTTGATTACCACAAAAAGAAAAAGTACTGTAATACATACATATTCTGGTACATGTATTCAGTTAGTTCCCAGCACTGGAAATGGAACTGGAAAAGTTTGAAATTATGAGTATTGTAAATGACAAAGTAAGTGCTGCTGCTGAATATAACAGACTAAACACTTGAGTGCATCTGCGCAGAGTTACTCATGGAAACAGTGATGGGAAACAGAGGGAAGGAATATCCAACACCAGCCTGAAATAAAGGCGAGCATCTGGGCAATACTGACAAGACAGAATATCTGTGTGTTTGTGCATTATCTCAATCGAACAGTCAGATGATATTTTACCATCCAACAGGAAGTTTGTTTGAAAAAAATGTCTTGTTTGAGGTTCAAATCAAGCACAAAATATGAATGGGCCTTCAAAGTATTCACAGGTGCAGAAACATCACTTTATACACTTGTGTGGGAGAGTACACATCAGGATGCTCTGATTCTTTTTTCTGTTCTGGTACTAGTGTTGATACTATAAGTATCTGCTCATACCCGAGTAGTGATACTACAGTAACTACAGAACACCTTTGAAAAAGTAGGTCATTAATACCATGTGTGATTTTTTTTACACAATGCTCCCTATTCTAATTTTACATGTCTCCAGAACAACTGCTGTACTGTCCTTTTTCCATATATATATCTTCCACCCCAATAGTGAACTCACAGTGGACCCACAGTGGACCCACAGTGGACCCACAGTGGACCCACAGTGGACCCACAGTGGACTCACAGTGGACCCACAGTGGACCCACAGTGGACCCACAGTGGACCCACAGTGGACTCACAGTGGACCCACAGTGGACCCACAGTGGACCACAGTGGACTCACAGTGGACTCACAGTGGACCCACAGTGGACCCACAGTGGACTCACAGTGGACTCACAGTGGACCCACAGTGGACCCACAGTGGACCTGCAGCATAATAAGGATGAAAATGTAAAGAGCTTCTACCGTTTGAAAGAGGATCAAAATTTTAATTAATAGTAAAAGTAAAAGTAATTTTTTGGCCTAGGGTGTAGTGTGTGTGTGTGTGTGTGTGTGTGCTACTGTTGAAGTCAAGTCCACATGACACGAAACCAAGACCAGTCTGAGACCAGGACAAGACTGAGACCTCTGAGGGTCAAAACCGAGACAAGATGGAGACTTTTAACCCTCTCCAGGCAGGCGTTGCAGATTTACAACAGCTAAATTCCAAGTACCTACTTACTCCACATCCATATTATATGAGCTTTTTTTACTCAGGAGCCTTTTCTCCCATCCATGCTGATAAACGTGGGCAATGCAGACTGTACAAGAATGGCCACACGCAAACGGCCTGCCAGAAGTGCAAAATACTTTTTTTGTTTACAAAGGTTAAAAAAGGGAGAATTGTATATTACTACCCCATATTATAATTTTCCCCAAATATCAGATTTTTCCTGATACAAAAAATTTATTTGAGCCTGAGAGGGTTAAAGGTCGAGACCGAGACAGATACTTTGGCACGTTTATATCAATGTTTTTATAAATTCTATCTGAATAATGTTCATTTAAGCCAAGCAAACTGTGCTGCACTGAAATACTTTTTGGACCCTCACCCACAGCATGAGAACCTCTTCTTTAAGAGAACTTCCACTGGCACTTTACAGAAAACAACTTCAAAGTGAATCAAGTGGGTTTTTTCAAGTTCATATCATTTACAGTTACATTATTTTCTGGTTTTGCAGTGATATTAGCAGCCTCTGCACATGCACCAGCCATAATGAAATATGATCGCACTCGTCGAGTGTCAGACCTTGAGTGGGAGACGAGCCCACCGTACAAAAGTGGTCTCGAGGTCGGTCTCGAGACCAACAGTGGTCTCAAGTACTACGACACTAGTGTGTGCTGGTGTATAGTGTTAGATTTTGTAGCTCTGTGTGGACTGTCAAGTTTGTGAAAGCTGTGAGGTCTGTGGAGGGAGGGCCAGTTTCACATAAGTGCATGTGTTTGTGCGCGTGTGTGTGTGGTTATGTGTGTGTAGTCCCTGTGAACATGTGGAATGCGCAGAGCTGCTATTATCACAGTGCTCTGAGCAATGCCGCTGTGCTCCACAACAACACAAAGCTACACTTACCAACTCAAACCAGCAGCAGTTGTGTGGAAGATGATTCTTTAAACCATCAAAAACAGAACGAGTTCATTTGAAATAGTTTACCGTGTCCAAAGTTCTTCTTCACTTACCTTATGCATTCAGAGTATTGGAATTATTCAGTTAAAGCTCCCATCTGATGTAAAATCACTCTTTTCACATTGTATCTTCTGCACATGTACAAGCATAATTTGGGTTTTGGAACATCCATTACACAATAGTTCTGAAATCTTCCTGATTTCTTGGAGACAGTCACAGACCAGGAACTATGAAAGTCCAACTATTGCTCCTCCCCCCGCCCGTCCTGAGAAAGCACAGGCTCCGCCCTCCAAACGTGACGTAGGCGACGAGTGAGCCGCCCTTCCTCCGTCCATCTCAGGGAGGGAGGGGTAGACAGGCGTGACCCTGATAGAGGCAGGAATAAACTTTTATTCATCATGGAGATCTGTGTTGGACCCGGAATCGGACGAGGACTTTGAGGAGCACGAAGCTCAAGCACCGCGTCCACATCAGCTGAACATTACTGATTGGTAAAGTATTAATAAACACTAGTAGATCAACTTATTATATCGTGTCACTGCAGTGTAGAACAATGAGCTTATGCTGTCGCTTTTGTTTAGGTGTTCATGTGGGAATAGCTGGGTTTCACGTGACGTCACAGGGCTACGTTTGTCAGCACGCAAAATCAGGTGGAGGGCAGGAAGTGAACTGACTGGAGGAAAATGCCGATGTGTTGTGTAGTTTATGGCTGTGCCAATTGTTTTAACCGAGAGAAGGAAAAGCGATTTTTTTTAGAGTACTGAATATAGTCGTCCACAAAGGTCAGAAATGGAAAAACTGACAGAACAACGCCGTAAAAAGTGGATTACAAACCTGTTTGCGGTCGGGAGGAGCAGAATTCGCTAATGCTCGTGTCTGCAGTGACCACTTCGTCAAAGATTTGTTACAAAGCTAAATAGTTTTTTGTGGTTTACCTAAACATAAACGAATCATTAACGACTAACGGCTGACGACGTTTGTTGACATTAAGTAGGTTGAGGACCGATCCACTGACAAAAAAGTTCTATGCCTCCAAACTTTTGTACGCCTTCATCTGTTGTCTGGTGTAGAACGATGTCTGAAGAGCTAAATAGTTTGTGATCTCCTCTGCCTCGATTGTCGGCAAATCTTTTACTTCAGTTGAAAATTCTCTCATTTTCAATAAGATGGGGTCATGTCCAATATATTTGTCGACTAACTGCTCGTACTTTTGCCTTGCTACTGGCTCTAAATCCTTACAATAAGAACTCTTCTCCATATCTGTGTTCTCCAGAGCCATGTTCGTCGTGTTTGTCTTCACTTCCTGCTCTCCACCTGAAATTCGCGCATCATCGTGATCACGTGACTGAAACCCTCCTATTTCTGCTACGTCAAACATGTCATCATTGTAGCAGCTTTAGTTCTTTGTCACATGGGAGGGTGGCAGAAATACGCTGCAATTTGTAAAAAAAATCAATCTAAAAACCTCTTGGGCGACATATGCAAGGCCCACACAACACTCTTAAAAGGTAAAAAGCTCTGAAAAGTTTATTTTGCATCAGATGGGCTCTTTAAGAGTTAAGTTCCAAGTTCCATGGAGGTAAGAGCTAAGAGTTAAGTTATAAGAGTTTTACATCATGTCAAACAACTAGCATGCCAACACTGTGCTTCCTGATTATACAACAATAAAACACTTTAAAATGAGATGCAGACGGTACACAGAGGAGTTATTTTAACCACACAAACTGGTTATACAATAAAAGCATAAAATCATTCAACATGTTGTACTACCATTGAAGTAAACCACTTAAAGTATTTAGGGTGATTCGTGCATGTGTGAGTCATCTTTATTCTCCTGTGTTCAAGACGCCAAGACGTGTTCAGCTCCACTGGTACATTCCCACTGTGACGTACACTCCTGCTCCAGTTTGATTCTCTTAATGGGTGATACATGTAGGATTTTGCAGTTTCTCGTTGTCATTTTGGTACAGATTTTTCAAAATCCCCATCCTCAGGCTTGTGGTGGAGGCTGGGTCTGGTGGGGGCAATGTTCTTGTAAAGCTCTAATGTTCCTCATGATGTTCCTGGTGTTCTTGTGAAGATCTGATGTTCATTTCATACCCTCATTTTCCTATTATGCTCTGATGTTCCTCATGATGTTCCTCAGGATGTTGCTCAGAATGTTTCTCAGGATGTTGCTCAGAATGTTCCTCAGTATGTTGCTCACGATTTTCCTCAGTATGTTGCTCACGATGTTCCTCAGTATGTTGCTCACGATGTTCTTCAGGATGTTCCTCAGGATGTTGCTCAGAATGTTCCTCAGGATGTTGCTCATGATGTTCCTGGTGTTGTTTTTCAGGAGAGGATGTTGAGTCAAAGCGGAGGTAGTGCCAGAAGCAGAGATGTACTGGGCTTGCGCTGTCTGCCAGGTACAGCACCCACAGAGCACCCACAGAGCACCCATACTGCACCCACAAGGCATGCATAAATCCCATTTTCACTCTCACAACTACAGTAGCCATGACACTGATCTGGTTCATGTTACGACAGAACTGGGAACACGGTCCCCACTGAACAGTTCACAAAACATGGGTCCAAACGACGCAACTCTCCGACACAGGATCACATCTTTGAGGAACTCTTTATTAGAGCCCGACCGATATGGATTTTGTTGTGGCCGATATGAAACTGATATAATGGGAGTTGGCGCTGCCGATAGCCGATATAATCGCCGATATATTTAGTGATGTAAAAATTCACTGTAAATCTTGAATTGTTTAAAAAACTTAGGTTTGGCTCTAGTGGATTCTAAATTGGGTTTATTTAGGCAACATTTATTGTTATTCTGACTCTTTACATCATATTTACATACAGTAGATTGGTCTAATGGCATTTTTGCATCACATTCTAGCTACTAGTGATGGGTATTCCATTTTTTTTTTTGGAGAACCGGCTTTTTTGGCTCGGCTCACTAAAGCAGCTGGCTCTTTCGGCTCCCAAGCGACTCTTGATTGTTTTGTTGCAAGCAGGACTAAACCAAAACTGAACCAGGACTGAAAAAGGACTAAACCAGGACTAAAACAGATTTAAACCATGTGTAAAACAGGACTAAACCAGAACTGAACCAGGACTGAGTGTCGGGACTCGGTCTCTATCTCTCTCTTGAGCCCAAGATTAGTCCTGCTTTATTCATTTTATGCTGAACTGCAGCCAAATATGCACCTTTTTTTAAATCCTATGCACACGCATATTTCTGAAAGTTTCGTTTTCAGCCGCTGCTGCTGTCAAACTACGGGTCTACAAGCGGCTTGAAGAGAAAAAGTGAGAAAAAGAGAAAACACGGCTCCCAATAAGAAGCAGGCTCCCGTCGTTCACTTCAAAGAGCCGGCTCTAAGAGCCTCTTCGACCACGACCGACCCATAACTCATAGCTAGTAAAGAAACTACCGCTATTAGCCTTTAGCCGTAAAAACGTGCCCCACGGTAATTAATTATATGCATAAATGTGGATCATTCACACTATTCACAGCTCATTTACATATCAATGCTGGTCCAGTAACAAATATTCGGCCAATACAGTCACTTTACAATAGGCCAATAGAAAACAGTCTGTTTATGTGCGGGAGCTACAGCAGCTAATCGCTAACAGATAACCAAAACTAGCTTCAAAGTCGATGTATTTCCAACACTCACCACTCACACAGGCTCCTCCTCACATCACAAGTCTGCACTAATAAAAGTCCTTAATCCAGACTCAAACCGATTGTGCGTAAAAAGAAAATAATCTCAGTGTTGCGCACCGCTGCGGGTGTAAACAAACACACGTGAGTGAAGTGACGTGACTCTGTGGTGTGTTCAGGGACAGTACGGACACAAATTACATTACATTACGCAAATAAATACTGATGCGGAGCCACATATTAGGACATTTATCTGTCTATAAATTGGATTAAATGAACATAATGTAGAGAGTCTAAGCTTTATAACGAGGTATAACATGCCCATGTGAAATATCGGCCCATATCAGCAAGCATATCGGCCGATTACCGATATGTCTCCAGGTGCCCATATATATATCGGTCGGGCTCTACTCTTTATTATGAGTCTGTCTACATCTCCAAAGCTCCAAGCGCTCTGTTCCAACTTCTGATGTCATAAAGCAGTAGTTTTCAAGTTAACAGCTCTTTTTACATTTAGTTCAGTTTAGTAGATTGATTCTAGTGGAGTTTTATGGAGTTTTAAAACACAGTGGACCTTTTTAGGGTTTGTGTGTTAAACATGTGAATGAAACAAAACACAACCCCAGGTCTGTTTGTTAGGAACATTATAATCCATCCAGGGGTCACACATACAGGTGGGAGGGGTCACATATACGGGTGGGAGGGGGTCACACATACAGGTGGGAGGGGGTCACATATACGGGTGGGAGGGGGTCACACATACAGGTGGGAGGGGGTCACACATACAGGTGGGAGGGGGTCACACATACAGGTGGGAGGGGGTCACACACGGGGGTGGGAGGGGGTCACAGTGAGCTGTCCATCAGGGTGACAGTGGACAGAGGGACAGTGGGCAGTGACAGGAGGACTTGTCTTGTGTTTAATAGGCTCAGGTTGCACTGGGCTCCACAGGGTCAGGTGATTCTCTTATGTATAAATCATCAGCCATATCCAAATTTCACCTTCATCCAGTTGTCCGTTTGACTGTTCTCTCTGTAAAGCCCATAGACTATATATATATATATATATATATATATATATATATATATATATATATATATATATATATATAAAACACATAGCACATAACCCCAATCCTTGCATCTTTGCACTGGCTCCCTGTTAATTTTAGAATAGATTTTATTGTTTATTTTTAAAGCTTTGAATGGACTGGCTCCACTGTACATCTCGGACCTCATCCAAATTTATATCCCTGCGCGTGCTCTGAGGTCTGAGGTCCAGCTCCAGCTAGGGTGCCTAAAATGAGACTTAAAACCAGAGGGGACAGGGCTTTCTCTGTGGTCGGCCCTAAACTCTGGAACGATCTGCCGCTTTACGTTCGAGCAGCACCCACAGTGGAGAGTTTTAAATCTCGTCTGAAGACCCACTTTTATTCTCTGACTTTTAACACCGTGTGAGTTGTGTGGTCCTCTGTGTCTTTTATTTATTTTTATGTGTTTTTATTGGTTTTACTGATTTAATTTATTTATTGGTTTATTTATTTCTATTCTATGATATAGTTTTATTTTTATTTTACTGGTTTTATTACTTTAAGACTAGTATTATTTTAGTAGTTTATTTTATCATCTTATTGTTGTTATTTTTGATGTATTTGTGCAGCACTTTGGAAACAGTCTGTTTGTGAAATGTGCTATATAAATAAAGTGGATTGGATATATATATATATATTTATATATATATATATATATATATAAAGGAAGGGGGGCCGAGGACTAGTGAGTGTGGGAACCACTGTCCAGGATGAAACATCCAAGCTCCTTGAGTACATCAAGGACAAGGCCCCGGCAGATGAGGTGCTCAGAGAATGTCTCAGACAGTGGGGTCCAGAGGAAGAGGTGCTGGAGGGACCATCATGGCAGGACAAACCCCTACATGGGGCGTACCACCGGAACATAACTGAAGTGGCTGATATCAAGAAATCCTACCAATGGCTTGAGAGGGCTGGTCTGAAGGACAGCACAGAGAGGCACTGATCCTGGCTGCTCAGGAGCAGGCCCTGGGCACTCGAGCAATAGAGGCCCAGATCTACCACACCAGACAAGACCCACGGTGTAGACTGTGCAAAGAGGCTCCTGAGACAGTCCAGCACATAACTGCAGGGTGTAAGATGCTGGCAGGGAAAGCATACATGGAGCGACATAACCAAGTGGCGGGCATAGTGTACAGAAACATCTGTGCAGAGTACGGGCTGGAGACCCCAGGATCAAGGTGGGAAACACCTCCAAAGGTTGTGGAGAATGACTGAGCCAAGATCCTGTGGGACTTTCAGATACAGACTGACAGAATGGTGATGGCGAACCAACCAGACATAGTGGTGGTGGATAAGAAACAGAGCAGAGCCGTGGTGGTTGACATCGCAATACCAAGCAATGGTAATATCAGGAAAAAGGAACACGAGAAGCTAGAGAAATACCAGGGGCTCAAGGAAGAGCTGGAGAGAGCCTGGAAAGTAAAGGCATCAGTGGTGCCTGTGGTGATCGGAGCACTCGGGGCTGTAACCCCCAAACTGGAAGAGTGGCTACAACAGATACCGGGAAAAACAACGGACATCTCAGTCCAGAAAAGTGCAGTACTGGGAACAGCAAAAATACTGCGCAGAACTCTCAAGCTCCCAGGCCTCTGGTAGAGGACCCGAGCTGAATGAGGGTGAGAGACCAACCACCGTGGAAGGTGAGAAACACATTTTTATATATATATATATATATATATATATATATATATATATATGAACATAGCTGCAAACCGTGCTAACCGTCTTGTACCAAACAGGAAGTGAGCATTGGGACACATCCGGCTCCACTGACTGGCTCCATTTGACTTTACATTGTAAAACTGTCCCCATCTCTTTTAACCTGCACGTTACAAACATGCTATGTTACTGTTATTTACTCTTCACATCATGACTGAACTGCTTCATATGAAGAAAAGTTCATGAGATGTTCTGATTAGCCTGTAAATAGTCTTATTACAAACTCATTAAAGCCCAAGTACCTGAACTCACTGTGGTAAATAATGAGGTAAATGAGGAATAACTTTGGACCACTGCAAATGAACCTGCTCTGTTTTCCCCGTCTTGAAGCTCTTGGGGTGTGACCAGGCTCAGGAGGCCACATGAGTTACAACTGAACGCGGAGGACAGGAGAATGGACAGGACAAGGAAACAGTTGAGCAGTGGACATAAGAGAGTGAAAGAGCAGTGGAGAGTAGAGAGGAAACAGGAAAGAAGAGACAGGAAAGAGGAGAGTGGGGACAGGAGAGAGGAGACAGGAAAGTGGAGATGGAAGAGAGGAGACAGGAAAGTGGAGATGGAAGAGAGGAGACAGGAGAGGAGATGGAGAGAGGGGACACGAGAGAGGAGACAGGAGAGTGGAGACAGGAGAAAGGGGACAGGAGAGGAGATGGAGAGTGGGGATAGGAGAGTGGAGACAAGAGCGAGGAGACAGGAGAGTGGAGAGGAGACAGGAGAGTGGAGACAAGAGCGAGGAGACAGGAGAGTGGAGACAAGAGCGAGGAGACAGGAGAGTGGAGACAAGAGCGAGGAGACAGGAGAGTGGAGACAAGAGCGAGGAGACAGGAGAGTGGAGACAAGAGCGAGGAGACAGGAGAGTGGAGACAAGAGCGAGGAGACAGGAGAGTGGAGACAAGAGCGAGGAGCAAAAGAGCTTAGTGAGAGTGAAACAGAGCGGCACATGAAAGTTGCATGGACGTGTCGGAGCCCTGACCTCCGGCTGACCTGTTCATCGGACAGTCATGAGCTTGCTCACAGGCGCCCCCTGCTGGAGACGTCCACTGCTGCAGTCAGGAGAGAAACAGGGAATACTATACTTTTACTCTTCCGTGAGTAATATATTATAGAGTGTAACAGTACTCTTACTTGAGTAAAAGTTGTGCTTCCTCTTCTCACTGTGAGTAATTCTACAAGTAACAAAAGCTTTATGTTTTTCTCAGATTAAAATACCAAATGTTGTGCATTATTTAATGTTTTGTCCTTCCATTTACACAAAATATAAATTGGATGCTCTTTAAAGCAGACCTATTCTGCAAAATGCTAATTAAACATATTGTAGTTGCTTCTAACCATTTACTTTCCTGACGTTGTATTTGGAGTGATTCGTGCATGTGTGAGCCATCTTTATTTTCAGGATATATTGCCCATCAACTCCCATTTTCCCCTCCACTGGTACACGCCCACTGTGACCTACTCACTCCCTTCTCTGGCAGCAACTCCAGGTCATTTTTGTAAAAATGTTAGAAAAACCCTTTGCTCTAGTGTGATGTGCAGATGCCCACAGGAGGGGCCCACAGGAGGGGCCCACAGCCTGCAGCGCTTTGTTGTCATGACGTTTACAGCGACATCAGCTCCAGTGGACACCAGAGTTTTCGAACGCAGAAGTCAGCGCACTTGTTTCTTTTATGAAGTCATTTTAGTTCAATATTGTGACTTAAAATGTGTCAATTATAACAGAATGATCCACGGGGTTCAGTGACAGATAGAAATAGAGCACACACAAGCACAAGCAACAACAAGAATAGTGTTTTCATCATGTACTTTTTTACTCTTCCTTGAGTAATTTTTTGAACCACTACTTTGTACTTCTACTTGAGTAATATTATTTTGAAGTAATGTTACTTTGACTTGACCAAAATGTTTGGCTCCTCTCCCACCACTGGCAGACAGTTACTCTGACATTTAGTGAGTAGTTTGTATGAATTCATTCATTACCACAGATTGATAGTGACTGGGCGAACCAAACCCTTGATGAACCATTGTATATCTTGTAATGTGAGGAGGACTGTGTTGGCGGACACAGTTGCCATGGAAACCTTGCCTCCCGTTGCCGGGTGATGGAGTGTGATGTCTGTGGAAAAGTGGAGGTGTGAGCTGATGCGCTGCAGCAGACACCTCCACAGCCCTGGCCAGAAGCACAGAAACAAGGATTTTTAAGGACAGTTTCTTTCAGTTTTCGTCTTTTGTAGCAGATGGCAGCTGTTTTCCCATGATTCTTTGTAAAAATGTGCCTGATTGGACAATGAAAGTTTAACCCTGTCTGTATCTTAACTACCTAAGAAAAAGCTACGTAAAATGAACAGAATATATGTAGCAGTTTCAGGGTCAGAAAACAGTGAGCAGCGAGGAGTCAGTGCTGTTTGAATATGTACAATTCTCAGCCCCCAAAGGCTAAAATGAGTGAACTGTGGTTCTTCCAAATGCCAATGCTCCTACTCCATGTCACCATCGAACGGAATCCTGACTGAAAACATACATTTAAAATCATATCACTTTCACAATACTTATCAGAGTAGTAGTAGTAGTAGGAGGAGGTAATCACCCTGAGGAGCACTTATTTTTACTATTTTCACTGTCCCTGTCCTCCATGGTCCCGAGTGTCCCTGTCCTCCATGGTCCCGAGTGTCCCTGTCCTCCATGGTCCCGAGTGTCCCTGTCCTCCATGGTCCCGAGTGTCCCTGTCCTCCATGGTCCCGAGTGTCCCTGTCCTCCATGGTCCCGAGTGTCCCTGTCCTCCATGGTCCCGAGTGTCCCTGTCCTCCATGGTCCCGACTGTCGCTGTCCTCCATGGTCCCGACTGTCCCTGTCCTCCATGGTCCCGACTGTCCCTGTCCTCCATGGTCCCGACTGTCCCTGTCCTCCATGGTCCTGACTGTCCCTGTCTGCTGTGTCCCCAGGCGAGTGTGTCCTCCAGAGGGTCCTGATGGTGAGGAAGAAGCTGACATCCAGAGAGGGGCGGGGCTGGCTCTCTGGGACCCTGTTCTGCACTCACTTCAGGGTGGCCTTTGTGCCCCAGGACGCCGCCGCCCCCCCAGTGAGTACCCCCACACGTCCTCTCACAGCCTCTTTCTGTGGGGAGCAGTACCACAAAGTCTCAACTCAAGTGATTTTTTTGTTTTAGTTGAGTCAGTTTTGGTTCAATATATATTGTTTCAGTGGAGGTTTAGTCAAACAGGAATCATATACGTTTTTAAGAAGTCTACAATCTTCTGAAACAAACTGAAATGATCACAAAGAGTCCAGTGAAGCTGTAGCATATTTTGGAATCTGAGCCGGCACAAGATACAAATATGTTTTTATGAGGAGAATTACATCATGGTTAAAATTCTAGTTTAAAAAAATGGGCATGTACAAAGTATTTGAATAAATTAGAATATAATGTGTTTCACTGAAATGTGAGTTAGTCAGTTTTCAGAGGGAGTCACCAGGACAATGTTTTTATGTCTCAGGGGTCCAGTGGTCTCATAAAAGTTTCTGTGGTGTTTTTACTAAAAGTGTACATAAAAACAAAACACAACTCTCAGCTGTTTGGACCGGACCAATCATTTTCAGGAAATAGTTGTCACGTACATGACATTTGCGTGCTTTTTAAATGAGACTCAAGATGACTACCTCTGACCTTGTTGGACTATGGACACCTGGACAAAAGAGGGATTACACTGAGTGCGGGACATATTGACAAAAGTCTGATCTCTTGTTATAGATTCAGCCAATACAGTTTACAAAAGCAGTTGTTGTCAGCTTTCATTCAGATATTGGAAGTGTCTTAAGTGGAAAATAATATGATGAAATGACTGATAAAATATACAAAATGTGTGTGTTTTCCAGGACAATGCAGACCCGGTGCTACTGGGGGACCATGATGTGGCTTTGGCCTCCATAGAGAAGGTGGTTGTGGGTAAGTCCTTCAGAGGGAGGACAGTGTATTCTTATTATAGATCCATGTTTGTGATGGACAGATGGAGCACTGTGAACTTTGAGGAGACCAACAGGAGGTGCAGAGAAACAGCAGCTCCTGTCCTGCTTCCTCCTGTCTGTAACATCCTAAAACACACACATTCTCCTTATGTCTCTCATTTTATCTGGTATCTAAAGTGTTGCCGGGTGGTTCTTGTCCTTAAGTATTTTTGACCTGGTGCTGAGTTGTGTTAGATGACCCTGGGCTCTCATGCACATGTCTGACCGTCTCCCGTCTCTGTCAGTGGGGCCGAACCGGACCAAGCTGGTGACCCCCACGTCCTCCCTGAAGTTCACCCCAGAGGAGCTCCTGCTGTACTGCCGAGACATGCGCGTGGTGTGTTTGTTGTTTGACCGGCTCACCCCCGACTCCCAGGTCCTGCAGGTCAGTCCCACTCTGGTCCTCCAGGTCCTTTTAGCTCAGATCTTCTATGTCAGTCCCTTTAAATCCTCTAGATTAGTCCCCCTCCAGTCCTCCAGGTCAGTCCCCCTCAGGTCCTCCAACTCAGGTCTTCAACTCAGGTTCTACAGCTCAAGTCCTCCAGGTTAGGCCATTCAGGTCAGTATCAGGTCATCCAGATTAGTCCCTCTCAAGCCATACCTCTGCTCCTCCAGCTCAAGTCCTCAGCTCAGGTCCTCAGCTCAGGTCCTCAGCTCAGACACAAAGATCATGTTACCTTGCCTACACTTGCAGTGATGCATTTTTGTAGAAGGTGGACTGCTTTACACTTTTGGGATTACAGGGATTGGGATTTTGAACATGTGACTCTGCTCCCTCAGATGACCTACACCATCGCAAAGACCTACCAGCCCCTGAAGCCTGGGTCAGTCCTGTCCTTCCAGAACACAGCGCTCGGCAGTGTGGGTATGTACAGCGGTCTTCCCGATTACAAAGGATATGATCGACAGGCAGATTAACCAATCAGTGAGACGCATGTTCTGTTCAGGTAGAAAAAAAAGAAAAATAGGTGATTTACGTTACACAAAAAAAAAACCCCAAAAAACAACAACATAGTGACAGGACTGAGAAACTGCAGATTTCTGTTGAATCAACAACTGAAGTACCAACTGATGGAGGAAAACCCCACCCAGACTTAAGGAGACAGGCCACACATGGAAACCACTGGAAATGCTTATCACTGTAATGGGTTTGACACAGGAAATCCAGGCTGCAAATGTATACAACCCTCTGTGTCAGTGCTGCTTTTTCTGGGAAGTTTGAACCAGATATCCTCCAGTTTATGACCAACACTGGACACACACTGCGCCATGCTGCATCTACAGAGTTCCCACATGGCCTGGAAATCTTGGAAAACCTGGAAAATAATTGGCCTTGATTAGGAAAAAAGTCTTGGAAAATATAGATTTTGTCCTTGAAAATGTTTCCATCCTTTGCAGTGCTGTATTATTAGATACGTAACAGAGACTGCACTCACAGTAAAACAGGGCAGTTGGGAGAGAAAACCCACTAAAATGCAGGAAATAACCCTTCTTTTGGGCAAAATTTCTTGGAGGAGCACCATCAGTACCCCTATACTTTTTTTTTTATTAACTGCTGTAGGCATGATCTTACTGTCACACATAGGCAGCCTTAATTTTCAGTTTTATAAGCACAACCATAGGACAACAGGAGCTCACATGAGAACAATGCATATTCAACACTCAATACTTTGTTTTATTTTATTAACATGTTTAAACATGTTAAAAGTGCTGGAAAATTATTTCAAGTGAAGTGTGGGTCCAGTTCACCATGTGCGTATGAGCTGACAGGGTGATGTTGTGGTGCAGAGATGAAGCAGTTCCTGAGTAATCGCAGCAGGGACCCTCACATGAACTGGTTTGAGTGTGCTCAGGACTGGGAGCATGAGCTGGAGCGCTGTGGAGCTGTGGGCTGGAGGGTCAGTGCAGTCAACGAACGCTTTGAGATGGCCACCAGGTAAGTCCCTCGGTGCCTAAGGACAGAGTCTTATAAAGACCACCAGGTCACCCCTAGTTTTATCATAGCTGACTGTTTGGGCTGCACTCTGTTGCTGTGATGGGTCTGCTCATCTTATTTTGGTGCAGTCTTGGAGCAGTAGTCTGCCCTGGACTGGGCTGATGTGTAAGGTCATAGGCACAAAGCAAACATGGAACAAACCTACGTGAAATGCACATGCATGTATCTGTGGCTCTCCACGTTCAATATGTGGTCCTCAGTGAAAAAAAACTTTGGACACCCTTGATCTAAAGTAAGCATGATCCCAAACAGCTGAGTGGAGTGTGTGGTGTGATGTCCCTTTTCCTGTGTGTGTGCTGCAGTCTGCCTCGTTTTGTGGTCGTGCCACAGAGGGTCCTGGACACAGAGTTGAAGAAGAGCTTCGCTCACTTCAGTGAGGGCCGTATCCCGGTGAGTGCACACTGCCTGTGACTGCCAGTGTGCTCTGCTCATACCTGTTCTCATGTTCTCACACCTGTTCTCATGTTCTCACACCTGTTCTCACACCTGTTCTCATGTTCTCACAGCTGTTCTCACACCTGTTCTCATGTTCTCACACCTGTTCTCACACCTGTTCTCACACCTGTTCTCATGTTCTCACAGCTGTTCTCACACCTGTTCTCACACCTGTTCTCACACCTGTTCTCATGTTCTCACACCTGTTCTCACACCTGTTCTCATGTTCTCACACATGTTCTCATGTTCTCACAGCTGTTCTCACACCTGTTCTCATGTTCTCACACCTGTTCTCATGTTCTCACAGCTGTTCTCACACCTGTTCTCATGTTCTCACACCTGTTCTCACACCTGTTCTCATGTTCTCACACCTGTTCTCACACCTGTTCTCACACCTGTTCTCACCTGTTCTCACACCTGTTCTCACACCTGTTCTCATGTTCTCACACCTGTTCTCACACCTGTTCTCACACCTGTGCTCTCACACCTGTTCTCACACCTGTTCTCACACCTGTTCTCATGTTCTCACACCTGTTCTCACACCTGTTCTCATGTTCTCACACCTGTTCTCACACCTGTTCTCACACCTGTTCTCACACCTGTTCTCATGTTCTCACACCTGTTCTCACACCTGTTCTCATGTTCTCACACATGTTCTCACACCTGTTCTCACACCTGTTCTCATGTGCTCACACCTGTTCTCACACCTGTTCTCATGTTCTCACACATGTTCTCACACATGTTCTCACACCTGTTCTCACACCTGTTCTCATGTTCTCACACATGTTCTCACACCTGTTCTCATGTTCTCACACATGTTCTCACACCTGTTCTCACACCTGTTCTCATGTTCTCACACATGTTCTCACACATGTTCTCACACCTGTTCTCACACCTGTTCTCATGTTCTCACACATGTTCTCACACCTGTTCTCATGTTCTCACACATGTTCTCACACCTGTTCTCACACCTGTTCTCATGTTCTCACACATGTTCTCACACATGTTCTCACACCTGTTCTCACACCTGTTCTCATGTTCTCACACATGTTCTCACACCTGTTCTGTTTCACACCTGTTCTCATGTTCTCACACCTGTTCTCACACCTCTCTCCATGATGTGTTTCCTGTAGCGTTGGAGCTGGAGACACCCACGAGGCGCTGACCTTCTGCGAATGTCCAGCTTCCAAAACAACATCTACCACGAGAAGGATGACATACGGTACTGCCCCTCCACGATACACCTATACACTGCTCTAGTACTGCACACCACTAGTACTGTACACAGCTCTCTCCTAAGTCTGTCCCAGTACACCCCACCTGACTACAGTCATGTAACACAATGAGGGGATGGGAGGATGTGCATCAGAAGGGTACAGACACCCTTTTCTTTAGGTTCTTACGTAAGAAGAGGTCTCAGTTTGACAGTGTGTTAGACTCAGGCAATGAAAGTCAAATTTTAGGACTCCAATACTTGAATATTATAGGACTCAGGTACTCCAAGACTCAAGTATTCTTGGACTCTTGTGGTCTGGGACTTGTGTTCTCTGGCACTTTTATATTCTAGGACTTGTGTACTCTGGAACTCGTGTACTCTGGGACTCATGTACACTGGGACTCGTGTACTCTGGAACTAGTGTACTCTGGGATTCATATACTTTAGAACTTGTGTACTCTGGGACTCGAGTACTCTGGCACTCGAGTATTCTTGGACACATGTACTCTGGGACTGAGGTAGTCTAGGATTCATGTACTTTGGGACTTGTGTACTCTGGGACTTGTGTACTCTAGGACTCGTTTACACTGGGATTCGTATATTTTGGGACTTGTGTACTCTATGACTCGAGTATTCTTGGACTCATGTACTCTGAGACTGAGGTAGTCTAGGATTCATGTACTTTGGGACTTGTGTACTCTGGGACTCGTGTACTCTGGGACTCGTGTACTCTGGGACTCGTGTACTCTGGGACTTGGGATACTCTAGGACTCGTTTAGGATTCATTTGTTATAGCATTTAGGGTGTTGACTGTGATGTATTGCAGGAACCTGGAGCTGATCCTGTTTGGGGGCCACTCGTCCCTGTGTGTGGTGGTGGAGCTGGGGGAGGAGCTTCCCTCGCCGCTGGACATCCAGCTGGCACACAGCCGTCTGCGGGCGCTGTGCCTAGGAGGTCAGCCCACTGCACCAAAACTCACCAGGCTTTCACCGCACACAGGCCCTCTGCTCTCACTGTACAAACAGTGAAGTGAGTCATGTCTGCGCTGTCAGAATCTACACATGGACACAGGAGGAGAGCAGAAACCCACAACATAAAGCAAGTGGAGAAATGAATCTTGTCACAGTCACTGCAGTGTGGAGCTGAACATTGTTTCGCATCCTGAAGTACACTATGAATTCATTTTTCTTGAGACGCAGTGGAGCGCTTGGGGACCAGACTGATATCTGTATAACAAATGCAGAGACATAGCCAGTCAAGGTCTTGTGGTCACTAGTTAGAAAAATGAATGAGAAATATACTTCTGGAACCAGGAGCAGGCAGTCACTGTTGGGCTCCATTGACTTCATTCCACCCTGCCCACTTTAGCCTCTAAACACACTAAACTGCACTTTCTTTGTAAACCAAGAGACAAGAAGGCTGAGCTTGTGTGAGTGTGTAAAGGGCTCTAATATAATCATGATCAAATCAGAAAAACAAACTAAAATAATAGGTTAGTATGCACCCACAACTGAACCCAACTGAGTATCGTGCTGAACTCTATGACAGACATTGTTAAAGTGAGTGGACAATCCAAATACTGCTGTTTATTCAGATATTCAGAGATAAAAGGATGTAACTTACTAACTCAACTAATGGGACATTGTGTTCTGTCCCTGTGTTGCAGATGTGTCCAGCTCAGTGTCGGTGCCTGATGATAAATGGCTGTCCACTCTGGAGAGCACCCACTGGCTTCACTACACCAGGTAACCCACTACACCAGGTAACCCACTACACCAGGTAACCCACTACACCAGGTAACCCAATACACAATAACCCACTACTCGTGTCTCCTCTTGTGAAAATTCTATCTTGTTCCACCCCTAGACATTCCATGTCCCAGTTAGAACAGATGTATTTGTCTTGAGAGCTGTTGCTGTACTGTGTGCAGGTTGTGTCTGAGGAAAGCGTCTGAGGTGTGCTGTCTGCTGCGGAGCGGGCACCTGACTGTGGCTCTGCAGGGTGAGAGACCTGCTCCTTTGGACTTCCCCATGCCCCAGCATCTACCCTGCACTTCCACCAACACACAGCAGAGGGCCACACACACGATTTTTTTCCCTACCTCCATGGGGCAATATGCTCCTGCTGCCTGACTTTTACTATAAAAAACAACTACTACTAAACTAGTGTATTATTGCACTGATAAATGACTATTTATCAGAGTCAGATCACATTTTGTACATACAGATACAATACAATACAGCACAATACTACAGAGCTTTTACAGAGAATAAAGCTTCACAGGGACACAGGGAGGGACATTTTAGAACATGCATGCTTTTAAAGAGAGACTTTGTAACTTTTCTAGTGAAGGGTCCACTGCCTGCTTGTCTCCATGGAGATGTTATGGCTTTGTCTGAAATGTTCCACACTACAGTGCTGAACATGTTGATCTCCATGGAGACAAGCAGGTGATTCCACTAAGTTCCAGGTCAGATCTGTGGAAAGTTGACCACAGACTATGCTGTGTTCACAACAGGAAGGTATTTTGGTGAAATTAACACACTTGTGGCACGGTGGCTGAGTGGCTAGCATTCATGACAGCAAGAAGGTTCTGGGTTCGATCCCCGGGTCGCCCAGGCCTTTCTGTGTGGAGTTTGCATGTTTCTCCCTGTGTCTGGATGGGTTTCCTCTGGGTGCTCTGGTTTCCCCCATCAACCCAAAACATGCTCCAGGTCTCCAGAACAGTTGATAGTCAAGGTCAATTAAATACAATCAATCAATGAACTTGTCCAGAGATGACAGGAGGAAATTAAAAACACTGGAGGAAACACTGGTGTTAGTGGCTAGACATTTCACCCACATTGCCTAGTATGAAAGGTGTGTGGTTGGAGGGACCAATGGTGCCGATTGGCATGGCAGCTGTGCTTCTGTCAGTCTGCCCCAGGGCAGCTGTGGCTACAACAGTAGCTTACCATCATCAGGTATAGAGTGAATGAATAATGCTGAATGTAATGCTCTGTAAAGTGTCTTTGTGAAAAGCACTATATAAATAAAGACTTACTTACTTCTAATCAAATAAGATGAGTAGAATGCCAAAGTGTTTAAGTTAGAGTAGAGTGTGTCTGTCTCACCAGTGTGTGTTTGTGCTGTTGTGTGATGCAGAGGTGGAGGACAGGGACATGGGCTGCCTGGTCTCCTCCCTGGTGCAGCTCATGTGTGACCCTCACAGCCGCTCTCAAAAGGGCTTCCAGGGCCTGATGCAGAAGGAGTGGGTGAGCGGGGGCCACCGCTTCTGCAGCCGACTCAACTACCACCGGGACAGTGACAAGGATGAGGTCAGGCCAGCACACACACAGTTGCTTTTAAGTCCCATTCACACATGGCTCCCAGTAAAGTGCCAGGTATAAAGTGGTAGAACAGTCAGCAGGCAGTAGTTCCCGAACATTAGCAGGTCCGCTCTGCTCACACATATCCTGACACCTGTGCACTCTCACATGCTGCTGCATTACAGTGCTGCGGACAGTGTGTAACCTTTTGGAGGTTGTATGTCACCTGCATGGCTCCATGGAAACAGACAGTTAAAACCATATTTTGGAACATTCTCCATAGAGATAGATAAGTTTATACCATAATGTGGAAAGTCATAGTCTAAGGAATAGTATTTACATGGAAAAAAGCTGGAGGAAACCCTCCTCCAGGGCAAATAGTTCGCTTTGTGGAGATGCTGTAGGGACACATGTTTTCAGTGCTTAAAAACATCCACGATGAGAAAACATTCTTATATTTTATTTTTTATTTTTTGTCAAAAAGTTACATATTACAGAATTTATATGACAATGGAATGTAATGACTAGTGTAACCAGGACACCATGCTGGTAACCAAGGAAACCAAGCAATGGTCCTGGCGCTGTCCTAGTTTATTCACAATTTTAGTCATCTATAACACTGTATGACACGCAGAGAGGCTCTGAATACTACATCTGATTTATAATTTAAAGTTAATGTAATTTGAAGGGCAAAACATGAACATAATGCCAGACCACAAATTAAATCAGATCTGAAGGAGCTCTGAGACACAGACGTTCAAATCTTTTTGTTGTCCACATAAAGCTTTTGTCACTCTAGACTTACTCACAGTGGGAAGAGTAACAACTTTTACTTAACTAAGAGTATTGTTACATTGTACTATATTACTCAAGTAAGAGTATTGAGACAGTATATTATAAGTATAAGCAGGAGTAAAAGGAGCCTGATTTCTGACACCTCTCTTCAGCACACTCAAACCAAAGTATTGCCTTTTTCTTTTGCCAGTCTCCGGTGTTCTTGCTCTTCCTGGACTGTGTGTGGCAGCTGTGGGCACAGTTCCCGTCTCACTTCCAGCTCACAGAGGACTTCCTGCTGGCGCTCCATGACAGTGTGCACTTGCCTCTCTTCTCCACCTTCCTGTCCAACTCCCAGAGAGAGCGGCTCAAGAGGACTCAGGTACTGCTCGCACCAGCTCCACCGCTGCTACAGACACAGCTGGTCATATCATGATGTAGCATCCATTACGGGTTATTCACCCAATCACTGTGACATCACACTTGGGGTGTACTGCATAGATGTTCAGAAACAGAATGTCAGCAGTTACCATGTTGACACAAAGCTCAGATTAGCAAACAGTGTAAAGTAAGTTGATCTGTCTTAAAAATAAAGAAAAAAAGCGCAATAGTGATTTAAACAGCACATTCTCAGGAGCCTGTGATCAGTTCATGGTCCAGTTTAAGCGTTTGATTTTCAACAAAAAGGTGAGAGAGACTAACTGAACTGACATATTTAACAGCACAAATTAGCTCAAATGTCCAGCTAGCTCCAGTTCTTTGTGGTCAGACTGTGTTAAAAGCTCAAATTAAAGTCTATTTGAGTAACAGAGCTATAGACAGAGCAGTACTTTCAGTCAGCATCACACCCCATGGAATGTTGATGATGACATCAGCTGCAAAGTACCAATTCAGAAAGTTGACATTTGCAACAGTTTAGCAACAGCGCCAGTGATTATTGTCTGTCTAAAACTGCAATATCCATTATGTTGCTTTATTCACAGCACGTTGGACAGTCGTACACCCGGGTAGAGGGCTGGAGGGACCTGACGTTTGACCCGGGGGACAGCTGTGACCCCCCACTGCCCCCCGTCTGGGACTGGGACCTTCAGTACAGTAAGGAGCGGCAGGCAGCGTTCACCCAGCCTGTGGCCTGCCCTGCTCCGGTCCAACCCCTGCTCAATGGAAACCTCAACTCAGGCGCGGACACACTGCGGGTGCGGCTCATGGCACCATTTCATCCTTTAGTGCAGTTTAAACGTACACTGATTTGTGAGTCTGGAGGTGTGACACTTGTGCTGATAGAGGATTGATGTTTTTCATAAACCTGCACTAACTTACCCACCCCAGAGGTTGGCGCTAGAGGGATGATCAGGAGGGACACACCGCTTTGATTGGTCATTCAAAGTGATGTTTAAGAACAGTCCTAACGATGAGGGTTTGTTATTGTTAAAGTTATTATTATGTCTAAGATTCCCTCCACAGACTGTATAAAGTCAAACAGGTAATGGGGAGAAGCTGTGCGTGACCCCCAGAGCTCAGGACTGCTGCAGTACAGTGTACAGGAACTTGCTGCTGTGGGAATGAGACACTCTTCTGACAGGCTTCTCTTGTTTTTCTCCAGATCACAGACACCATCCCCGGTTCTGTATTCCTCCTGTCTCGAGGCAGCTTCACCTGCCCGCCCCACCTGCCCCCTTGGCGCAGTGGTAATGGCTCAGGTGTGTACCGGAAGAGCCATAGGAGGGCGCTGTCCTCGGAGCAGGTGCCAGGGCTGGAGCGGCTGCTGAAGGCCTGGGCTCTGGCTGAATTCCCACACAGTCTCAACACACACTTGGGGCCCCAGGGGCCCTTGGACCCCTATGAACCACTGCTGCCGCTGCTGATGGGCCCCTGCATGGGCCTGTGGAGGCAGTGTTACCTGAGGGGGGCCATTCATGCACAGGTATGTGGAGCAGGCAGGTACTGAGTGTAAGAAAATACACATTTGATTTACACTCTGTCCTGTGTGTGCAGGCCTTCTCCCACCCCCTGGTGCCCCCCCAGCCTCACCCGGTGGAGCGGCTGGCCCGGGAGGTGCAGCAGCTAAGGACCAGGCTGGCTCAGGTCTCCGTCCCCAAAGAACCCACCTCCCCAGAGACCCCCATTGGCACAGGGCATAGGCGCAACCTTAACCACAATGCCAACAACAGCACCTTCCTGTTCCCCGCCTCCCCCAATCAGCACACACCCAGGACGACACCCCATACAGCCTCCACCAATCAGCAGAGCTCCAGCAGCGAGCAGACCCCTGGAGCGCCGCCCTCCTGCCACCCACAGAGGAGCAGCAGTCATAGGCACACCTTCCTGTTCAGAGCCCCCTCCCCTGCACAGACCCGGGTCAAAGAGCACCCAAGAGCCCCCCAAACCAAGAGCAAGGCCCCCCACACGGCCTCCTGATAGTACAGGGGCCGCTCTCTCCAGGGCCTCTGCTCTGTGTCTCAGTATTAGCTGCTTTATATGCTCGGACTGTTGCTTATTGTTGACGAGCACGTGTCTGGATGAAAGATCCAGGTCGACAAGGACTTTACACCTGACACTTAACAGACATATACTTCCTTATCTCTTTATCTTTCAATCTGAACAACACAGATCTAGGTGCCACAGTGAACAATCACATGGAAGATGTTTAAGCCAGATGCCCTTCCTAGTGCAATGAGTGACTGGATTGGCCCTGGTGGGACAGGGGGTTGTCCAACCCTTGGACTCAAAAACACTATAATCTGAAATGCCTTCCTTTTGATAAGAGGGCGAATACTTACAGACTGTGCCACTTTTGCCCTGATCCCTGCGTTTTCACATTAGATTCCAGACTAAACTCTATAATGCTGAGTTTGATAAACAGCTGTAAAATCACTCACTGGTGTCTGCTTTGCAGAGGTAGGTAGTAAAGCCAACAGTATACAGTACTGTGTCACTGTTACTTTCAAGTAGTAGTACAAGTACAAGAAGTCACCCGGTGATTCCCCAAGCAAAGTCAGCAATTTTATTTCTTTCTGGGTTTTCATCAGGTTGTGGATATGAGTTTTTAAACTATTATCGTTATTATAATTTAAACTGTTGTTGTAAAATGCGTGGTCTATCCTGTGCAGTGTTGGCCCCATCACCCTCCTCTGCAGCCCCACGCTCCACTCACGTCTCTCATCTTTACCATGTCTTGAGCGATGATAAGAGTGCTGTGAGTAAATGTGATGTGCACTGAATGTGTGTTTGTGTTTGGGTGTCAGACTCCAAAAATACTGACAACTGAATACTGATCAATTCTAAAATTAGTATGGAAACTAGATAGTCATTTTTGCAAGTATTGATACTAAAAAGTCCCATTGGCAGGACAGAGCAGAACCTTTCCTGAAAGTCTTTAGAATGATGTTGAGTTGTATCAGAACAAGTATATGAGTACATAGACTAGTACACACACATGGACCAACATGAACCTACTGCACCACTGACCATTACACACATATAACACACATGGGAATAGGAAAGAAAATTCTACCATTTAATGATGAAAATCACATTCTATTGTCTAAAGAAAGACATTTTTTTATTATAGCCTTGTGTGTGCATGTGTGTGCATGTGTGTTTGTTTGTATCTGTGTGTGTGTGTGTGTGTGCATGTGTGTGTGCATGTGTGTGTGAGTGTGTGTGTTTGTGCATATTTGTTTGTATCTGTGTGTGTGTGCATGTGTGTGTTTGTTTGTATCTGTGTGTGTGCATGTGTGTGTGAGTGTGTGTGTTTGTGCATGTTTGTTTGTATCTGTGTGTGTGTGTGTGTGTGTGTGTGGTGTTGCATGTGTGTTTGTGGATGTGTGTGTGTGTGTGTGTGCGTGTGTGTGTGTATGAGTGTGTCTGTGTGTGTGTCTGTGAGTGTGTGTATGAATGTGCAGGTGTGTGTGTTTGTGAGTGTGTGTGCATGCTTGTGTGCATGTTTGTATGCGAATGTGTGTGTGTGTGTGTGAGTGCGTGTGTGTGTGCGTGTGCATGTGTGCGTGTGTGTGTGCTCGTCTCCTCTGGGCTGCAGTATTTGGGCCAAAGTACTATTTCTGTGCTCCTCTAGATTAATTCCAGACAGATCATGTGCCGCTCCCTAAAACCAACACAGCAGGCTATTCACCAGCGAGGTACTCTTTCAGTCAGGTACTCTTCCATTGAGGTACTCTTCCAGTCAGGTACTCTTCCATTGAGGTACTCTTCCAGTGACGTACTCCTCACAAAGAATCAGGCTGGCAGTCTGGAGAAGAGCATTATTGGTGTTGTGGGCTTGAGGATCATATTTGTGTGGGCAGTGCCTGTCGGCTCTTTCTACTCTCTGTAACACCAACGCTCGTGTTCTTCTGCATCTGTCACTCTGTCCCCAAACGCAGCAGGAACGCACCACTGTCTCTTTGTACAGTATACTGTATATTCTACAGTGCGGGTTCTTTCTCCCTTAAGCTTTTTGGATTAAGATATGAATATTTTGTACTTTTTTAAGATTGAGCTGTGTTTTCCTGACAGATGGCCAGAAAAGCCAATTAGAGTTCAAAGCAGAAGACACATGTTGATTTATTCTGTACAGTCATTTTATATTTGTCTGGTTGGATCCTGTTTTATTATGATCATTACGAAATAAAAAGTGAATGAGGAAACATCACTGTTCTCTTTATTTTGTTAGACAAAATAAATAGGTTTGAACATTCAAAATGAGCATGGCACAGTCTCTTACAAGTCACTTCATGAGCATGTGAAACTAATTCTGTTACAATTTACACATTTGTACAGTTTTCAGTCAACTGTGTTTTAAAAACTGATAAAAGTGTGTGCTGCTCTGTGCTGATGCACAGGGCTCTGACATGGCCGACCCAAGCTCCCTGACACAGTTTCATGAAAGGAGACAAACGTACAGTTCTGCTCAAACTGCTTTTGGACACTCTGCACTGCTAATGTAATGTGAAATCATTGGAGTTAGGCTTGTGACTGATTCATATGAGCTTCTGATGAGGAAACATCGAAAATGCAAAGTGAGCACAGAGAATAGGCCTGACTGTACCAGGCCAAAATGGACCAAAGAGAACCAAAGAGGACCAAAGTGGGTCAGAGTGGGCCCACACTTCACCCAGAGATCTCTGTATGGGGGGCGCTGTATGAGTGCCTGATGTCCTGTTTCCAGCGGTAGCTTGTGGCTTAGCCCCAGCGTGTGCTTTGCTCTTCGGGGGAGTTCTGCAGAAGGCTGTATGGGCCATGGAAGTACCCAGAGCAGGATGGCCCCAGTTGTCGGAGCGAGGGCCCCGGGGCCCCCAGCTGTCGCAGAGACTTGCATAGGGGGCAGGGGTACTCCGAAAGACCCTCGATGTCTTCAAAGGCCAGGTTGACGATCTGGTCACAGCAGGGGTCACAGTACAAATGACCACAGGACAGGCGCTTGAGACGGGCCCCGTGAGAGACACAGCTCTGACAGTGGGGCAGATCGGGCCCCAGAGACAGGGAGCCTGTCAGAGAACTGCTGTCTACACTGGGCCTGCCACTGCTGAGGCGCGCCGGGGATCTGTAACAGAGAAAGGAGTCAGAAAGAGTTCAGACTCTGACCCACAGACACGTGGGCAGTAAAGGTGCGTGGGTAAGACCCACAGTGAGGCACTGGCTGCCACACTGTTCTACGTGCCCCAGCAGTGTGTTAAGTGGGTTTACATACCCACTGTATTCTGCTTCTCTAAGTGGGTTGGCACCTGGAGGGGTGAGCGTGACTGGGAAGGGAATGAATGGTTTAACTATGAAGTAAAACTCAATGCGTCTGAAGCGTTAAAGTAAAAGACACACTGGTCACGTGCAACTACAAAACACAACGATGAACCAATTACAGAGTCCCCAGCGTCACACGGGGTGAGTCACTGTGACGCATGTAATGAGCACGGGCCTGCAGAGGTTTGTTCGGTGTGTTGTTAGAGTGTAACACACGTGCGCACACAGCGCGGGGCCCTGACCACAGCAGCCTGCCGAACACAACCCAAGCCCGCAGCGGGAGGGCATGCGGACTGGTCGGTACGGCATGCGGGGTGGTGATGATGTGTGTCGCAGCAGAGCCTGGCACCTGCTTGAGGCGCATCTCCGCTCAGTGTGCGCCCCTCGGCCCACACTCATCGCTCTGTTGATGACAGAATGCCTGTAGCGGAGAAACTGCGCTAGCATCTCACCTCGTCGACGTAGAATCTTTGAAGCAGTCGAAACTGAGCGCCGCGAGGATTCTCCAGAACAAGTCCATAGCTGGGCTCATGGCACCGGGCGTGTGCCCGCAGCGCGCTCCGGCCGCCCACGGAGCGCAGGAGGACGGCTGGTGCCTCCTCTCCCTCTCCTCACGGCTCCTCTCCTCACAGCTCCTCTCCTCACAGCTCCTCTCGCCTCCCTCTCTGGTCCTGTGTTCCACGGCTCATACACGACCGCAGGAGGGCGCACTGGAGCCGTGCGTCACGACTGTGCGTCTCTGTCAGTTACTGTGGAAAATGATGACATTTGACAGAAGTAGTATTTGGACATTATATGAGTGTTATGACACTATCGCAGCGTGTTTGAGTGAAATCCACCTGAGGTCCACGAACACAAACCTTAAACTGAGACTTCCAGATGAACTGGGAGAAACAGACCTGGGCTGTCAGCGGAAATACAAACCTGTTGTTGTTATGTTCGACAAAGTGCTTGCCTTATCTTGTTTGTTGAAGCCTAGAATTATAAGATTAAAAAATAACACCAAACCCTGAGAAACTGAGGAAGGGAGAGGGCGGTGGGGGCGAAGGAAAAGGTGGGGGACCCTGACTTCCTCTTTTCCTTCCTTCATGACAGAAATATAGGCCTATTAAAGTAAACAATTAACAGGCAGAATCAACAGTTTTTCTGCAGAGTTTTCTGCAATTTTATTTATTTGAAAATGTCTTTAAAAAATAAATATGAATGAAAAATGTGTTTGTAAATCAATAATCATGTAAAATGTGTTTGCTACTGATTAAAAAAAAGAGCATTGTAATTGTTATCAGTAAAATCTTAGTGAACCCCCCCCCCACACACACACACACGCGTACGCACACACACACATACACACACACATGCACATACGCTGGAATGTGAGCCCCGCCCCCCTGCGTGTGATTGGTCAGAGCGCGTGTCTTAAAGCAAACAGGTCCCACCCGGAGGCGCCGTGTGCTGAAGTTTACTGGGAGAGACAAGCATGGGTGAGCTCACTGTTTCTAACTTACAGCAACGAGGTGACCAGAATACTAACTCATGTATTGATGTTGTTGTGCTGAGATCAGCTCGGGGTTTATAGTTTGTATCGACTGCGGTTCAGATTTCTCTCTGAAAGTGACAGAACTGTTAAATTCTGCAGAAAAATGGCCCTGCGCCCTGGATTAACATTACATTTTACAGTTACATTTTGAACGCATTTTGCAAGTCCTTCAAAGCAAGTCTTGTGATGTAACATTTCCTTATTGTTTTGGGGACAGAGGGCTCAAAACTGAGACTGTCCCGGATAAATAGCGACGTCTGGTCATCCTAACTCTGAACTATGCTCTGAGCACGTCTGTCCAGTGCGCGCAGAGGAGGGCGGACGGAGGGTTGTGTAAGCGGGGTTCAACTAAGGTCACTATTTTCACTGAGAGAACATTGCCAGCACAGTGCAGTATCCACTACATTTACTCAAACACGAGCGCTGTTATTTCAATGAAAATATTCCTCAAACAAGAGTAAAAGTATGCTGCTATGAAAGCACTCTGAAAAGTACAATTTCTTTTAAAAGTTAAGTAAGTAATTAAAAGTAACTGAGTAAAAGTAACTGAGTAAATGTAACTGAGTCAATGTAACTGCTTAAATGTAATTTGGACTTTCCATCTGTGATGCTTACTAAGGTGAAATGTTGCAGTGAAGACTGTTTAAAGAGGACCCATTAATACTTTAGGTCATTTTAGATCAGTATTACAGTTTTTAATGAACAAATAAGCATCATTTGTCTTTAAAGAGACAGTGTGGAACTTTCAGTCAGATAAACAGTAGATTACTATGTTTCTATGGAGGCTCTGAACTAACATCACTCAGTCAAAGAGGGGATTTTATTAACTGCTAAGATGTAACATATGTAAATGACCATGTTATCTTTTATTGTTCTGAAAATGCTATATTTGTCCAAAACAAATGCTCTCCACTCTAAGTCACTCCCCATTCAGAGCACTATCACAGCACAATCAGCGTGCCATGGGTGAAGGAGGCTTGTGGGCGGTGGCTTGTACTGCTAACCATAAAGAGGGTTTGAATAGAAGAGGAGAGATTGCTAAAATACTCAAACAGACATGGATGTCATCCAAAACCTGTTCAGGCATGTTTTTGATCAGGGAACAATGACAGTAGAAAGCTCCCCTCTTTAAAGGTTGACTTTAAGTTTGACCAGTGCTGTCCCCTTGTCTCCATGGAGACTCTAATGCTTTGTCTGGAATATACAACAATATGGTATTCAACAGATGTATCTTGCTGACCAAATAACATAAAGAAAAAGTTCACCTGACGAAGGCCTAGTGCCGAAACGTTGCACGGTTTGTCCTTATAAATCTCACAATTTGCAAATAAGACGGTGTGCGGGATGTTTCTCTGTGTTCTTGGGCTGCTCCCTCTCCTCCAACGCACCTGGCTCTAGTAATTAATGTGCGAAGTTCTCATTCTTTTATATTATCTTGCTGACCAACATTTCACCTGGTGTTTTATTGCTTGAACATATCTTTAACAGTGCACTAATACTGAGAGCAGGCAGGCCTCTGCACAGACCTGACCTGTAAATTGGCCTGGCGGTGGATCTATGGAGATAAGTTTAATACCATTTTAAGACAAGGCAAAGCAATACCATCTCTCTGACAAGCTGGCAAACACACCACAAGACTTTAAAGTATGATCTCATTTTCTGTTACTACAAGGGCTGTCAAAAGTATCAAAAATCAGTTACAGTTTCAATACTAAAGCCTGTATTGAAACTTTATAGTCAATTGTGGAGGTATCGGTATTAAAAAAAGTCCCATTTACAGGACAGAAATTAAACTTTCCTGAAAAGCTTTAGAATGATCTTGAGCTGTGTCAGACCAAGTGTAAGAGCATGGTACCGAAGTCTGTATCGAGTATCGAAATTGAGTTTAGTATTGTGACAACACTAGTTACTACAGTGAGATTATGCTGTTAAAAACACAGACTGTTATGATTATGATTTCAGATAAGAGTGTGTCCACCCCAAAAAGCATTGCACACACTAAATAAAACATGCATGTGAATACTGGTTTGTTGGAGCTAGTGACCTGCTTGTCTCAGTTGTTTCATCTCTACATCAGTGAAGAGTCAAACTATATTCAGGCCGAGAGACAGAGGCTCTGATCCTGAGACTGCGCTGACTCCACAAGTGTCAGTACTTTTGAACAACACCTTTTAGAGAAAGATTTGGCACAAGTTTCAGTATCTGGGTGCAGCCCTTCAGTTAACCTACATTACCTCTACATTATCTGTTACACACACAGACACACACACACACACACACACACACACAAAGACACAGAGACACACACACAGAGACACACAAAGACACAGAAACACACACAAAGACACACAAAGACACAGAGACACACACACACAAAGACACACAAAGACACAGAGACACACACACACACACACACAAAGACACAGAGACACACACACAGAGACACACAAAGACACAGAAACACACACAGACACACACACACAAAGACACAGAGACACACACACAAAGACACAGAAACACACACAGACACACACACACACACACACAAAGACACAGAGACACACAAAGACACAGAGACACTCACACACACACACAAAGACACACACACACAAAGACACAGAGACACACACACAGAGACACACAAAGACACACACACAGAGACACACACACACACACAAAGACACAGAGACACACACACAGAGACACACATACACACACAGAGACACAGGAACATAGAAAGTCAGTTAGAGAGAGAGGGAAAGAGAAAGTAAGAAGGAGAGTTTTGGAGAGAAAGAAGGAGGCAGGAGAGAAATGGGGGAGTTCGAGAGATTGCAGATGGAAAAACAAACAGGAATTAGTGGAATTTGGAGAAAAGCATATTTGTAAATGACAAACACAAGTCTTCAGATGGATCACACTGACCAAGACTGAAACCTACCCACAACTACACCTACTACACCCACCCACAACTACACCTACTACACCCACCCACAACTACACCTACTACACCCACCCACAACGTACACCTACTACACCCACCACAACTACAACTACAACTACACCTACTACACCCACCACCACACTACTACACACCACACTACACCTACTACACCCACCCACAACTACACCTACTACACCCACCCACAACTACACCTACTACACCCTACCCACACAACTACACCTACTACACCTACCCACAACTACACCCTACCACAACTACACCTACTACACCTACTACACCTACCCACAACTACACCTACTACACCCACCCACAACTACACCTACTACACCTACCACAACTACACCTACTACACCCACCCACAACTACACCTACTACACCCACCACACAACTACACCTACTACACCTACCCACAACTACACCTACCCACAACTACACCTACCCACAACTACACCTACTACACCTACCCACAACTACACCTACTACACCTACCCACAACCTACTACACCCACCCACAACTACACCTACTACACCTACTACACCTACCCACAACTACACCTACTACACCCACCCACAACTACACCTACTACACCTACCCACAACTACACCTACTACACCTACCCACAACTACACCCACCCACACTACACCTACTACACCTACTACACACCCACAACTACACTACTACACCTACCACACAACTACACTACTACACTACCCACAACTACACCTACTACACCCACCCACAAACTACACCTACTACACCCCCCACAACTACACTACTACACCTACCCACAACTACACCTACTACACTACACCTACACCACAACTACACCTACTACACCTACTACACCTACCCCACAACTACACCTACTACACCCACCCACAACTACACCTACTACACCTACCCACAACTACACCTACTACACCCACCCACAACTACACCTACTACACCTACCCACAACTACACCTACTACACCCACCCACAACTACACCTACCCACAACTACACCTACTACACCTACCCACAACTACACCTACCCACAACTACACCTACTACACCTACCCACAACTACACCTACTACACCTACCCACAACTACACCCACCCACAACTACACCTACCCACAACTACCTCTACTACACCTACCCACAACTATACCTACCCACAACTACACCTACTACACGTACCCACAACTACACGTACCCACAACTATACCTACCCACAACTACACCTACTACACGTACCCACAACTACACCCACCCACAACTATACCTACCCACAACTACACCTACTACACGTACCCACAACTACACCCACCCACAACTACACCTACCCACAACTACACCTACCCACAACTACACCTACTACACCTACCCACAACTACACCTACTACACCCACCCACAACTATACCTACCCACAACTACACCTACTACACGTACCCACAACTACACCTACCCACAACTACACCCACCCACAACTACACCTACTACACCCACCCACAACTATACCTACCCACAACTACACCTACTACACGTACCCACAACTACACCCACCCACAACTATACCTACCCACAACTACACCTACTACACGTACCCACAACTACACCTACCCACAACTACACCTACTACACGTACCCACAACTATACCTACCCACAACTACACCTACTACACGTACCCACAACTACACCCACCCACAACTATACCTACCCACAACTACACCTACTACACCTACCCACAACTACACCTACCCACAACTACACCCACCCACAACTACGCCTACTACACCCACCCACAACTACACCTACCCACAACTACAGCTACCCACAACTACACCTATCTAGACTGTAGAACTATCTAGAACTCCAGATATAAAAGGTGCTCAATGGAACATTTTTCCTACTCAGAAAACACAAGGCAGTCTGTGTGTAGTTTGCATGTTTTCCTTGTATCTGTGTGGAGTTTGCATGTTCTTCCTGTGTCTGTGTGGAGTTTGCATGTTCTTCCTGTGTCTGTGTGGAGTTTGCATGTTCTCCCTGTGTCTGTGTGGAGTTTGCATGTTCTCCCTGTGTCTGTGTGGAGTTTGCATGTTCTCCCTGTGTCTGTGTGGAGTTTGCATGTTCTCCCTGTGTCTGTGTGGAGTTTGCATGTTCTCCCTGTGTCTCTGTGCAGTTTGCAGTACAAATGAGGACAGATTTCCTTACAGGGAAATATAATATACACCAGCCAATCACAGAGGTGAGGAAACATAGATCAGCCAATCTTAATGCAATGGGACAATATACCAACCAATCAAAAAGCATTTGATGCTTATACCAGCCAATCACAGAGCAGAGGAAACTTTTAGCCAATCAGAGGCCTGTTTGTTGTCTCGTTAATCCATGTCTAAATGTGCTCTTGCCTTGTTCTCTCACAGCCAGCTGCTCTGGGTGTGGTCCGGGCTACAGCAGCCCCCTGGAGGCCATGAAGGGTAAGTGCTGCACACGCCAACACAGACACTGGGTGTTTTCCAATTCCCAGGTTCCTCAGCATCTGAGCCATTCACACAGATCCACGTCATCAGAGGGTCCACAAGTGCTGTTCCAAGTCTCCCAAAGTTTGCTCTTGTAGCCACACTGCTGCAGATAACACTATTATCAGATCAAATTAATTCAGATCAGGACAAATCCAGCACACTGAGCAAACTCTTTTTATGAACCGGACTGGGGATCAGATGGTCATCTGAAGACATTTTAGGCTGTGTATTTATTTATTTTATAATCAGCCTGAATAACTCAATAACAGATTGACTCAGCCTTCATTATTCACATGTTTTAATGACTGTGGACACAGTCACTTCTGAACACTTTACATTTGAAGAAGCATTGATGTTTATTAAAACTCTGGGTTTTATGGTGTTTGATCTGGTCACATGACACGGTGCATTTCCTTCCTCCAGAGCTGACAAAGTGGCCTTTGGAGAAAGGATCCTGGGAATTGAGAAACACCCATTTAGTGACATTTAAAGAGCCGCTACCTGATCTGAGTGAAGGCCGTGTTTTAGCCTGTCCACTTAATCCTTTTTAGTCATTGCACCATAACACACACATTCTTTTATTTTATAGTGTCACGGAGTTGGTTTACCGTGATTCTTAGTAACAATGATTGTGATTGGATGAGAACCAGGGGATCCTGTTCTGTATAGGCTCTATTCACACATATGTCACAAACTAGGAAGACATTTGGAAAGATGCGGTTACAACTTCTATCGGTCTCTGTTCTAGGAAGAATGAGAAAATGTTCCAGTTTTCTTCATCTCCGTGTCATTGTAGTGTTCCGTTATGTTTGGCGAACCAACAGTTCCAATCATACCTCAGTTTTCATCATTTCACACACAACTCCGAGTGCACTGGGGACATGTGATTAGAAGAGATGAGGGGCTAAATTCCACATGATTCCAAACAGCACATACACCCGCAGTCTTCATTTTACCACTGATCACATTGGCTTTGATCACAGTTGGTCAGTGAGCCAAGCGTCGAGAACTACACCGGAAGTGTTCCTGGTTTGTGACATAAGTGTGAATAAAGCCTATTAGAACCTGGGATTTTTCCCTCAGAAAACGCATGTAAAATGAGTAGATTGTGTCTACAGTGTTATTTGTTCTTTACGATATACACACATGGACAAAATTGTTGGTACCCCTCTGGCAATGAAAGAAAAATCAACAATAATCACTGAAATAACTTGAAACTGAGAAAAGCAATAGGGCCTGGTCAAGCAGAAGTAAACAGCAAGGCCAAAAATTGAAGTTAATGCATCTGATATAAAAATGGATTCAACAGATACATATGTACTCTAGTTTATGAAACTGTTGACCTTTTTTCTGTACCATTTTTGGTTCTAAAGTTCCATACGTTTTCAACAGACCATGTATGAAACATGGAACAAAAATTATTTCCCAAATTTCAAAGACCTGCAAATCATGTAAATAAATGGATGTATTTCATCATATCTTGTATTATTCCATCTTTGAACTGTTGATGAAGGTACATGATTTTTCAAAAAAAAAATTATTTAAAATGATAAAAATTTGCTTTGAATGACTGACATATTTTATAGAAATAGTTTCCTTTCATTTTGAAGTAATATTAAAGCATTCGAAAGAAAAAAAATGATTATGCAAAATCCTGCACCTTCTACTTGTTTGCACAATTTTCCCTCTGTTACTTTTCCCTCCATTACCATGATCTTTCTTAATAAAAAATCTCATTAGTCAAAAAGTAAGAGGTTTTTCAACCTAATCTTGTACCATATGGTAGAAAACTATATGAAGCAAATATTCAAACCAGTTTGTTAAGGATATGGAAGTGAGAACCAAGAGTTATCACTGTTTGGATTTATTGCCCAAAAAGTGCTGCATATTTCATTCCCTCCGTTACCGACATGAGTTTTTAAATTTTTTGTCAACAACTTGAAAGAATATCACAGGTTTAACTTTACCCTGTTGGAGTGTTAACTCTTTCCTACATTCTGATACTTTACTTATTTCAATAGTCCCTCTAGTTTCTGAATAAGAGCTATTTGAATGTCAAAAATCTGCCCGTTTCCCTCCGTTACCACTTGACCGAACCTATAATAAATAAAAATTTATTGAAAATTGTCCAACAAAAATCAAACATTGTTTTTCACCTGTGGTTCAACAGAATTATTAGAAAAAACTAAATAATGAAACTGGCCTGGACAAAAATGATGTTACCCTTAACATAATATTTTGTTGCAAACCTTTTAAGGCAAACTCTGCAAACAAACGATTTCTGTAACTGTCAGTGAGACTTCTGCTCTGGTCAACAGGTATTTTGACCCATTTCTCATGAGCAAACTAACTGCTCTAGTTGACTCAAGTTTGAAGGATCCTTCTCCAGATGCATGTTTCAGCTCATTTCACAGATGCTCAGTAGAATTGAGATCTGGGCTCACAGAAGAACACTCCAGAACAGTCCAGTGTTCTGTTCTTAGTCATTCTTGTGTGTCTTTATCTGTGTGTTTTGGGTCATTGTCCGGTTGGAAGACTCATGACCTACGACTGAGACCGAGCTTTCTGACACTAGGCAACACATTTTGTTCCAAAATACATTGATAGTTTTGAGATTTCGTTGTACCTTGCACAGATTCAAGACACTCTGTGCCAGATGCAGCAAAACAGCCCCAGAACAAAACCAAGCCTCCTCCATGTTTCACAGTAGGAACAGTGTTCTTTTCTTTTCTTGTTGTGTTTTATTTTTGCATCTGTGAACATAGAGCTGATGTGTCTTGCCAAAGAACTCCAGTTTTGTCTCATCTGTCCAAAGGACATTCTCCCAGAAGCTTTGTGGCTTGTCAATCTGCATTGTGACAAATTCCAGTTTCACTTTTTTATGATTTTCTCTCAGCAGTCGTGTCCTCACATGAACTGCACTTTGGCTCAAACACTGATGGATGGTGTGATCTGACACTGATGTACTTTGCCCTTCGAGTTCACATTTAATTTGTTTAGAGGTTGTTCTGGGCTCTTTGGTTATTCGTATGATCCATGTCTTTGTCATCAATTTTCCTCTTGCGGCCACGTCCAGGGAGGTTGGAGATGGTCTTATTGTCTTTATCTTTAACCTGCTTGTCTCTCATTTTCTTTCTAGTCTCCTGACACAGTTCTCTTCTTCTCTTTCTCTGGTCCATGTTCAGTGTTGTGTCCATCATGACAATTCAAAAACGGTGTCTGATTTTCATTGGTTATTTTTCAGAAAATTTGTATTTATTATTGCTTTTCTCAGTTTCAGGTTATTTCAGTGACCATTGTTGATTTTTCTTTCATTATAAGAGGAAACAACAATTTTGTCTACAACTTTAATACATGACATGAAGAACATGTATCTTAAACAGAATCAGTTAAAGTCAGGTACAGATTGTGGTTCATGGTGAAAGTACATGTATTAGAACATGTCGTGGTATATGGATGTTACGGTTTAGCTCGAGTTTAAACCTGAAGTACCCCTCTTATATAGGCCATTTGGTTTAGATCTGGTGGTACTTGGAAAGTTTTTTTCTTTGGTGGTATTTATTGTGAAAAAGCTACTTTAGCCTTCTCATTCAAATGAGTCCAAAACATGAGGTAGGAGAAACCAATGGAGAGAGCAGAACATTGAGAGACTCATGTTTCCTGCAGGACCTCGGGAGAAGATTGTGTACCTGCCCTGTATCTACAGAAACACAGAGACCCTGAAACCAGACTATCTGAGCACTGTGGACGTGGACCCAGACTCCGACACCTACTGCCAGGTAACACACAACACACAACCACGAAACACACAACACACACAACCAACACAACCACAAAACACACAACAGGTAACACACAACCAACACAACCAGGAAACGTACAACAGGAAACACACAACCAACACAACCAGGAAACACACAACAGGTAACACACAACCAACACAACCAGGAAACATACAACCAACACAACCAGGTAACACACAACAGGTAACACACAACCAACACAACCAGGAAACATACAACCAACACAACCAGGTAACACACAACCAACACAACCAGGAAACATACAACCAACACAACCAGGTAACACACAAGCAACACAACCAGGTAACACACAACAGGAAACACACGACCAGGAAACACACAACCAACACAACCAGGAAACACACAACCAACACAACCAGGAAACACACAACCAACACAACCACGAAACACACAACCAACACAACCACGAAACACACAACAGGTAACACACAACAGGTAACACACGACCAGGAAACACACGAACAGGTAACACACAACAGGTAACACACAACAGGTAACACACGACCAGGAAACACAACCAAAATTTTCCATGTGACTTTGTCTGTGCAGGTTTGTGTTTGTGAGTTTGTACACTGCACACTAGTGTGATGTTTGATGAAGTGAGGCTGGGCTCACATGAGATCACAAACATGTGTTTGTGCTTTAAAGGGCATTTTAGAATTCTATGGAAGAATTTGGCTGTTACAACATGAAGTAACAGCGAAACAGAAATAGATTTATGAAGTAAATGATATCTGAAACAGGAGTGTGCACTAACAGAGATGTTCCAATCATTTAATAAAGTAAGCTCGATTACTCAAGTGGGAGTAAAAGTATGATGTATGTGAAGGGCACACTTGCAGCTATGCTCCATAGACTGTATAAAGAAGTGGACTAAGTGAGTGTGATGTCACCCACAGTGTTCAGCTCCACTCAAATGAACTTGCAATGCTCACAGTTACAAGGGTGAATCTGGAGCCACACTCCATTTTAGGACTAGGATTTTTAAACTGACATAATAGTGAAATAAAAAGAGCAGAATCACGTTGAGCCACAGCCTCCTGCTGTGTTCACCTGTCTCCTCCTGGACACTGCTGCAGGACACAGAGGATCTGCTGAAATACACAGTGGAAATGTTGCAGAAACATCAGCTGCAACATTTTACTGCAGCAGAGGTTTCCCTCAAGAGCAATAAAGTATCTCTCTTTCTCTCTCTCTCTGTCTCTCTCTCTCTCTGTGTCTCTCTCTATCTCTGTCTCTCTCTCTGTCTCGCTCTCTTTCTCTCTGTGTCTCTCTCTCTGTGTCCCTATGTCTCTCTCTCTCTGTCTCTCTGTGTGTCTCTCTCTCTCTCTGTCTCTCTGTGTCTCTATGTCTCTCTCTCTCTCTCTCTCTGTGTCTCTCTCTCTTTCTCTCTTTGTCTCTCTCTCTCAATATAAACATTTTAAGATCAATGTACATGCACATGTACATGCACATGTACATGCACATGTACATGCACATGTACATGCACATGTACATGCACATGTACATGCACATGTACATGCACATGTCACATGTACATGCACATGTACATGCATGTACATGCACATGCACATGTACATGCACATGTACATGCACATGTACATGCACATGTACATGCACATGTACATGCACATGTACATGCACATGTACATGCACATGTACATGCACATGTACATGCACATGTACATGCACATGTACATGCACATGTACATGCACATGTACATGCACATGTACTTGCAGTAAACTGAGCACTCCCCCTGGTGACCATGAGCTTGTGAATGTCTAAGTGTGTAAATGTGATTGTGTGTATGTGATCTGTGATTGTGTGTATGTGATTTTATATACGTCTCTGTGTATATGTATAATGAGTGTGTGCTGAGCAGGTGATCCACCGCCTGCCCATGCCCAATGTGAGGGACGAGCTGCACCACAGCGGCTGGAACACCTGCAGCAGCTGCTTTGGGGATGCCTCCAAAACACGCAACCGCCTCATCCTGCCCTCCCTCATCTCCTCCAGGATCTACGTCATCGACATCAGCCAGCCCCGGGCCCCGCGCATACACAAGGTACACTCCAGAGCCACTAGGTCCTCCCAGCAGTGACCAGGTACTCCCCTAATGGCCATAAGAGCCATTAGGTACTCCTAACAGCGCTGGGAGACAAAATACTCCCTAACAGTGACAAAGTACTCCAACAGCAACAACGTACTTCAGCAGGTGTTCACAAACTGCCCTGTGAGCTTCTAGGTACTCCTTATGTGCTTTGAGACACAACTAGGTACTCTTCATCAGTTTAGTACACACAAGGTACTCCACAACAGCTCTGGGAGCCAACAGCAGGAAGACCCACACATTCACTAGTTACTCCCAACAGCATCTAATAGCCACAAAGTACTCCACCTTTTCTGGGAGACAAAAACCCCCAAAACCACTAGGTACTCATGACAATCCTGAGACTCACTAGATAGAGCACACATACACAAAGTGCTCCTCAACCTTCTGTGAAAAAAGGTTCTCCTCACATCCATGCTGTCCCGGCAGCTGTCCCGGCAGCTGTCCCTGCAGCTGTCCCGGCAGCTGTCCCGGCAGCTGTCCCTGCAGCTGTCCCTGCAGCTGTCCCGGCAGCTGTGCCGGCAGCTATAACTAGTTACTTCACAACAGCCCACTGAGTCAAAGTACTTCTCAAAAGACCACAGAAAACACAAGTTCAGTTGTGATGCAGTTTGGAGCTAGCGCTGATTCAGTCTTGGTTCCACTTTTGGTTTTGGTTCAGTTCTGGATGGTTCAGACGTTGTACTTGTGTATGTTTGTATAATGTATCTTGTGTCCTGCTTTAGTCCTACTTCAGTCTATGTACAGTTCCGGTCTAGGTACACTTTTGAATAAGTCCACCTTGAGTCCAGGTTTTGTCCTTGTTCAGTCCTTGTTTGGTCCTGTGTCACTCTGTTCCCCTGTTGATCTGCAGATGGTGGAGCCGGTGGACCTGTACTATAAGTGTGGCCTGGCCAACCCTCACACGTCCCACTGTTTGGCCAGTGGTCAGATCATGATCAGCTGCATGGGAGACCCCTCCGGGTCCGGCAAAGGTCAGTGTGCAGACCTGCTCTGAGCACAGGAGACACTGTCAGCTGTCTCACATTGAGAAGATATGTTTGTGGGGATATTATTTGTAGCTCCAAAAATCCTGGTCATACGTCTTACAGTGGGACAGCACCTCAGCTGGGAGAGAAGGTAGCACATTGTTGTGAGTCACACTTCACTCACCTGGCCAGAATAAGTGATTGTTTGTGTTGTAAAATTCTATATTAAGTATTTTTATAACTGTCATTATTACAGAGACAAAGGTATAAAATATCCCTATCACTTTCCTATCACGGTCAGTATTACAGACACAGGGACAAAGGTGAAAGAGCAGCATCTCAGTGCCAATGTATCTGGCTCAAACTCAACAATGTGTGTGTTTCACAAACACCAGCAGTCTGGGTTGCTGCAGTCTGGACTGGTTTGTTGTAGTCTTGCCTGGTTTGTTGCAGTCTGGACTGGTTTGTTGTAGTCTTGCCTGACTGTTAGTCTGGTTGTTTAGAGAATCATTTATTCTGTGTCTGTGCTGCTTTCAGGGGGCTTTGTGCTGCTGGATGGTGAGACGTTCGAGGTGACTGGGAACTGGGAGCACCCAGGTGAAGAAGCTCCATTCGGGTATGACTTCTGGTACCAGCCCCGGCACAATGTGATGATGAGCACTGAGTGGGGGACGCCTCGGGCCCTTATCAACGGCTTTGACCCCAAACACGTCCAGCAAGGTACGGCCCCAGACCATCTCAGCTTTTGATACAGCTGCTACACTCAAGGGTAAAGGTACTGAAAAAAGGAGAAATATCATTCTAATTTCAATAAAAGCATGGATCCAGATTTGGAACAGTCAGAGCAGAAGGAGTTTGAAGGGCTTGGTCCATAGGCTCTGAGCCTGTTCATTGGGCGAAGTAGAATGATCAGGTGAAGATGTTTTTATCCTGAATGAGACACTGGACTGTCTCTTATCTGAAAAACTGCACACAAGTGGCTGCATGTGTAATGGTGCCTGTGGCTCCTGTAGGGGGTGCCCTTACAGCATGTATCTTGAGTGATTCTTATCATTATTCTTATCATTATTCTAACAACAATAATGGCAATAATAATAATTCTTATCATTATTCTGACCTTAAACAACAGTGTGGTGTCTCATTCAAAGCCCCAAGGGATGTCAATTGTTGTGAGGGGAGAGACCTCTTTGCTGTGAATGAACAGTGTAAAGTTTTTAAAATATGTGTCACGAGGGTTACAAGAAGGTCAAAGTCAGAAAAAAGATAGTGGTTTGTGGTGATGAGTTTGTATTGATGGTTTGTGATGATGGTTTGTGGTGATTAGTTGGTGGTGATGGTTTGTGATGATGGTTTGTGGTGATTAGTTGGTGGTGATGGTTTGTGGTGATTAGTTGGTGGTGATGGTTTGTGATGACTAGTTTGTACGGGTTTGTAGGTCTGGTGAAAGTGCAGGATTGTAACAGTGTAGTAGGAGAAGAAGACACAGGTTCACATGTTGTTGTAACTGCTGTGCAGACTTTGCCTTGCACAGGTGAGTGTGGCTAATCATTACTCAAGGTCAGGAGCAGATCTGCCTCAGACCGGGCCAGACAGGACACAGTCTTCAGAGTCTTCAGTGCTACTGTGGCTCAAGTGTCTGTACTGTAGTACTGCATTGTCATACTGTACTGTGCTGCGCTGCACTGTGCTGCATTGTGCTGCACTGTGCTGTTGTACTGTTCTGTAGTACTGTGCTGTGTTGTAGTATTTGGACTGTGTTCAAACAGAATCTCAGCGCAGCACAGCACAGTACTACAGTACTACAGTACAGCTCTACAGTACAGTATAGCACAGCACAGCACAACTGCTGTACTGTACTACTGTACTACTATTCTTCTGTACCACTATACCACTGTGCTGTACTGTGCTGTAGTACTGTGCTGTAGTACTGTGCTGTAGTACTGTGCTGTAGTACTGTGCTGTAGTACTGTACTGTAGTACTGTGCGGTGCTGTGCTGTGCTGTATTGGATTGTAGGGCTGTAGTGTACTGTACTGTACTGTACTGTGCTACTGTCCTGTACTGTGGTGCTGTACTGCACTGTACTTTAGTACTGTACTGTATTGTAGTGTGATGTTCTGTGGTGTACTGTAGTACTGTACTATGATGTGCTGTAGGACATTATGGCCAGAGGATCCATGTGTGGGATTGGACCACACATCGGAAGCTGCAGACCCTGGACTTGGGTGAAGATGGCGCTATTCCCCTGGAGATCCGATTCCTGCACAACCCGGACGAGCGTCAGGGCTTTGTGGGCTGTGCGCTCCGCTCCAACGTGTTCCGCTTCTACAGAACTGAGGTGTGTGTGTGTGTGTAAACTCCTTCATATTTTCTCAGATAGATATGGCATCCTCCAAAATCTCTCCCAGGGACCAATTATGCAATTATGCTTATAGCACTTTCTGACCATGGAGACAGTGTAAACAGAGCAGATATAAAACACTGTATAAAGTTTAAAGTAAACCAAAAAGTAAAATTATAAACTGTTTTTGTGAAATGACATTGAGCCTGTGTTGCATAAACATTTAGGTTAGGCTTATGATAAGGCTGCATAAAATCATATATTTGTAATTAACCCCGTGTGTGTGATTGTGCAGGAAGGCCAATGGGAAGCAGAGAAAGTCATCAATGTTCCCAGTAAGAAGGTGGAAGGCTGGATGCTGCCGGAGATGCCAGGTGGGATCAGCATACCTTCTGTGTGAATGTGTGCCTGTGTGTGTGTGTATTACCAGGCTACATATGCATTTGTGTCATTGTCACGCTGATTTTTGCTCAGATGTGAAGCTGCATGAATCAGATTTTTTCATGGCAGTGTGAACAGGTGCTCACTTTGTTCCTTTTCTCACACGGTTACAGTACAGGTTACAGTTTTTCACTGGAAAAGGAACAAAACACACACTAAAGAACCATATTGAAGCTAGAAATGTTTTAAAAGCTACAATCTGTAACTTTATTTGATATTTTTGTAGTGTTGTTCAACGATTTAAAAAATTTATCAGTTTAATCACCTTTGAAATATGATAAATTCATGTAACAGTTTCTAATTTGATGCATTTTTAAACATATGTAATTATTTCACAAATCCAAAATAAATATACGTCTAGAAGTTGCATTTAATGGGTCAAACAGCCACAGACCGATCTGTGCTGGTGCACATGAGGATGGATGGACTTTATGTGTAAATGTGCTCGTGTGCATCAGCACAGCTCCTGAGCACAGTGTTTCTTGTGTCAGGTTAACCTCCAACCAAACTTAGGTCGGCGATTGGTCACAACAGATCATGTGATTAATCTGCATGCTTTTGTGGATGATGCATTAATTTGTTTTGATTGGTCAAATACTTTAGCCATTTTTACCAAAATGACTATGCGATGCTGCCGAAGCCTATGTGTATCACTGATTAAGAAAATAAAACTGAAGAAAGAAGTGCGTATGTCACAGTGGGCATGTACTGGTGGAGGTGAAACGGGAGTAGATCGGCAAAATGCCCTCTTAAACGTGAGTGATTAATGATCCACAAACATGCACAAATCACTCCAAATACAACTTCAGAGGAAACTGCTAACATGAAAAGTTGATTTTGCATAATAGATCTGCTTTAAAGTTAGTTGAAATTTTGTAAAAGAAAATGTGTCAACTTAAAATTTCATTTATAATACCAGTTTTAGGTAATCATATACTGGCAGACTGTTCTCACTGATATATATTGAACCGGTCCTTTAAAATATGCTCTTCTGCACATCAGGACACTCCAGGGCTGTGTACATGCAGAAACTGATTTGTGTCACATTTTAATTTGCAATGAGAATACTCCAAGAACATCCTGTGACCTGCAGTGTGACCCTTGGCTTTTGTTTCATACCAGGCTTGATCACAGACATCCTCATCTCCTTGGACGACCGATTCCTCTATTTCAGCAACTGGCTCCACGGAGATGTCCGGCAGTATGACATCACTGACCGCCGGAAGCCACGATTGGTTGGACAGGTATGGCATGACCAATCAAAGGTCATTCAGACACACCTATCGGGAGACTGTCCATGCTGTGCTCAGTGTGGTATTAATTAAAGCTAGAGATGTCTGTTCTGTTGCTGTGGTGATTGCAGCAGCCATCTTGTGAGTGGAGGAATCTGCAAAACTGTAATTGACAGGCATTAGATAAAGAAATACAAATGACGCCCATTTAAGTAAGGTAAAGGTACACTTTATTCCCCCAATGGACACATGGAGAACATGCAGCCTCCACACAGACACAAGGAAGAATAGAAAGGCCTGTCTGCTGGAACTGCATGTTGGTTACTGTAGCGACTATCCACAGTCTATTTAATTCAGGCGATATGCTCAATAATTATTATTTTTTGCCTTATTTTTGTCCTGCAGAATGCCAAACTGCGCTTTCTGACTCATTTAAGGCCCTGTATTAAATATCTAATATATCTAGGCCTATAGCCTAGCTATGGCAAATATATATAGGCTGTATGAATGGACACAGCTAATGTGCGAGCTGTCACTTTCCAAAGAGGAAGTGTTCGTGGAGGTCCTTCCTGCTCCAACGATTCTCTTTCCAGTTCACTTTATAACTGGAATATTGTCCCCTTCTTTATGTAACTGCTGCTGTGTGAGCATTGTCATTTTGGGCTTAAAGCATTCATATTAACCTGCCCTACATGATCCTGGGGTTTTTATTTTTCTATTTTGTGCATAAATAAATTCCTATTCCTAATATGGAGCTGGGCTTCAGATTCGCCCCTATAACTGCTAGCCTCGTTAGCTTCATTTGACTGGAGCCGAACATTATGGGTGATGTCACACTCACTCAGTTCACTTCTTTATACATTTTGTGCCGGTCTTAGATTTTCCGCCTGTGCCTGTGCTCTGTTCTTCTAGGTGTTTCTTGGGGGCAGTCTGGTGAACGATGGTCCAGTCAAAGTGCTCCATGATCCGGAGAACCGCGGCCAGCCGGACCCTCGCATCATTAAAGTATGTGGTGTACAGGACAGGAAGGGCATTGTGCCTCTGTTCTGTTGTAAACAGATACTGATACTCACAAACACTTCAATTATCAACATAAAAGACTTAAAGTGCATGAAACAAGTTTGACAAAAACCTGTCCCATTGACAAAGTGAACACTTTCATGTAATGCATGTGGCATGTTCACTGTTTTCATAATTGTTGAAGTGGAGGTGGTAGGTTTTCATTCACTCACACTCAGTTTGTGAAGAAAAATGAAAAGTAAAATACATCACTTCTACTCCTACTACTGCCATATCAGTACACAACACTCTAGCCAGAATGCAGGGACAGGTTATTCTGAAGGAACGCAAATTTGTGGCAGTTTAAATATTCATTTATCAAATAAAGGTTGTCGTCACATAGGAGGGGCAGGGTCTGGGGTATAAGCAGCAGTGTGATTGGTCTAACACTAAAACTGTGCAGTCATGTGTGATGTCACCAACTATTTGAAAGAGCAGAGACCGCTGAAGGCACCACACACTTAGATACAGGTGTTTTTGACCAGAAAGATGGAAATGTACATAGTTTGCTCTAAAGATGCCATAAATAAATAAACACTAGGAAGAGCAGATATGCTCTTAAAATACCATATAGGTTTAGTAAAAAAATAGTGGATTTATTGTTTAATGAATAATGTAGTTATATATACATTGCATAAACAGAATATACATTCTGTGGTTTAATAGAAATACAGTTGTGGATATATATTTCTTGTGTGTTGTGTATTATATGGAAATGGGAGCACTTGTCCGTGGGTGTAAGCAGCTGTCTCTCTCTGGTCCAGGGGAAGCGTATACCTGGAGCTCCACAGATGCTGCAGCTGAGTCTGGACGGGAAGAGGCTGTACGTGACCACGTCTCTGTACAGCGGCTGGGACAAACAGTTCTACCCCGACATGCTGCGGTAAGACTAGGCCACAATTACAAAGTCCTCTTATCATTTAAAGGGCCTATATTAAACAAAACTGACTCTTGTGAGCTTTAAACCATGTTAGAATACTGTTACCTCCTCAAAAACAGACCATGTTTACGTAACCCTTTATTATCACTCTGTCTACATCTCCAAAGCTCAAATTGTTCTGTCCCACCTTGTGATGTTATGAAATGGTAGTTTTAAACAGTTATCTTTTACCTTTTGGTAGAGATTGGTAATTCCAGGGCTGAAATGATCTAAATGATTCTAGTGAAGGTGAGTGAAGTTTTAAAACACAGTGGCGCACTAAGTGTATTACCGCATGACATCACAAGGTGGAACGGAGTGTTTTCTGTTTGAGAGAGGAATATAGCCTAAATGTGCAGGGTTTGTATGCTAAACGTGTGTGAATGAAAAAAAAAACACAACTCCAGGTGTGTTTGTGATGAGGAAACTACATAGATAATACTTTATAACATAGATCAGAATATAGAGTAATACAGGCACTTTAATGTATATATGACAGAACGATACTTTTGGGGATTAGTACTTCTTCTTTGTACTAGTGTGAAACTTTTTTGTTATTTTTCTGTACTCTGAAAAGATTTGAGCTGTAGATGCTGTAGAAGTACATGACTCATTAGATATAAACTAAGTACTAAAGTGCTTTATTGTGCAGTTTATTTATTGCAGTTTGTGCAGTTTAACTATATTATGCATTTGGAATAGTTTTGAGGGATAAATCTGCTTTACAGTTAATGTGCCAGTGGCAAAACTAGTTTCTTTATTATTGTTTAGTAAGACTCTACCTACTGCTCACTCCCACTGCACAGTACAGGGCTTTAGACATGATTTCACATACTTACAGAATTAGTTTCATTTACTTGCGTAACTTTTTAGCAATATACTTTTATTGAGGTAGCAGCACCCTTACTTGTTGTGTTTGCTATTCCCACTGTGAATATATCTACAAGTGACAAAAGCTTTAACAGTATGAAGTGATTTGATAATAATTTCTTGTATTAATAGGAAACAGTGATAATACAGTCCTAGTCTTATCACTATATCCATTTTTCCTTCAATGCTGGAACAATATATTTTGGGGCTGAGTGTGTGCGTGTGCGTGCATGTGTATGTGTGTGTGTGTGCAGGGAGGGCTTGGTGATGATGCTGTGTGTGTGCGTGTGTGTGTGCGCATGCGTGTGCGTGTGGGGGGGTGGATGTGGTGGTGTGTGTGTGTGTGCAGAGAGGGCTCGGTGATGATGCTGTGTGTGTGTGTGTGCGTGTGTGTGTGGTGCCTGTGCGTGTGTGTGTGGGGGTGTGGGTGTGTGTGTGTGTGTGTGTGCAGAGAGGGCTCGGTGATGATGCTGTGTGTGTGTGTGTGTGCAGAGAGGGCTCAGTGATGATGCTGTGTGTGTGTGTGTGTGTGTGTGTGTGTGCAGAGAGGGCTCGGTGATGATGCTGTGTGTGTGTGTGTGTGCAGAGAGGGCTCAGTGATGATGCTGTGTGTGTGTGTGTGTGTGTGTGTGTGTGTGCAGAGAGGGCTCGGTGATGATGCTGTGTGTGTGTGTGTGTGTGCGCAGGGAGGGCTCAGTGATGATGCTGTGTGTGTGTGTGTGTGTGTGTGTGTGTGTGTGTGTGTGTGTGTGTGTGTGTGTGTGTGTGTGTGTGTGTGTGTGTGTGTGTGTGTGTGTGTGTGTGTGTGTGTGTGTGTGTGTGTGTGTGTGTGTGTGTGTGTGTGTGTGTGTGTGTGTGTGTGTGTGTGTGCAGAGAGGGCTCGGTGATGATGCTGTGTGTGTGTGTGTGTGTGTGCAGGGAGGGCTCAGTGATGATGCTGTGTGTGTGTGTGTGTGTGTGCAGGGAGGGCTCAGTGATGATGCTGTGTGTGTGTGTGTGTGTGTGTGTGTGTGCAGGGAGGGCTCAGTGATGATGCTGTGTGTGTGTGTGTGTGTGTGTGTGTGCAGGGAGGGCTCAGTGATGATGCTGTGTGTGTGTGTGTGTGTGTGTGCAGGGAGGGCTCAGTGATGATGCTGTGTGTGTGTGTGTGTGTGTGTGTGTGTGCAGGGAGGGCTCAGTGATGATGCTGTGTGTGTGTGTGTGTGTGTGTGCAGGGAGGGCTCAGTGATGATGCTGTGTGTGTGTGTGTGTGTGTGCAGGGAGGGCTCAGTGATGATGCTGTGTGTGTGTGTGTGTGTGTGTGTGCAGGGAGGGCTCAGTGATGATGCTGTGTGTGTGTGTGTGTGTGTGCAGGGAGGGCTCAGTGATGATGCTGTGTGTGTGTGTGTGTGTGTGTGCAGGGAGGGCTCAGTGTGATGATGTGTGTGTGTGTGTGTGTGCAGGGAGGGCTCAGTGATGATGCTGTGTGTGTGTGTGTGTGTGTGTGCAGGGAGGGCTCAGTGATGATGCTGTGTGTGTGTGTGTGTGTGTGTGCAGGAGGGCTCAGTGATGATGTGTGTGTGTGTGTGTGTGTGTGTGCAAGGAGGGCTCAGTGATGATGCTGTGTGTGTGTGTGTGTGTGTGCAGGGAGGGCTCAGTGATGATGCTTGTGTGTGTGTGTGTGTGTGTGTGTGTGTGCAGGGAGGGCTCAGTGATGATGCTGTGTGTGTGTGTGTGTGTGTGTGTGCAGGGAGGGCTCAGTGATGATGCTGTGTGTGTGTGTGTGTGTGTGTGCAGGGAGGGCTCGGTGATGATGCAGATTGACGTGAACACAGAGAAGGGAGGTCTGACTCTGAACGAGGACTTCCTGGTGGACTTTGGGAAAGAGCCGGACGGTCCGTCTCTGGCTCACGAGCTGCGCTACCCCGGAGGAGACTGCACCTCTGACATCTGGATCTGATCTCCTCAAAGCACACTTATGCAACGCAACGCACGCTCACAGCGCTCCACATGCACACTGTATTGATACTTTGCGCTGACTTCAAGCTGGGAGGGTTCTGCATGTATGTCTATGGTGGCATGTTCAGCAGTTACCACTGACTGAAAACTACATATGTTTGGATTTAAACAACAAATGTTCATCAATATGAGCATTCAGGTTCCTGTTTTAGGTGATTATCAACAAAAACAGTGACTGACAGTGACTCACCTGTTGTAGTTCGAGCTAAGTCAGTTCTTTATGGTCAAACTGTGCTAAATCGTCATTTATCCTCCACGTACATCTCTCAGTTTAACACTGACTCACAAAAGGTATATTTACACCATGATCTTCTCTTGGCATACCATTGTCTAAACTGTGGCTGGCCTCATAGTCTCACCACACTTTCTTTATAAACCTCGTCCTTTAGAAGCTTAGGAAAGGGGCTTGAAAATTCAGAGATGTTCACTTTTGAAATCATACTATGTTGACTTTTCAAGTCCCCCAGGCCTGTATTATTGATGGTAAATAAACTTCTCCTGCTTAAGACGTCCAGTTGGTCTCCAGCCTTTTACTTCCACCCTTTGGACAAGCTGAAAACTTCTACAACAGCTTCACCCCCCAGGGAATGTTGAATGACATCAGGAGCAAAGTATCAATACAAATGCCGCTTTATCAAATGAAACTCTAATGTATCTCCACTGCACCTGTCACAGCAGGTGGCAGGTGCGTGCATAGATCTAACACAGTCTTATGAGGTGATCATTTGCTTTGCTTTGCACTTTTGCCTTGTTTTCTTTGTAATGACCAAATCACAGAGACCACAGTGTTATTGTGTCAGGAGCACGGACAAGATGATTCATTGTCAAATAAAACAGAAGTCTGAGACCACGGTGTTTGTGAGTCATGTTCAAACTATGGGACTTCACAGGTTAAAGCCATAGTGTGTAACTTTTTTGTTGTCACCAAAAATACACTAATGTTTATGGATGTGTAGGTTGCTCTGAAAAACAGGAAAACATGCGTCCTTACTGTGAGCGGGCTTGCATCTCCACAAACCTGACTTCTGGCCTGAAAGAGGATCTCCTCCTGCCTGTTTTTAAGGGAATGTTGTTTTTTTGGCTATATTCCACAGTATGGCATAAAATGTATCTGTCTCCTTAAGAAATATTATGGTTTTGATTTTTTATTTCTGTGGAATCATGCGGGTGACTTTCCACCATAAAAAAAGTTACATACTATTACTTTAAAGACACAGCTTTTACAAAAGAATATTAAAACGTATGTTTTACAGTTAAACATATATGTAAAGAGGCATATGACAATTCTATGGGGTATTAACCAGTAATACATAACATATTTAGATCACCATATTACTTTTTAGTGTTTTGAAAATGCTATATTTGCCGAACAGTCTTCCCTGCCTCTGCTCTCCACACTAAGTCACTTCCCCTTCAGAGCTGCCTGAGTAGCCAGTCCCTTCTACATTCTGTTCAAATCCAGAAGGGTCTGGAACTGGACCACAGAGTGTGAAAAACCTCCACAACCACCAACCACCAACCACAGCTACTCATTCATAATCATACCATCTGAAATCAGGAAGACAGGATATGGCTTTTTTTTTATTTTTAATTTTTTTACAAAGTTTCTGGGTGCACAGGTAACCTTCAGAGCACTATCACAACACCGTCAGTGTGCGCCCCATGGTTTTATATCATGTTGTTGGATATTTAAGGAGAATTGTCTTGTGGGAGCATGGGTGACGTAAGCTTGTGGGTGGAGCCTTGCACAGAATGTCATAGTTAACCGTAAGGTGTGATGACATCTGAAACCTCTAGGTATGTTTTTGATGAACATTATAAACATGGTAGAAAGCTCCAAAAACGCCCCTCTTCAAAAAATATGTGAGCACCGCCTCACATAAGCGAGCAGAATCTGGAACGCAGCCTCTCTAAAAGAGGAGGCATCTGCCCACTATCAGGACTCTCAGGGGGCAGAGCTTCTGTCTTCTGGACCAATGACACTTCACTGTGGAGAGAGGACAGGCAGAGGATGAGAGATGCACCGGCCCCAGCAGCAGATCACCAGCGCAAATATTACAGATACCTTTATATGTACAGACTTGGACACTTAGACAAACTTTATTGATCCACAATGGAAATTATTTGGATAGCATCACAATTTTATACAAAGGTCCTATATTACTTAAACTTGCCTCTTGTGAGCTTTAAGCAATGTTATGCTTTTACCTCAAAATCATACCTGGAGTTGCGCATTGTTTCATTCACACAAGTTTCAGTAATCCTGTATTTTGATTCTGTCTACGTCTCTAAAGCTCAAAACCTCCACCTTGCGATATATGAAGTGGAAGTTTTCAAGTTAACAGCTCCTTTTTACCTTTTGTTTAGTCTCTAGTAGAAATTGTAAACTGCAGACCTGAAATAATCTAAATGAGTGTAGTGAAGGTGTATGGAGTTTAAAAACACAGTGGAGCACCTCCTGTATTACCACATGACATCACAAGGTGGAAAGAGTATTTTCTGTTTGTGGGAATGAATAAATATACTGGATTTGTATTTTTATTCACATGTGTGAATGAAACGAAGCACAAGTACAGACCTGTTGGTGACGTGGAAACTACATTATAACATAGATCAGAAAATTTAGTAATAGAGCTCCTGCAGTTGTCGTCACGCAATCCCAGCATGCACCTCCAGACCCCACACTGGAACCAAGAGACCCCACACTCCCACAAGAGACACCTCCAGACCTCGCACTGACACCTCCAGACCTCACACTGACACCTCCAGACCTCACACTGACCTCACCTAACACCAGACCCCACACTGGCAGTAGAACAGTGGAGAATTCCCATAGAAACTAATGGCGTAGACTATACCTGGCCCGGAATAAACTAAGTGGAGGTTCAGAGATTGTGAATTACTGTTGCTCCAGGATGTAACAAGACAGAAGAAAGCCTGAGTCTTTTACCGGATTTACAAAGCTCCAGACTGATGCACATTCTGCAGCTAATCAAGCCAGACATGGATTAATCTATGAATGTATTTTTATATCACTATTCTTTTTTTAAATTTGGTTTTATGTAAATGGTTAAAGCATGGTCTCATAACCATTCAAGAGCTGTACATTTGTGTATGGTTGATTAGGATGAAATAGTCTATTAATGAGACAGAGAGAGTAGACTGAAGAGAAATGATCCCAAAAGCTTTTTGCTAAACACAGTTCATATGTTTAACATTAATGATGCTTAGAAATGTGGATTGTAGAAAATAAAATCACAACCTCAACTGTGTTTATAACATTGACATAATCCACCAACTTGCCATCCCTGTCAGGTGAGTCACATGAGTCCAGGACCCTTTAAGTGGCAATTTGCTGAAAAAGTTAATTATATAGGAAATAGAGATGAAAAACAGAATCCCTCTGCCTATGTCCTCATCATGGAAAACTCCATAAAGATGCAAAAGCATGATACAATACTCTACACAATGACAACAGCAACAACTTGACAAACCTGATGTGACAGGCAGAATCTAGTTTAGTGGGATGCACACTGACTGTGTTGCGAAAGTGTCTGAAGGGGAAGTAACTCAGAGCATCAAAAATGAGTAATACTTATAAACTTGTTAACATGGTATTTTGGCAAAATATAGCATTTAAAAAAAAGGAACAGTAAGAATATTGTTACTCTATATGTAGGAGTAAAAGTATGTTGCTATAAAAGTACTCTCAGTATTTTTTTTCTTAAGTAAATACAACTAAGCAATTAAAACAGAGTACTAGCCACCTCTGAGTGCTTTTTGGAGACAATGTATGGGTGTGACCAGTGGACTTGTACAGTTTATGTATGGTCAGAGAGAAAGACGTACCTGTCAGTGTGCAGCTCCCTGTCAGACCACGGCTCACCTGGAACACAAACACCAAATCATTTCTCTCCACATGTTTAAGAAAAAAAATCTTGCCCCAGTACAGGCAGATTCTATAAGCAGATCTTGAGGTCAAATGCTGCTATGTACTGTCTGCATCTAATTATAAACCATGTTCTTGTCCGAGAATCAGGAAGTGCTCGGTTATTGTTGGCTTTACTGTTGATTTCACCTATTCAATATCTCTGCCTACAGTGACGAGACAAGGCCATAGCTCTGCAGTGCATTCACACACAAAAAATAACTCAACCTGGGTAAATGAATAACCCAGCACTGGGTCACTATTGGACCAACACAACGCAGGGTTATTTTGATCCAGCAGTTTGGGTTTTTATTTTAACCTGCCTTCAGTGAAAGGCAAAACAATGTCTATTATTATGTTCCATTTGAAATGATCCAATTTTGACTCAACCTGTTGATCCATCCTTGGGTTACACAAAACTGTCCAATTCTGTGAAAATAACCCACAAAAATAACCCAAATATCCTAACCCAGCTGCTGGGAAGAAAATTATCACAGCATTTTAGGATGTGAGCGAGACGATAAATTATGAACTGTGTTTGTGCTACATTAGTGCCCAAAGGCCAAAGCTCAGGGCCCAGTGCCCAAGGCCCAGAGCTCAGTACCCATCCTGGGTCAGAGGCAGGTCAAGGCCATAGCACTTCTGCTCTGCACACTTTCATTACCCAGGCGCCACCTAGTGGTTATGAGCTGAGACACCAGCAACCAACAGAGAACAAGACCAGAAAACATGATCTGTTTTTAACACCTTAAGGTCTTTCACTGTTTTTTTGTATTCTGTTCTGTCATATTTGTCATTTTGTACATGCTTTGTACACGTTCTGTAAGCCTAGCATTGATATTTCTGATGTTCTTACATAACAGACCCTATGTCCTGTCAATCATCTTTGCACTGTTTTCCTTACAACCTCTTGTATATAGCTAAGGTATATTTGTATTATTTCTTTTGACTTATAATAAGACATAATTATATATATTTATATAATTATGTCTTATTTGACACCTATCGTTTTTGCTAAATTCCTACTTATTTAGAATTCATTACCATTTATCCATTTATATTTTTTCTATATATATTGTGATGTGTGAACTACTGTGTCCAAGTAATTTTCCTTGTGGATCAATAAAGTTTGTCTAAATCTAAATTCTGAGTGATGCAAGTCAGGATTAGCATTTAATGTCAATCTGCCAAGATGCCAATTCAATCTAGAATAAATCTAATCTAAATACCTGAAGAAGCATAATGTTTGAAATTATATGATATAGAGCACAGGTGTCAAACATGCGGCCCAGGGGCCAGATCCGGCCCTCCAAGACCTTTAATCTGGCCCTCTGCTGATTTTCTACTAAAATATTTTAATTCTATTTTTTATTAAAATATTAATTTTCTGTGGTGTTTATCACAGCAGCGTCTCTAGCGTCTCTGTACGTGGCCCCTCCCACCAGAGCAGCACAAATGAAGACTTGTCTCTTTCCAAACGCTCTTAAAGGACGATCATTTTGACTGTTGACCGTGACACCCTCATCAGAAAAATGTCCAACATGAGAAAAGTGGAGCCGACTGCAGGATTTTCCAAGAAAAATTTACTTATTCCTATTTATACAAGTATGTCATTGACTTGAGTATCGGAGAAATATGGGCAGGTTTTGTTGTGTATTTGGTTGTTCTAGATGCTCTGAACGGGATAAAACGATTCGTTTCTTCAATGTTCCTCTGGAAATGACTCATCAGGATCAAACAAGGGAATTATAGAAAAAAAAAGACGGGAATTATGGCTAGAGAACATAAACCACGAAGAGATTTCCAATGGTCCCATTAAGACACACTCACGTCACTTTCATCAAGGTATTTGCTATTTAAATTGTTTCATAGCTTATTTAAGGAGAGAAACACATTTACTGAACTAAAATGTAAAAAGAAAACATTTGCAGTGTGAGTGTCAGTAGAAACTGTATCTTCCAACGCACATATAAACATGTCACTCGTCGTAGGACCCATGTTTTCTTTATTGTCTTGTTTATCCACAACTATGTCTTCTAGAATGAATCACTTTTTGCGAGTGGATCTTTCTAATGTTCGCGAGGATCTTTTAATGGTCGATTCTTTCGAGGTTCGGCTCACAGACTCTTCGACTCGTGCGCCATGTTGATCACAGGAGCCCAGTGTGGGTTCGTTGAATATAAACTAGTGCAGGTTTTCCTGGATAAATTAATGAAATTTTAGTTCAGTAAATGTGCTTCTTTCATTAAACAAGCTATGAAACTATTTAAATAGCAAATACCTTGATGAAACTTTGGGTGTCTTGATGGTACCATAGGAAATCTCTTTGCGGTTTATTTTTGCTAGCCATAATCCGCGTCTTTTTTTTGATAATTCCCTTGTTTGAGCTCCCTGATGAGTAATTTCCAGAGGAATAGTGAAGAAACGAATCGTTTTATCCCTTTCAGAGCGTCTAGAACAACCAAATACACAACAAAACCTGCCCATGTTTCTCCGATTGCTACTGAAGTCAATGACATAGTGTGCCTGGTGTCATGGCGGCGTAGGTACTGTTGCTATAGGGGTCACGTGACGGTGCAAAGCCTCTATAAACCAAGCAGCAGGAGGATGATCATGTTCATATATGAACTGTATGACATGAGCTCTGTTTAAGCACAGTTTAAGACACTTTACCAGATTTTTACTGTCGATACACGTGAAAAACATCTAGTTCATCTGAAATGGTTTGCAGCGGTACAAACTTCTAACATACTAATTATTCACTGCAGAGAGTGTAAGATTGAAGCAGATAATTCCAACCTATGGCAGAAAATTGAAAAATGACAACTCACTTAGCTCCTCCCCTTTTGGCTCATCTTTCTGCTGACTCAGTGCTTTTGTGGGACTTGGCATGTCCAGTCTTCTGTAACAGAGAAAGCTCATTGGAATACATATCACAATTAGCACATTTATGAAATATACGTTTCTCTTTTGCCTTACCTGGAAAGGGGGCTCAGTGGGTGGGGTCTGATCTGTCCAAAAGGGCGTGGTCTCTGTGGTTAGACAATACAGAGCATAGTAGTAGTTTTGTAGTTTTGTAGTTTTGCCTGGAATAGTCCACAGTATGGCATTAAATTTATCTATCTCAGCCTGACAGGAACTTTGTGCCAGTTTTTATTTCTTGTGGATAGGCCCAGTAATAGCAGAAGAATGAATAGAGATACAATTCTGACCTGTCCTCCAGCTCACTGTAAACAATTAAGACTTTGCAATGACATCACGCTGGGGGTGTTCTACATGTATGTGTATTGGCGAAATGTTTGTCTTACTATAGAGACGCAAAGCACACATTATAAATCACTGCCAAATAAGAGCACAAAATGGATTTAAACAGCTCATTTTGAGAAGCCTGTGATCAGTACCAGCATTCATGGTTTAGGTGTCAGTATCTTTTGGATAGAATTCTTCATCAGTGTGTTTAGAACTCTCTAAAATAGAACTCTCCACTTCCTGTAATTTTCAACAGATTTTTCAACTTTCTTTGCAAACTGATTTTTGATTAAGGAACTGTCTAGAACTCTGGCCTCTTTAAGCTTACTACACTTCCATATGTACCAGTACACTCTGACTGAAAATGACTTCCTTTGGAATCTTTCCCACCATGGAAAACTCACTCCAAATAAGAGATTACACGACTCATGAAATAAGAAGTGCAGTTCCAACCTGTGCCACTGAGATGCGCAGAGCAGCAGTGAGCCGCTCCACCAGCCGCTGGCCCACACCTTCAGAATCCTGCAAACAACAGCCACTTAGAAAGAGCGTGTGTGTGTGTGTGTGCGTGTGCGTGTGTCGCCTTCAGAGTCCTGCAAAGTACAGCCACTTAGAAAGAGCATGTGTGTGTGATACCTGACAGTGGTTGAGGCAGAGCAGGGCCTGCATGTGTGTGTGTGTGTGTGTGTGTGTGTGCGTGTGTGTGTGTGTGTGTGTGTGTGTATGTGTGGTACCTGACAGTGGCTGAGGCAGAGCAGGGCCTGTCTGTACAGTTGTATGGCTTTGTGTTGCTTCCTTTGCTTGAGGTAGACTTCAGCCAGAGCCTCACACACCTGCACCTGTGCACTGTGCTCCTCTGGAACACCACAAAAACACAAGCACTAAGCTCAAAGGCACAATGTCAGATCAGAACAGGCCTCTCATGATCACAAGTGGGGAAAGCAGCCAAAAATTCTACTCAAGTAAGAGTTAGTTTAAAATTAATATTATTAATATTATTAAGTAGAAGTAGTAAGTACTACTTTAGTCCAAGAAATTACTTAAGTATGTGTAAAAACATATTTGGGAAAACTACTACTCATCAAGTAAGTACACGTAAAGAGTCAGTGTCAGGAAAAGATATCTGAGTACATGTAACTAGTATAAGCCACATCTGGTAGTGATAACACACTGAGAATGCAATAAATAAGCATAAACATGCAACTGAAACTAACTAAAAGAGAAGTATTATTGTACTATTGACACATTGCAGTGACATCATGCTAGGGGTGTTCTGCATGTATGTGTCTGGCGGAATGTTCATCATTGACCATGGTGACACAATGCACACATCAAATCTGAAAACTCAAGAAACTGAGAGCTGATAGAATGATTCTAATGGCTAAAATGCACCTGAGTCAGTGAAGCCCTGCAGTGCGTGGTTGAAGCTCTCGATGGCCTCCTCGTCGTTTCCAAGGTGACGACAGGCCAGTGCCAGGTTACTGAAGGACTGTGCCTGTTCTCCACGTAGCCCCAGGAATCCTGAAAAGCACACATATTAAAAGGGACATTGTATATTAAAGTGAACTGACCATGAGCTTTAAACTATGTTAGGATGGTTCTCCCTGATCATCATAATGTACACACAGTTGTATTTGAATTCATGTATTCATGAGGAATCCTGTATTGTCCTGCATTCAACTTGAGAGCCTTGAATGCAAATGTTTCTCATCTACCCCCTATCTCCACCCACTATTTCCATATGAATAAGAAATGCATATATTTATTCATTATGTAAAATCACCTTTTCGGACGTAACACCTGATTTTTGATTTGAAGTGAATGTAAAGCACAGAACATAAAAAATGCACAACATTTTTTAAAGTCGTAGTAAGTCATTTTAGATCAATAAAACAAAGGTAACACAATGATGCATGGGTCTTAAAGAACTATATAGCAGACTCAAGCACAAGTCCATGATGAGGCTGGTATACACCTGGACCACTGTGAGGCTAAGGCCTGATTCTGATCGGACAGTTCAGCGTGAGACTCACCGTAGAGCTTAGCAGCCAGGCGATGGTATTCCAGAGCAGCTTTGAACTCCCCCACAGCGTTCAGAGCTGCCCCCAGGTTCAGCAGCACTTTGGCCAGCAGGGGGCGCTCCTGCAGGTGGCTTAGAGCCTTTTGGAAACACTGCACTGCCTCCTGGAAGGAGCGCACCTGACAGAAGATTACACCCACTGACAGGTACAGCTCACCTGAAAGACAGCCAGCAAACATTAAGATCATTTAACAAGATTACATTTTTAAGCAGCTTTGACTACATTACCCAAAATGCTTTGGTCAGTGATGCCATCGGTCAGGCTGAGGCAGTCGGACAGGACCTTAGTGACCTCGCTGGGACTGGACTCTGCTTTGACCATATGAGTGGCCGCCTCTTTTAAGGCCACAGCAGCAGAGTGCAGCATGTTAGCCACGTGGTAGCTTTCAGCGGCCCGTAGGTAGCTGCTAACCGCTAACGAGTGCTCCTGAAATCACAATATATATATATATATATATATATATATATATATATATATATATATGTCCATCAAATGTGGCATATACCAAGGAGACTCACTGTCCCCACTACTGTTCTGCATAGGCCTGAACCCTCTCAGCCAAATAATCGACCGCACTGGCTATGGATACCGACTCAGAAACGGGGCCACCATCAGTCACCTCCCCTACATGGATGACATCAAGCTGTACGCTAAGAGTGAGCGAGACATCGACTCACTGATCCACACCACAAGGATCTACAGTACAGACATTGGGATGTCATTCGGGCTTGAGAAATGTAGCAGGATGGTGACAAAGAGAGGGAAGGTAGTCCACACAGAGGGGGTGTCACTCCCAGAGGGAACAATAGCAGACGTTGAGGACAGTTACAAGTACCTTGGTATCCCACAAGCAAGTGGCAACCTCGAAGAGGCAACAAGGAAAGCGGCTACGGCCAAATACCTGCAAAGAGTGAGGCAAGTCCTTAGAAGCCAGCTCAATGGCAAGAACAAGGTGCAGGCAATCAACAGCTACGCCCTGCCAGTGATCAGATACCCTGCAGGGATTGTAAGCTGGCCAAAGGAGGAGATACAGACCACAGATGTTAAGACACGAAAACTCCTGACCATGCATGGAGGGTTCCATCCCAAATCCAGCACCCTGAGACTGTACGCAGGCCGGAAGGAAGGGGGCCGAGGACTAGTGAGTGTGGGAACCACTGTCCAGGATGAAACATCCAAGCTCCTTGAGTACATCAAGGACAAGGCCCCGGCAGATGAGGTGCTCAGAGAATGTCTCAGACAGTGGGGTCCAGAGGAAGAGGTGCTGGAGGGACCATCATGGCAGGACAAACCCCTACATGGGGCGTACCACCGGAACATAACTGAAGTGGCTGATATCAAGAAATCCTACCAATGGCTTGAGAGGGCTGGTCTGAAGGACAGCACAGAGGCACTGATCCTGGCTGCTCAGGAGCAGGCCCTGGGCACTCGAGCAATAGAGGCCCAGATCTACCACACCAGACAAGACCCACGGTGTAGACTGTGCAAAGAGGCTCCTGAGACAGTCCAGCACATAACTGCGGGGTGTAAGATGCTGGCAGGGAAAGCATACATGGAGCGACATAACCAAGTGGCGGGCATAGTGTACAGAAACATCTGTGCAGAGTACGGGCTGGAAACCCCAGGATCAAGGTGGGAAACACCTCCAAAGGTTGTGGAGAACGACCGAGCCAAAATCCTGTGGGACTTCCAGATACAGACTGACAGAATGGTGATGGCGAACCAACCAGACATAGTGGTGGTGGATAAGAAACAGAGCAGAGCCGTGGTGGTTGACATCGCAATACCAAGCGATGGTAATATCAGGAAAAAGGAACACGAGAAGCTAGAGAAATACCAGGGGCTCAAGGAAGAGCTGGAGAGAGCCTGGAAAGTAAAGGCATCAGTGGTGCCTGTGGTGATCGGAGCACTCGGGGCTGTAACCCCCAAACTGGAAGAGTGGCTACAACAGATACCGGGAAAAAACAACGGACATCTCAGTCCAGAAAAGTGCAGTACTGGGAACAGCAAAGATACTGCGCAGAACTCTCAAGCTCCCAGGCCTCTGGTAGAGGACCCGAGCTCAATGAGGGTGAGAGAGACCTACCACCATGGAAGGTGAGAAACACATTTTATTTTTATTATATATATATATATATATATATATATATATATATAATATATATATATATATATATATATATATATATATATATATATATATATCACATCTATCTATATATCTATATATCTATATATCTATATATATATATATATATATATATATATATATATATATATATATATAATAGTTCGTCAACCTGGTTTAGTGTTTTATGGCCTGTACTATGCTGTTTCTCTCTGATCTGCTGAAAATATGTAAATAAACATCCATCCATTTTCGGCCGCTTATCCGGGGTCGGGTCGCGGGGGCAACAGTCTAAGCAGGGACTCCCAGACTTCCTTCACCCCAGCCTCCAGCTCCTCCGGGGGAACCCTGAGGTGTTCCCAGGCCAGCCGAGAGACATAGTCCCTCCAGCGTGTCCTGGGTCTTCCCCGGGGCCTCCTCCCGGTGGGACATGCCCGGAACACCTCCCGAGGGAGGCGCCCAGGAGGCATCCGGAACAGATGCCCAAGCCACCTCAACTGGCTCCTCTCGACGTGGAGGAGCAGCGGCTCTACTCCGAGCTCCTCCCATGTGACTGAGCTCCTCACCCTATCTCTAAGGGAGCGCCCAGCCACCCTGCAGAGGAGACTCATTTCGAGCGCTTGTATCCGTGATCTCTTCCTTTCGGTCACTACCCAGAGCTCATGACCATAGGTGAGAGTAGGAACGAAGACTGACTAGTAAATCGAGAGCTTCGCCTTTCGACTCAGCTCCCGCTTCACCACAACGGTCCGATATAGCGACCGCATCACTGCAGATGCTGCACCGATCCACCTGTCAATCTCACGCTTCATCCTCCCCTCACTCGTGAACAAGACCCCGAGATACTTGAACTCCTCCACTTGAGGCAGGGACTCTCCACCCACCCGGAGAGGGCAAGCCACCTTTTTCTGGTCGAGAACCATGGCCTCGGACTTAGAAGAGCTGATCTTCATCCCAACCGCTTCACACTCGCCTGCAAACCGCCCCAGTGCACATTGCAGGTCCTGGTTTGATGAAGCCATCAGGACAACATGAAACAGCAAAGATGAGATCCTGTGGTCCCCAAACCGGACCCCCTCAGGCCCCTGACTGTGCCTAGAAATTCTGTCCATAAATACAATGAACAGAACCGGTGACAAAGGGCAGCCCTGTCGGAGTCCAACATGCACCGAGAACAGGTCTGACTTACTGCCGGCAATGAACACAGCTCCTGCTCCAGTCATACAGGGACCGGACAGCCCTTAGCAAAGGACCCGGACCCCAGACTCCCAGAGCACCCCCCACAGGACACCACGAGGGACACGATCGAATGCCTTCTCCAGATCCACAAAGCACATGTGGACTGGTTGGGCAAACTCCCATAAACCCTCGATGGAGAGTGTAGAGCTGGTCCAGTGTTCCACGGTCAGGATGAAAACCACATTGCTCCTCCTGGATCCGAGGTTCGACTATCGGACGGATTCTCCTCTCCAGTACCCTGGCATAGACCTTACCGGGAAGGCTGAGAAGTGTGATTCCCCTGTAATTGGAACACACCCTCCGGTCCTCCTTCTTATACAGAGGGGCCACCACCCCGGTTTGCCAGTCCAGAGGTACTGTCCCCGTCCGCCACGAGATGTTGAAGAGGCGTGTCAGCCAAGACAGCCCCACAACATCCAGAGACTTAAGATACTCAGGACGGATCTCATCCACCCCCGGAGCCTTGCCACCAAGGATCTTGCCAACCACCTCAGTGACTTCAGCCAGGGTGATGGACGAGTCCTCCTCCGAGTCCCCAGTCTCGGCTTCCTCTTCGGAAGACGTGACGGTGGGATTTGTTAAGATCCTCAAAGTACTCCTTCCACAACACAACGTCCCCAGTAGAGGTCAACAGCTCTCCCCCCGCACCTGTAAACATTGTTGGTGAAGAACTGCTTCCCCCTCCTGAGGCGCCGGATGGTTTGCCAGAATCTCTTTGAGGCCATCCGATAGTCCTCCTAAATAAACTTCAATGTATTGAAATAAAGATAAAAGAAATGGCCCGCCCCCTGCTCGTCTCCAAGTAGATGTTATTAATTCTCCTGGAATGTTCCACAGTTTGGCATTAAGCTATGTGCCTCTGTTGAGACAAGCAGTTTACAATACTTTTGTTTCTATGTACTTAATAATATTTGTATTTAATCATTTGCATTGATGTGGTCACTCATCCCACTGTGACTCAGTCTTGTTGACCTGATTTGAACATGTGTTTTTTGCACTTCACCTTAAAGAAGAAGTATTTAGTCATAAATAGTGGCACAAACACACTTGAGATCATGATTTTACATTTCGCTCATTGTAAACTGTAATACTGATCTAAAGCTGCTTCATAAAAGAAACAGGTCCATTGGTCTGTTCAAAACTGAACTGATAAGACTCTTGAGGATTACTCACACATACAGGAACCAACTGAGGTAAAAGTTATGAAGAGAAATAAAAGCTGTTTCACAAGATATTGAAATTATAATATAAATACAAATTTGGAGACATTTGGTCTGTTCTTTGGAAATACTAGAATTTGTGCATTTTGTCAGTCCAATTACATCAGCTTTAATTCTTACATAAAACATCAGATGCTATGTCCAGACAGTTCTCAGTACTTGATTAGCTATATTTGTCAAATACATTATACTTTACTATTATTATTATTTAGTTAATTACTTGGACACATTTTACTTCTACTTGAGTAATATTCTTTTACAGGAACACAGTAACACAAAGTAAGCTATGGGAATTCTCTGTATTACTAACACAACTAAAGGTTTACTACTAGAGTTCCCAAAGCTCATGTCCTGGTGTGTGTGGTACTGCTGTGAGTGTGTGCTGCTCCAGACCTTCTCCAGGGCATGGCAGCGGCTCATCTCCCAGCAGCAGTGTCCCTCCTCTGAGCTGTTTCCTTGGGAGCTGTATAGCTGTGCGGCCTGGAGGAAGTGCTCTATGGCCTTCTGCCTCTGCCCCAGTGCATTATGGGCCAAGGCCAAGTTGAACTGGAGGTCAGGGAGCCGCTGGGACTTGGATCCAGGTTGTGCTTTACTCAGGTAGTCCAGTCCAGACTCAGGGTCTCCAGCCTCCACCAGTGCTGCACCCAGGTTCAAACAGCAGGCGGACACCACACGGGACTCCCCCAGCTACTGTCATGAAGGAACAATGAGTTACATGTGCTCATTTACAACCACGGCTGCCAGCAGCGTTCTTAGTTATAGTTTCTGACTGACTCTGACTTGGTTTGGTGAGGTGGTACCTGTCATTCAGCACATAAAGGTGATGTCATTTATTTGTATTAGTCTAATTTTAACTATTACTACTACAACTTTAGACAGGTTTTGGCCCATGTTTACATTATGGTTGCAAGATGAAAGCCTTTTCCTCTATGTATGGCATGAGTAGTCTGACCTGTCACACACTTTAAATAAAGTACAAAGTATGCATGAAAAATAATACCCAAAGTATAGTTACTAGTTACTTTTCACACAATTTTCTTAGAAGCATTTTATATCTGTCTTGTATACAAAAGTTGATACATTAGATGTGCATATTCTTGAGTAGAGCTCAGAGCAGAACTCGGAGCACAGAGGAGGCGAGCTCGGAGAATAGAGGAGCAGAGCTCAGAGCCCAGAGGAGCAAAACTCAAAGCACAGAAGAGCAGAGCTCAGAGCCCAGAGGAGCAAAGCTCAAAGCACAGAAGAGCAGAGCTCAAAGCCCAGAGGAGCAAAGCTCAAAGCACAGAAGAGCAGAGCTCAGAGCCCAGAGGAGCAAAGCTCAAAGCACAGAAGAGCAGAGCTCAGAGCCCAGAGGAGCAAAGCTCAAAGCACAGAAGAGCAGAGCTCAGAGCCCAGAGGAGCAAAACTCAAAGCACAGAAGAGCAGAGCTCAGAGCCCAGAGGAGCAAAGCTCAAAGCACAGAAGAGCAGAGCTCAGAGCCCAGAGGAGCAAAGCTCAAAGCACAGAAGAGCAGAGCTCAAAGCCCAGAGGAGCAAAGCTCAAAGCACAGAAGAGCAGAGCTCAGAGCCCAGAGGAGCAAAGCTCAACGCACAGAAGAGCAGAGCTCAGAGCCAAGAGGAGCAGGGATCAAAGCTCAGAGGAGCAGGGCTTAGAGCTCAGAGGAGCAGGGCTCAGAGCTCAGAGGAGCAGGGCTCAGAGCTCAGAGGAGCAGGCTTAGAGCTCAGAGGAGCAGGGCTCAGAGCTCAGAGGAGCAGGGCTTAGAGCTCAGGGAAGCAGGGCTCAGAGCTCAGGGGAGCAGGGCTTGGAGTCCAGAGTGACCTGGGTGGCGGCCTTCAGCGCTCGTCTGAAGAGCTGCAGAGCCTCCTGGGTCTGTCCCTGTTTCAGAGTCTGGTGTCCAGCAGTGGTTAGCTCCTCCACTTCGGCTGCTCTCTTTTTCCTCCTCCTTTCCCTCCTCTCTCTCCTCTCCTCCTGCTCTCTCTCCTGTGGTCAAAGTACAATATTATCTTCAATTCCAGAAAGTTAAGTTTGTTAAATATGATCAATAGGGACTGTTTTCTCAACTGGGGACAACACTAACTGTGCTTCTCTTCTGATAAAGGTGTAACACCTGTCATGGAGGGTTTATCACCTGCTTAGTGCATGGATATGCACTATTATGCATTATTATTCATAATGAAAAAGACATGCTTGTTACATAGTGTGGCTTTAAGGAAATGGTCCAAGCAGAATCTACATAGAAAGGCCCCACTCTTCCAGAAACCAGTCCCAGACACAACAGAACACCAAAAGTGTACCTTCTCATCTTCATCGAGGTCCTTCTCTTTGTCCTCCAGCTCCGAGGCCATCTTCACCTGAAAGTCACCAGGGGCACAGGTCATTCCCATGAAGGTTGCCTGACCAGCCAGTCCCTTCTTAACTCTGTTTGGTCAAAGTGTTTGGTTCTGGTCTGACCAGGCAAATAAAAGGGCACAGTTTGTATCGGTCCCTGTCTTTATCACAAACTCTCCAGTGCAACAGTCAGTAACTCTCCAATACGACAATCCCTAAAATCTGTAAAACATTAATTATTATTATTCAGTTTTTTTATATATATAACAAGGGAAGTAACCTGTGATTGATAAAAGGCTCTTGTCTCGATAGATACACCAGCCTATGTATATACTCTTTTGCTACGACTCACAGGATTTTACTTTGAATGCATTCAAAAACATGTTATTGATCCTACATCTGTGTGCTGAGCTGTGTTTCATTTCATTCACACGTTTGAGTAATCCTGCATGATTAGACTGTCTACATCTCCTTGTGATGATATGCAGTGGTAGTTTTCAAGTTACCAGCTACTTTTGGCATAACCCTAGTGAAGGTGTACGGAGTTTAAAAACCACAAAACTCAAAAACCACAACTCCAGGTATGTTTTTGATGAGGAAACAACATTATAACAGGGGTCAGAAAATAGCACAAATGCTTATTCTTTTACAAATGAGTCCAAGAGCGTAACGGATGGCTGACTGATGGACATTTGCTTCAAGTGAAATTACATTATACAGATATAGAAAGGGTGAACAGTCGAAGTCTCATTGGATATTGTCCATGGGCTGCAGACATGTCCGCGTGCATTAGGTTACGCTTCTCTCGGTACAAATGTGAGGGTCACGTGGAAGACAAACTTTACCTCTCTTCCGCCATTCTACGCGCGCAGCTCTTGACTTTATTCCCTTTTAATGCCGAATCTCTTCTTTTCTAGTCTCATCTGCGATATGATCATAGACTGTATAGCTATGATCATGGAAGTAGCGACGGGCAGCCTTCTTCCACTGAAGTTTGGTCGTTCCCATGACAACAAATGACCAACGAGAACAGAAAGACGCTATGATGAAACAATAAATACATGCTAAATTATGCACTTAAATTGTATCCCAACAACTACATGTCTTTTCTTGTGTGTAATACAACGGTTATTACGCGTTTGTCGCTCTAGCAAAACATAGCTTTTTAAAACACTTTATTATTATTTGTTTTAATTTCCCTTTTTTATTCAAATGTACAAATGTAGAAAATAAGTTTTATTAAAATAAGGTTTATTTTCTACATTGTACATGTACCGGTGGTATCTCTAAGAAAACAAAAATGCCAGAGAGCTACTAATTTCAGAAACTGAGTAAATATAAGAGCCACGGTAAGTGGGAACAGTTAGATCCTTATAAAACACAAAGCATTTTCAATTTATTAGCGCACAAAGTTGGTGATGGAATTACAAATTCACTATATTTTTTTATTCAGCACAATACGTATAATTCAGAAATCGCTTGAGGAGCTACTTGAAAGAGGATGGAGAGGTACAGATTGCTCTTGAGCTACAGGTTGGAGAACTCTGTACTAAAGGTTTACAATTTGCATTTCAAATTCTGTCCATGTATGTTTCCCCAAAGCTATTGGATTTGTGCAATAATTTAAACAATTTATATATGTCGAACAAATGTGGATTTCTGACATTGTTTACGGTTATATCCATACAGTCTATGTTTATATCATGGTTTTATTAAAATAACAGAGTTATATCAAAACTACACTCCATAGACCAGAATGCAGCGCGTTGACGTCGGCCACGTGAGTGTGACGTTGAGCGGCGGGAGCGTTTCAAACTCAGAGCGGAAGTAGCAACGGCGCGAGGAGTCCAGCCACAACACTCCACTACAGATACACTCCGCAGGATTTTTACTGGAAATTTCTTATATTTCATAATTTGACGGTTTTTATCTGGACACAGAGAAGACGTTGGGGACATCTACAGGAGAAACAGCAATCCGGGGCGAAATGGCGGGTTGTAATGGTCAAAGCCGAGGAGGAGGCTGTAAGTCAGACTCTAACAGTCACTCATATGTGCACATATGTGCTGAGTCCTGTTCTAACAATGTACTCTTCAATTCTGGTAGTGCAAGTTGTTGATGGACAATATCCAAAACTGTTTATTATTTTTTAATAATAAAAGAGGTACAGCATTTAGATCATGGTTTAAGTTGGCAAAGCAAAACGTCATAACGCTGAAATGTGCCAAAGATGTGAGAAACTGTAAATCCATCAAGCAAAATAACTGGGTTTCAGATAACATCACAACATTCTATAGACAAATCTGATTTAAACGTCCTATATAACACAAAATGGATTCTTATGAGTTATAAGCCATGTTATACTGTTGCTGCCTAATCAGAAAGATGCCTGGGGTTGTGTTTTGTTTCATTCACACATGTTTGAGTAACACTTTATTATTAGTCTGTCTACATCTCCAAAGCTCAAAAGGATCTGTTCCATCTTGTGATGTCATGAAGAGATTGTTTTATTAACAGCTTCTTTTTTTTTTCTTTAAATTCAGTAGAGATTGGCAATTCCAGTTGCAATGATTCTAGTGAAGGTGTGTGGATTATAAATGTGCCTAAATATGCAGGATTTGTGAGAATGAAACAAAACACAACTACAGGTATGGGTCAGTTCATATGAAATCAGCAGTTTTTAAGGAATCTCCCCTATGAGCTGTCTCAGATTTGGCTGAAAAAAATTCCAAAACATTCTAAAATCACCAAATGAAAAAATGTCATTTTTTTAGCTCAATCCCTTGAGTCGTTCCTGAGTTATGGACCGTTCAAATTTTGGGGCCATGCTCACTTTTTCTGAAGCCCTAATTTATAAGCATGTTTGAGAGACCATAACTTCATAAAAAAATAGAGCTAGGAAGCTGAATTGTATTATTGTAGATTCTTGGTCATAGACTCTGAATCTGTTGTCAAATATTGGGTACCTTTATTAAGGGGGGCACTGTGGGCCCCCAAAATCTCACATTTGGTTGCTGCTCTTTTTTTTTTTTTTTTTTGAGGTCCAAGATCTATTTACTCCAAGCAGATACTTACAAACTAATTGCTGAACCTGAATATTTGAGAGAATGACCATTTCTGACACAAATCTCACACTTTTCTGAGCTTTCATGTGGATGGTGTAGAGTCCCAAATCTGGTCACAGACCAAATGTGATCTTTTTGGCCCCTTCTTTGGACCCTCGGTTCCCCAAGTGGGCACAGTTTGATGTTGATAAAATTTTTACCAGAGAAACTTTGGCATATTCTGATTAGTTTAAAGTAATAAAAACATCTACTATTAACTTCATTCATTTCAAAAGGGATTTTTGAAAATGATCTCTCATGGGTCATTTTTGGTGGAGCTCAGGTACTTTTCCACCTGCAGAAAGGTTCAATTCCCTTTAATAGCCTCAAACACTATTTGCTTATTATAAGGGAAGACTATTGGAGATTGGAGATCTTGGACCTCAAAAATTAAAAAAAAAAATTGAGCGGCAACCAAATGTGAGATTTTGGGGGCCTACAGCGCCCCCCTTAATAAAGATACACAATATTTGACAACAGATTCAGAATCTATGAATAATAATAATAATAATAATAACAATAATGAAAATTTTCAGCTTCCTAGCTGGTCATGGTCCTATGGTCTCTCAAACAAATTAAGGCTTTCAAAAAAGTGAGCATGGCCCCAAAATTTGAACGGTCCATAACTCAGGAACGACTCGAGGGATTTGAGATTCTTTCATTAGGTGATTTTAGAATTTTTTAGAAATTTTTTCAGCCAAATCTGAGACAGCTCATAGGGGAGGGCGGCTGATTTCATATGGACTGACCCATATGTTTCTGATGAGGAAACTACATTATAGTATAGATCAAAAAATAACATAGTATGGCCGTTTAAGTTCAGTTGTGTTGACAGTTTTGATTTTGTTTAACAGCTAAATTGTTGAGAAGAGCAGAGTGTGAGCAGCTGACGTATATGGTGTAGTTGTTGTGTGAAAACTGGAACATCCTTATGGAAATGTCTGTTGTTTAGGATATAGTCTCTTTCAGGGTGCGCTAAAAGCTGCCTGTATGTGTTTTTCAGTTGAGCGTCTGACCGCAGAGGAGATGGACCAGCGCAGGATAGAGGGCGTGGCTTATCAGTACCTGTGTCACCTGGAGGAGGCCAAGCGGTCAGTTACACTCTCTATGGAATACTTTTTACCATGTTTTAAAATTCCCTCATCAAAAACATGCTGGAATAGTTTTTCACTGTCATTCATATTTGAGTATTTTAACCATCTCTCAAAATACAACAAATGCATGCTCTTTAATAGAACGTGTATTTGTTGTTTTATAAAGAAGAGCTTTTGTAAAGATTGGGATTATATTATCATTCTGTGTCAAAGCTACTAACCCTCTAGTTTAGACATCAACAAATAAATGTTTTAATGTTTAAAAGTATTTCTACTTCTTAAATAAAAGTATTTCTCTATTAGTTTATCAGTTTAAGGTTTCAATGTCTTTTTAAGTATTCTATTATTATTTTCTTTTATTCCTTTATTTTAACACTTTTAAAGGTGCACTATGTCACTTTTCTAGATCAGGGTCTGACACTTCCATGTCTCCATGGCGATGTTATGGCTTTGTCTGGAATGATCCACCTTAAGCTCTGTGGCCAGGTGACCCCACTAACAGAAGAATATGATTATGTAAGACAGTCAAGTAAAGTGCCATCCAGTGAAACATTCCAGGCAATGCAATAACTCATCCACAGTGTTATAAATTATATATAATATACTAGGGTAATATATTATATACCCTAATATAAAATCAATACTTAAACTTGTCTGAACCAGTATCTCCTCTTGAATACATTGGGTAGAAATAGTGTGGCCACATGGTGATTTCTCTGTTTATTATGCTGTAATGAACATGACGTTTTATTGTATTGTGATTGTAATGTGAGATTATAAAGGGGTGGAGTGCACTGTAGAATATTATGTATCTCTCCAGATGTGTCACATGTTTAACATGTCGCCAGTGACATCCAACTGTAGCTCCCTGTCCACAGCCTCATCTGTCAGAATTTAGTGATTTTAGCTCAAATCTTCCAAAAGACCTCATATAGAATTAGCCGGGTGCCGTCGTGTGCAGGGCCTGTTGACAAATAAATGAATAAATATGAATTGATCAGCCCTTCTACTATGACGGTCTTGGTTTATGGTCATGGTAATGTTACAGTCTCGATGATGAGAATGTCAAATGAACAGTTCTGATTCCTGTGCTCTTGTATAATGTGTATTGGTAACGCTCCCTTGGCTGTGACTGGCTGTGTAGGTGGATGGAGGCGTGTCTGGGAGAGGAGCTACCCCCTCCCACAGAGCTGGAGGAGTCCCTGAGGAACGGGGTGCTGCTAGCCAAACTGGGACACCGCTTCTCCCCTGAAACCGTACCTCTAAAGAAGGTATGATGCCGACCAGGGAAGATACAAGGTCTTCTTAAATTCATTAAATTACTCCACTGCTACTTACACACAAAGTACTATTCCACTGCCACATATATACAAGGTCCTCTCACACTGCTCCACTAGACCTATCTCACTGAGGACATGTGAGAGCTTCTGCTGGACAAATATTGATTATTCTGAAAGTATGTGATTGACCGGGCTTCATATTAAGGCATATTAAAATTCTGGATAACGGTACATACACAAGTTTTATTTATATATCGCTTTTCACAGTCATATGTCACAAAGACGCTTTACAGATCATTATTCATTTACTCCACATCTGGTGGTGGTAAACTAATATTGTAGCCACAGCTGCCCTGTGGCAGACTGACTGAAGCACGGCTGCCATGCCAATGGGCGCCAATGGTCCCTCTGACCACCACCATCACTCACACACACAACATGTTCATAGTAGGCATTGGGCAATGTGGATGAAGTGTCTTGCCTAAAGACACTGCAACAGTTTCTGTGACTGGCACCCCTCTATGGCACCTGATTTTCCCAGTGGTCTCCCATTCAAGTACTACCCTGGCCCAGGCTCGCTTAGCTTCTGAGAACTAATGGAATCAGGCTTTGACAAGCCGGTATGGCCACAGGGAGTGGATTTTTCTCTGTATGGGAGATGCACACACATTTTAAGCAGTCACAACAAGATGCACTCTAACTTTTCTAGGGAGGGTTTGCCCTTCTGTTTGTCTCCTTAGAGATGTGATATTCCACAGTTAAGCATTCATATGATCATGTGGTCCCCCAAGCCGAAGGCTGGAAGATTTATTCCCCAAGTTCTGTCATTGTGCCCTCATGCACACTACACCCATCTTCTTTATTATGAGCATTATATTATATCTATTGTAAGTGTGTGTGTGATTGGTAGTGGTGGGAGGGGCTGATGGCGCAGATTGGTAGCCTCACTTCTATCAGTCAGTCCCAAGGCAGCTGTGGCTACAATAGAATCTTCACATATAACCTGAAGCTTAGCCTGGTGGCATGGAGGATAGACACGTTTTAATGCCATACTTTGAAACATTCCAAGCAAAGCAATAACATCTCCATGCCCTCGTGGACACTTTAGTGACTCAAAGCTTTGGCTTAGTTGAAGTTGTGTGTCTAATTATATCACGAGGACAATCATTTTGCAGTCCGTTACAGTTTAAATAAGTGAAGATGTGTGCATTACTCATGTGTCTCCTTTCAGGCGATGGGGCTGCAGTTTCGTCACACTGACAACATAAACCATTGGAGGGCAGCCATGACAGCACTAGGCCTCCCTTCGGTAACGTCATATGATCACACTTCACACCTCTGATTGGTGGGTTTCTGACTACTGTTGTTTTTGCAGATCTTTCATCCAGAAACAACTGATGTGTATGACAAGAAGAACATGCCCCGCGTGGTCTACTGCCTCCATGCTCTGAGGTGAAGTTACTATTCCATTTGCATAAGCGCATTTCAAATGACGAACAGAGACTCAGTGCATTAGTGCAATTTCAATCATGCATTTCTAAATAAGTATATCAAGTTAAAAACAGAATCGACAAAACAATTGTGAAAATAATGGTTTTAAACACAGCAAGGCAAATAGCATCTTTTGGTGATATGTGAGAAAATGCATAGCACACGCAGATGGCTGATGTCCAAAAGCTTTTTAAAAAAATTTTAAGTAATGTTTTGGCAAAAAGCCTTTGTCAGATAATTTTTTTCTTGCGTTGGACCACAGTATACAAAATGGTTGCAAGCCTAGGTACTCATATCCCCCCCTAAGGAATGGGAGGTCTCAAAGTGAGGTCACCTAGTGAGATCAGCCCACTCCACAACAAGAAAAAAACATTAGATACATAAAAACATTCTCATAAAATACAAAAATAATTTCACAATATCAAAGCACCTTAGGTCAAAGTCCACATTAAGTTCGTGAGGAGCAGGAGTCTTAAGTTGGTGCTCTCTTTTTAACAGGACCATTTCCATATTCCCACCCTTAGAGGGTAGTTTTTCATTTTCAGTATATCTTAACGAATAGATAGGATGGTTGAATTTACAGACTACAGAAGTGTTACATGATCAATTTTTTGCCTCTTCAGTTTCTACTTGTACAGGCTGGGACTGGCACCTCAGATCCATGACCTGTACGGGAAAGTGGACTTCACAGGTGACGTGTACATTTCACTAATGTTCCACGCTTTTCCCTACGTTAGCCAGTTTTTCTGTTCTGCTAGCAATGTTTAATAGTAACTTGTGACTGTATTCCAGAGGAGGAACTCAACAATGTGAAGTTGGAACTGGACAAATACGGGATCCAGATGCCAGCATTCAATAAGATAGGTGGAATTCTGGCCAATGAGCTGTCTGTGGACCAGGCTGCAGGTTTGTGTGTTCTTAGCTCTATCTACATACTGTTAAAGAGGAGGTATTATTATTTTTGGTGCTTTCTACCATGTTATAACATTGTTCACTCCCCATGCCTGAAGTGATTTTATGTCGTCCATGAATGTCTGAGTGATCTTCTCTCCTGGATCCCATTTGCACACTCCTCACAGTTACCTCACTTGACCATTTCTCATAAATATACAAAAACTGGATACAAAACATGCACTACAACTTCACAAATCTAATGTGATGCTCAGTAGTTTGTGAGCATACTATCAAAGGCGAAACATGTTTAAAATGTTGTTTTGGTGACTATAGCATTTTCAAAAGAATAAAAGGTAACATGGTGATTTAAATGTTATGTGCTAACAGTGAATACCTCATAAAAGTAGAATACTCTCTCTACTTACTATCCATTAATCTCATGCGTGTGTGATTCCTGTGTGATTTCAGTGCACGCGGCAGTTATAGCCATAAATGAGGCAGTGGACAGGGGCCAAGTGGAGGTGACGGCTAAGGCTCTGAGGAATCCTAATGCTATGATTGAGTACCTGAATGAAGTGCTGTTCAGTGTGTACCAGGAGCTCCTGCAGCAAAGCAAGAGGCAGAAGGCTCTCAATGCAAAGAACCGGGTATGACACAACATCTGCTTATGTTACTCCTGTTATTCTATGGAGTAAGCAGCGAAATTATCTGATAAAATCAACCAATACAATATCCTCTGGTCTGAGCAAACCCTGGTTATATATCATCCACATTAAAAATATACTTTACTGAAGAAGTATGGCCTGACTGATTTGCTAATTTCAATTTATCTTTTTATAATTTAGTTCTCAGTGCACATTTCCAACACATCTAGGAATATTAAAACTTAAGAAAAGACTGAAATACGTATGGCTAAACAAATCTGAAAATCCCAGGCATTTCAGAAGATGTTTGTAGAGCTCCAAACAAACTACAGGGTTGCTTCTTTTAAACAGAATAAGACTAGTAACTGACTGTGTGATTTGACTGATGAGATACATGCTGTAAGTTCCTCTGTTCATGTTACAGGGCGGAGCTGAGGAGAAGGACATCTATGAGGAGTATCTGACTCAAAAAGAAATCCAACACAACATCAACATGGTGAACTGTGAGTGGCTCTAATGATATGAGACTATGTAGAGTAGTCTAATACTGAAATTTACACCTCCATATCACCATGTGACTTGTGTAATCTTTCAGTCGCTGGTTGCTTTCTATGGTAGGTAGTGGTCCATGGGTGTGTATTAGCCTTATTTGCTCTTATACATGTTCTGACACAGCTCAAGATCATTCTAAAGCTATTCAGGAAAGATTCATTTCTAAATGGACCTTTAATATCGATACCAAAGAGTATCTAGTTTCTGTACAAGTTTTGTATCGATTAGTATCTGATTTTGACCTTTGGCAGCCCTAGTTAAATGATGTGAGAGTGAGTATCTGGCAGTGCTGTGATGTTCCTGCTGTCTTCAGTGCACTGGGCTGTGGAGCAGGTGGACCAGGCCTTGGACTCCTCTGACGAGCTGGCTCTCCTCTCAGCTCTCACTGTGCCCTGTTTGTCCCTGCGAGGCCTCCGTCCAGAGCTGGCCCTGTGCTACATGGAGCAGCTCATCACAGACCGACAGCAAAAAGCTCTGGTACTCCCTCTCTTCTCTTACTAAAAAAAAGAAAATCTGCATTTTAAAATGATCTCTTTATTCCTATCAAGCTACGGTACTACACATTAGTTACACATCAGTTAGCAATTTCCGCTCTGGGGTTTTGTTTAGTTTTTTTCTTTCAAGAACACATACGATACATTCTTGTGGCTTTAATTACCTTTTACCTTAGGATCAGGTTACACATTTGTAACTTAAAATAATGTCTGCATTAAGCATATCACCAGTTTCTAATGTGGCATTTAGGCATTGGCGCTCCCTCTGCTGTCAGCAATGGGAATGAACAATGGGGAACTAAACAAGTGTAGCCTCTGTGAATGCTCAGCTAATAGAAACAGGCATTCGTTGGGAGCAGTTTGATTGCAGAAAGAGTTTGGTAATGGTTAAAAACTTAAAACTTAAAAACTGTTGCAATATGTATAGTATGGATTTGACAAGTTAATATACTATGGTTAAAAGCCCACATTCTTTTTGGAGTGTCGTCCTTTAAAGATGCGCTATCTAACTTTTTATTTGGAGGGTTTGCCACCTGCTTGTCTCCACAACAGTTTTATTTATTTGCTTGGAATGCTCCACCCTATTGCTTTAAACCTGTAATTAAATCAATGACAGATGGACAAGTGTTTATTGAAAACATGTATTCTTACTGTGAGTGGGATGGCCTCTCCTCTGATCTGACCTGTAATTTGGTGTGGTGGTGCTTGTCTCCATAGAGACAGACATGTTGATTCAGTTGCTGATGTGAGTGTTGTGTGCCATGAGCAGGAGCAGGGCTGTGTGGACCCCTTGGATCCTGAGGAGCTACAGGAGGCCATCTCTACAGCCAATAGAGACGCTCAGAAGAAAATCAGCAGTAAGTGCACTTTAGGCAGAGAGCAGGATGGAGGATCACACTGCTGTCTCATGTACCTATAGACTGTACAAGTGGACTGAGGAAGTGTGACTTCACCCATAGTCTTTGCCTCTAGATAAATCAACCAAATCAATATTTGGAGTTCATTATTTGGTTACTAGGATACACATACTTGGAATTCCAAAGCTCCAATCAGGAGCCAGGTTGTTGAAGGTATTCGCCCCTTACCACACACTCTGGTTGGGCAGGGAGCAGATGCTTAGCAATGCTGTCAATCAAAACTGTTGCTAACTCTAGTGGTAGCAGATCTAGTGGAAAGAAGGGATCTGATTATTAATGTTCATATCTTGATTTAGAGACAAAATTAGGAACTAAAAACCAAGATGATGTAGAGCAGTTTAATATAAACATTTTAAGCAGCAGCATTTAAAGACCTCTAAATATTTTTCAGTTTTTCAGTAGAAAGTGAATTGGAGCCAGACTCAATGGTTCAAAGTTGTGAGCTTGCTCACTTCCTATTTGGAATGTATGGGTGGTCAGATTTTGTGTGTCCTCACTGAGCATGTTGTTCCAGTTGAGGGGGCCTTGTTGAAGCTGAACCAGTGTCTGCAGGGCTCTGACCCCAGACTCACCCTGAGCTCCCTGATGAGCCCAGTGTTGGACCTGCCCCCTGTGCTCCCCTCTGCTACCCGGCTCTACCACTCTGAGCTCCAGCAGATCCAGAGGCAAAGCCTGCAGGTCAGTGACACTATCACACTTTTCTACACACAAGGACTCTAGATTCCCACACATCCTGAAAATAATTGGCTTGTTTTCTAGACATGGGGAAAAAAAAGTTCAGAAAAATATAATGTAAAAAAATTATCTTCACTTTTTTTGCTTCGTTATTGGACAAATGAATGGACTGTTACCAGGGAACAAAATGGTAGTGTGTTTTGAGCCATTATTGTCCCTATTACACCAATTTATAGACCAAAATAAGATATTTACTTAACAAACATTTTCAGTATTGCTGCTGATACCTGTACCACAATAAAAAGAGCAGTTTGGGAAAAATCTTCTAAAAAGTCTTCTAAACCCAATTCTGGAAGTTGTACATTATTTTACACCTCATATTTGACCATGACACCACACATAAGGGTCCGTTATGCAACCTTAAGCACACAGTATATGTTCTCCATATGATTTGACTTGTACCACAAAAGAATATTCTTTATATGTCTGAATATACAATGTATCCTCATACCACATTGCAGAAATATGCAAACAGTGTTTGTCTTTGTGTGCACTTTACTTGCAGTCCTTGTGTACTTCAGCTATAGCCTTAGACTACATCTTTATTAGTCATTTAAAGTCCCTTCACTATTTGAGATTGTACAATGTTTGATTTCTTTACACCCTTGTCCTAATGTCGCCTGTTGCTGTTTATGTTAGGGCACACTGCAGCAGGAGGAGCTGTTTGTCGCTGTGGAGATGCTGACCTCTGTTGCAGTCATTAATGAGGCACTGGATGCGGGGCTTATGCAAAAGTTCAGCTCCTCATTGGTCAGTTCTTCAGCAGCTCTCAGTGATGTAGAGCCCGAGCTGCTTCACAGGTAGTGCCTTAACTTGTTCCTGTAAGTGCAACACTTGCATCCTCCATTTTTACTGAGACATGAAAAACTTTCATAACTTTTCAGATATTTTGACGCTCTGACGCTTCTAAAAAAACAGTCCAACGGGACCATGCTTAATTGGAATCAGCTCCAGAATGAGATCAACTCTGTCAACAGTGAGGTCCAGGAGCAGCACCAGCGTATGTGTCTGTTCATCTGTGTGGATCATGTTTTGTATGGTCATATCATATTTCATACTATGTTGTCAGTGCCCACCAGTAGCAGCCAGTTCCTTCTACATTCTGTTTGTATCTAGAAAGTTCAGGAACTGGACCATGAAGGGTGTCAAACCTCTATCCTAACTTGGGATGGTCCAACCACAGCTGCTAATTTGTCTTATGTGTCTCACAAATGCAGAAGACATCTCCTGTTGAAAATACTTGAAACACAAACAAAATATAGAAGTTTAGTGTTTAGTGCTTTGATTGTTTGTTCTGTAGAAATCAGTGTTGTTTCTCAGTCCTCTGTAATTTTTTTCTCTTTTGCTGTGTTTGTTTTTTCCCAAATGGACCATGCATCTCTCTTCATCTGTCAATCAAGTGGGTTTTTACATGGCCGATGTTCAACACATTATTTTAGATTTAAATTTACTACAAACTCACCCACAGCGCTTTTTTACCACACGTCTTTAAGAGAGCAGTTTACCACATTTAGTGCAGTTATTTCTTTGGTCTATCTTTACTCCAGAACTACACCGTTTATAAAGTTTTGTCAGAGTGTGTGGTTCTGGCTGACAGAAAGGGCTGACAATTCCTTTTAAAAAGCTAGTACCCTTCCCTCTCCCCATTGTCTATTGCTTGACACTGGAGGTGTTTCAGGTGACATATATAAATTACAAATTACATTTGTGTGTGAACTGCAGTGGTTCATCTGTCATATGTAACATAAAAGAAGTTATCTTGGAGTATTATCATAATTTGCCCCTCACTAAATAAATGCAAAAAATATGTGTTTTGCATTTTATTAAAGACAATAAATCTACTAAGTGTACAGCAATATTTTCATGGGGATTTAGGTCTATATTGTTGAGACTGACCGTGTGTGTGTGTGCTCAGAGCTGCTGTGCGTGTCCCTCATAAACGACGCAGTGATGCAGGGGGACGTCCACAGACTGCTGTCCGCCCTGAAACAGCCCTCTCTGAGTGTCAGTGCCGTGGTCCCCAGCAACGCCTGCCGCTACCTGGTCCTTCTGAGGAGGGCCCAGCAGCAGCGTGCACAGGTCCCACTCACCCGACCCAGCATATTCAAATCACACTTTCCACACACCCCTGTCACGCAACCATTAGAGTCTCGGCACACGACCACAGACATGCCCACAGACATGGCCACAGACGTTCACAGACACACCCACATCCACATCATACATTTGGGCTGAAGCGTTCTAACAGGCTCTGTCCGTAGTACAGGTGACTCGTGATCCAGAGGCAGCGCTGTGGCTGACTGACATCCAGGAGACTGTGATAAGAGCCAATCACGATACTCAGAAAGCACTGAAGAGTGAGTATCAAGGCCTCTGATTTGGGCCTACTGCACAAATGTGTTTAGAGCAAAGTGGATATGTGCTGGTTTGTGCCAAACTGAGGGCAATTTGTACTTATTTATTTGTTATAGACATAGCAGTTACATTGCATTAGACCAAATGTGTTGTTTTAAGTTTTCAATGCCTGTCCATAGGCATGGCTTTTAAATTGGTTTAGAGTACTGAAAGAATTTGTACACAAAACTTAATAGTTACATAAGAAAGACACAAGGCGCATTTAATTATGTGAGCAGCTCTGGCTGTAGCTTGCATAAAAATATAAGTGTTAACTGTAAAGAATATTTTTTTGTGTGTGTGTTGCAGTGTGCTTGGCACTGGCAGCAGTAAACCAGGCGGTGCGAGAGCAGCGATCCGCTCAGACCTTCAGAGTGCTGTCTCTGCCTGAGCTCACCCTCAACAGTCTGGTGCCTCACTGTGCAGCCCAGTACCAGGAGCAGCTGTCCACAGTGCTGAAGGAGAGGGCTCGCACAGGTACACTACACTACACTACACTGCTCTGCTCTGTCAGTTGGCTGGCAACTTGGAATCATTTCATTTAAAAAGAGTGACATTGGAGTAGTAGTTGAATAAAAATGTTCTTTGTTGCATCCTTAAAGCTCTAAAATCTACTACAATGGTGATTTTTGACAATGGCAAATCCAGAATGTTATTTGTTAAAAACAGAGATCAGTCTGGTTCCTTTGTTTTTTTTTTTTAGTGATGTTTAATGAATTCAGCTCATTGCTCATCTATGTTTTGAACAAAATGGCATTTCCCTCACCTCATATGAACAGACTTTACTCCCTGATTTAGCAGAAATCTGTGATGTTTTTCAATCTTCTGCAATATATATTTCTTGTTGGCATCCATATTTGTTTTGATATGTGTATCCTTGATTGGCTAACCTACCTGTCAGTCATGCCCCCCTGAACTGTGAGCGATTCACCAGTAACCAGACTTAATTTTTTCGAAAAGTACTGAAGCAATGTGTTCTGGATCCCAGGCAAACAATATATTACCATCATAAACAGATGTATTTGCCTACAGAGTTTTGGGTTACACAAGTCAAAAACATGTTGGGAACCACTGTGTTAGTCCCTGTTTGATTTGCATTTCTGTTCATCACGTGATTACTTCCCCAGTATGGAGAGTACAGTACAGATTATTACACATCATTGAAATGCACTGACTTAAATATAAATATAAATAAATATACACACATATACACGCATACATACTAAAAATAAACAAAAAAACACATGATAACAGGTCTTTCACTCAGTGTGTTTGTGTTTCTGAAGTATGAGTTTGACACGTAGTCCATATTTGTGCCACAGCAGTTAACTCCAGTCCATGGATCCAGACAGTGCTGGACGATGGCTCTGGTTTTTACTTCCACCTGAACAAACTGGAGGGCAGCTGGGACAAACCACACGACTTCAGGCCCAACTCCCACTTCCTGAGCCGCAGTGACATCCAGGTGAGAGAGGCCCCCGACACCTTAGGCTCTGCCCTGTGGGAGAACTCAAAACTGTGAATGGTGCATGTGCAATAATCCATATCTGGGATATCCGGCCATCAGCCCTGATAGTTTTATTTTCAGAGGTGGGTATTACTCAGTTACATTTCTTTGTGCAACCTTTTTTTTTTTTTTTTTTTTTTTACTTTTCAGATTACTTTTCTAGCACCATACATTTAATCAAATAATACTCAAGTAGGAGTAAAAGTTTTGGTTCCCCTTCCCACTGTAAATCTGTCTACAAGTGACACAAGCTTTACTTTGGCAATATGAAGTCGTTTGAACATTTGTTTCTTGCATCGCTTCTTCAGATATGATTTAGTTTGTCTAATTTTTTTGTGTGTCCTTTGAAAATAACAGATTTTGTGCATTATTTTATGTTTTGTCTTTCAAATTACATTAACATCAAATTATAATTCATATGCTATGTCCATAAAATGACTTTTTCTTGGACCACTACTTTGAAATTCTACTTGAGTAATATTATTTTGAAGTAACTTTAATCTTGAGAAGAATTTTTTTGGCCATTCCCAGTTTGTCCTCAGTGCATCATCATGTCTTTTTAAACAGAGTAGTGAGTTATAGTGAAGATAGAAGAGCTAAAGGGGTGACTGTATATTGTGATTATGGCAAAAATACACTCCCAAACAAATAATTTAGTAATTTGTACAAAAGTAAAACATTTTATTTGTGGGCTTTGCTGCAGATTTGTAAATCGATTATAACCACCTGGTTAATAATGGATTTTGGCCAGCTAAGCAAGGAAATCTCAGATAACGTCCATGTGGGATAGTAACCGTGTATGTGTGCGTGTGTGTGTGCGCGTGTGTGCGTGTGTGTGCGTGTGTGTGCGTGTGTGTGTATCTAGTCTGTTATAAGCAGTGCCTCGGCTCAGCATAGCCGCAGCCTGCAGTGGAGGAGCAGTGAGGGGCTGGTGGTGCGTCTGCAGGCCGCGGCCAGAGGCTTCCTCCTGAGGACACAGCTACATGACAGACGGGCATACTTTATGAACAACATCTCTTCTGTGGTCACTATACAGGTAGACACTGAGCAGGAATGTGTTCTAATCCTGGTATGATCTGGCAAGTGTGAACATGAAATCAACATTTTTATTTTCATTACATTAATGTTAGGAGGAGACACATTGCTGTATGTTTAAAGGACCTGTATTATTTCTGTTTTCTATGTTGTAAATGTTGTTTCCTCATCACAAACAGACCTGGAGTTGTGTTTTGTTTCATTCACACAAACCTTTCATATTCAGGCTGAGTTCTTCTCTCTAACAGAAAACACTCTGTTCCACCTTGTGGTGTGGTAATGCAGGAAGTGCACCACTTTGTTTTTAAACTATGGATCTATTGAAATAACTGGATAGGATGCTGCTAGCTTAGAGCAGTCTCAAGTTGGATGAGTGGGCACTCATTGGTACTACAGTGAAAAAGTCCCTCTTATTCAGAGAGGATTTTTCCACAAGAGTGCAAAGTAATCACAAACTGCTTATGTTGCCTGACAGGCTGACAAAAAAGTCAGAGTTTGTGGCTATTGTTGCCTTTTTTCAAATCATAAACTATTTCTCTGCTCAAAAATCTTTCAGTAGTCTCAAAAGCTGCTTTTTAATGTGTTAGTGTGTTTGCGTGTGCCCACATGGAAGAAGAGCATTACTGCACGTGTTCAATGGGCAGGAGAGGCATGGGAAGGACCTAGACACTAAAGGCTAATCTACAGACATGTGCCACTGAACTCTGCCCATTGACCTCAATGAACGGCCATGTTTAGGCCCCAGGGCTTGTAATAAACTGCATACACCTTCACTACTATCGTCTGGATAATTTCAGTCCTGGAATTGCTACTGTCTACTAAACTAAAGGTAAAAGATGGCGATTAACTTGAAAATTACTTCATGGCTTCACAAGGTGGATGTATAGATATATAGATATTTTGAACTTTGGAGATATTGACAGAATAATTATCAAGGGTTACTTAAACATGTGAATGAAACAAAACACAACTCCAGGTCTGTTGGTGGTGAGGTTACACCATTGTAAAATGGCTATAAGCTCACAAGAATCCATTTTGTGTAACATAAGACTTTAAGTAATCCCACATGTACTGGATTTGAAACCTGGGTACTCGTACATGTTTGAGGTACTCATACATGTTTTAACACACAGCAAGAAGTTTGCAGGTTCCACTCCTACTTTGAGTCACACTGAGTAGCTTACTGTTTTTGAAGATCTTGTGGAAATGCACATAAATTGTGTGTGTACAGTCCAACTGGAGGAGGTTCTTGGCTCGGAGAGCATATCGCCAGCGGCTGCAGTACCTTTATATGAACTGGAGAGCTGTTGTGAAGGTGAGCTGTCTTTTCTTCTAGAGAGCCTCCTCTTCTTTCTATCTATTTGGAGAATGCAAGAAAAGTATGGTTTTAACTTTGTTTCCATGGAGTCAGAAAGTGACATACTGTAGCTTTAACTTTGCTGCATCATTCAGAAGATTTGAGTTGATAAAGTTGAGTTCTACACATAGAGTGATAATCTATTGTCAATATTCATCAAAGTACATGAATTGATTTCACTGTTATTGATTCATGTGATGTTCCTTCTCACAATAAATAAGATTATAATATCCAGACATTTCATAGAAACTGAAATTGTGTGCTCCTTAACTTTATGTTGTTGAAGTCATCTGTTTGATTATTATTCACGTTGTTGCCAAGAGGACAGTGTTAACTAAATAAACAAACATTTATCACACCTCTGCCTTTCTATATTGACTTCTACCTGCTCCGTCAGATCCAGTCCATGGTCCGGATGTGGCTGGTGAGGAGGAGATACAGGGAGAGACTGCGTTTCTTCAGACGAAATGTGGGTCTGCTCAAAGCACTTCTGACATGAGTGTATTTATTTGGAGATCCAAGGCCTGTTAAGAATGTTGTGACTGCTAAGTGGTATTTGTGTGTTCAGGTGAAAGCCGTGTTGAAGATCCAGGCCTTCTTCAGAGCCAACAAGGCCCGAGAGGAATACAGACTGCTGGGTAAGAGAACATTTCTTCAGTTGCCTGCATGTCTGAGAGATGGTTTAAAGGAGCACTATGTAACTTTTCTGCAAACTGCTTGTCTCCATGGAGATGTATTGTTTTGCCTTGGAATGTTCCACAGCACAGCATTTATTAAACAGTATTCAATTTAGTGCTAAAAATCAGAAAACATTCTTACTGTGAGCAGGTATATGCAGGGCCTCTCCACAGATGTGACCTCTAACTTGGTTTGGTGGTACCACTTGCTTGTCTCCATGGAAGGTTCAGTACCATGCTGCAAAGCTACAATATCTTCATAGAGAGTAGCAGTGGTTGGATACTGCACCTTTTGACTGAATGCTCAGTCCCAGAAGACCTATGGAATTTTAAGCCTATGCATAAGATGAGCACATGTGACAAATACGGTAGAGTACCGTTATGAAGTTGCAGATGCAATGCATATCTCAGTTACACATTTGCACATTTGATTTGATATAATAGATTTCAGTACAATTTAGTAAAAAATAAAGGTTTTTGGTCTCGTACTTAAAACATTAGTGGTGCATTTATCTTACATGTAGAAGAGCATGAACAAGACAAAGTGTATTTTGTTTAGTACATGTGACTTGACTAGAAGAACACTGTTCACACTGTTGCACTGGTCATTATTAATCCACAGCTTATGTAAACTCAACATTGTAACCTATGTAGTTTAACAGCTCTAAAGGCTCACTATAAAATATATCAAATGAGGCCCCTTAACACCTCAAACTGTCTACCCTCAGTGCACTCGGCCACGCCCCCTCTGCGTGTCATCAGGAAGTTTGCTCACTTGCTGGAGCTGTCCAGTGCTGACATCACCGAGGAGGCAGAGCTTCTGCAAGTCAGACAGGAGGTAGTGAGGACCATCCGCTTCAATAAACAGCTGGAGGCTGACCTGGAGCTCATGGACCTGAAGATTGGGCTCCTGGTCCGCAACCAGGCCACTGTCCAGGTACGACAGGTGTAGGATTCTTGAAAGGTTCTTTATTGTTAATGTTGTCACGATATTTAAATTTCAAACTCAATTTTGATACTAAGTAATAGACTCAATCTTCAATATCGATTCCAATACCACCCAAAAAAAACACTCTTTAATAGAATGTGATTTTCATCATTAAATCACAGTACTTTCTTTTCTATTCCCATGTGACCTTATGTGTGTGTAATCCCTCCCTCCCTGGTCCATGGTGTATACTAGTCTGTGTACTTATAACTCAAGATCATTCTAAAGCTATTCAGGAAAGGGTTATTTCTGTCCTGTGTATGGGACTTTTTTAGTATTGATAGTGTCTAGTTTTGATACTACTTTTTCTACTTTTGTAGTTTTTGTTGTTAGAATCAGATTTTGTATACTTTGACAACCCTAATTGTTATTGAAGGATTTTATCAGAACAGCAAAATAAAGAAAATGGTAATATTTTATCAGAAACAAGGTCTTCATTGTCATGTTACAGCAGTTTGGTTTTGAAAATGGATTACACTAAAAACTCCAGACTACAATAAGGATGTAACCTGTCAAGTGCACAGTCACACCTTACCTTCATTGGGGGAAATGCCTTGCACTAGGACACAATGTTTACCAAAATATACACAGCATAGCAGTGGCTTAGAGCAGGGCTGTCAAACTCAAATTCACAGAGGCCAAAATTTAAAACTGGGACTAAGTCATGGGCCAAACTAAGTATTTATTAAACATTTTCAACAACATCTGCTTGTTTTCTCTTCTTTCGAGATATGTAATGTTAATTTTTTTCTTATTAAAACAAATGTTTAATAATAGTTTTGCTTAAACATTGAACCCAGAACAAGCAAAATATAAAATAATAGCAGAATTTTAAATAATGACTCTATAGCCGGTGGGCCAGCTCTCATACATATTTGATATGATCTCGCGGGCCAAATATAATTATATCACGGGCCAAATTTTGTCCCTGGGCCTGAGTTTGACATGTCTGTCTTAGAGGATAAGCTGTCAGCAGTTTGATCCAAGCTCTGATCTGTGTGTTCATTCATTATGTCTAATGAGCAAGACAATCCCTTTTTTTTCCCTGGTATGCCTGGAGTATGTGTGAGTGTTACTTAAAATCATCTGATTGTTAGCCCCAAAAAAAAAAAAAAAAAAAAAAAAACAAGCCCCAAAACAATATTTTTGGGCTTTTAGTTCATTTAAGATTGTCTTTGAGGAGAGTGAGACATCATAAAATATGTATCCAAAAATGTGGATTCTAGTGAAAATTGAGCTCTATATGTATTGATTCATAAATGATAAATATTCTCTGGGCTCCTTCTCAGGAGGTGGCCTCTCACTATAAAAAGCTGACCAAGAAGAACAAGGCGCTGCTCTCGGGCATGATGGACCTGGAGAAGAGCAAAGGTCTGAAGGCTCTGAGCCGTGAGCGGCGCGAGAGACTAGACGCCTACCAGCACCTCTTCTATCTACTGCAGGTACTCCACACGCTGCGTGTGTGAGCACAGACGCTGCGTGTGTGAGCACAGACGCTGCGTGTGTGAGCACAGACGCTGCGTGTGTGAGCACAGACGCTGCGTGTGTGAGCACAGACGCTGCGTGTGTGAGCACAGAGCCTGGATGTTCTCCTTGTTGCAGACACAGCCCCGGTACTTGGCCCAGCTGGTGTTCCTCATGCCTCAGAGCAAGTCCACAGCTTTCATGGAGATGTTGGTGTTCAGCCTGTTTAACTATGGCTCAGACCGACGAGAGGCCTTCCTGCTGCTGCAGCTCTTCACACAGGCACTCCGATATGAGATCAGGTTAGTACTGTGGCCTGCACTACAGGGATATCCAACCTCTATACTGTCCAGCACAGTGGGGAGGGCTCTTACCACAAAAAGTAATTAAGTTTGGACCCCTGTATGTTTGGCTCCTGTCTGGCCCTCAGCTCAAAGTTCTTCTGAAGAACATGGTGTTGTGTGTTTTAGGCTGAAGGTGGACCATCCACAGCATGTGGTGACAGGAAACCCCACGGTCATAAAGATGTTGGTGAACTTCTACCGTCACGCTCGAGGACACAATGCTCTGAGAGAGACTCTAGGCCCAGCCCTGAAAGAATTGCTCCTGGAGCAGAACCTCAGCATCAGAACCGACCCTCTGGAGGTCTACAAGGCCTGGGTGAACCAGACCGAGACACAGACTGGAAACAAGAGGTGAGCTACACCAGTATTCTACTGTTCCAGCCTTCTCAGAGCTGGTCCTAACTACACCTTAAAGTGTGTCCAGAGAACACCAGACTATCCAGAGGAAACTGTTTCAGTCCTAACACTGTGTTGTAGTGCTCTTCCATATGACGTGAGTCCAGAGGAGGCGCTGTCTCACCCTGAGGTGCAGAGGAGAATCGATGTGGCCATGGTCAATCTGAAGAACCTGACTGACCGAGTGCTCAAAGCCATCACCTCCAACCTGCACATCCTGCCGTACGACTCACAAACACACACACACATCCTGCTGTACGACTCACACACACACACACACACACACACACACAGAAACAAGCACACACATCCTGCCGTACGACTCACAAACACACACACAGAAACAAGCACACACATTCTGCCGTACGACTCACAAACACACACACACACACACACACAGAAACAAGCACACACATTCTGCCGTACGACTCACAAACACACACACACACACACACACACAGAAACAAGCACACACATTCTGCCGTACGACTCACAAACACACACACACACACACACACAGAAACAAGCACACACATTCTGCCGTACGACTCACAAACACACACACACACAGAAACAAGCACACACATCCTGCCGTACGACTCACAAACACACACACACACACACACAGAAACAAGCACACACATCCTGCCGTACGACTCACAAACACACACACAGAAACAAGCACACACATTCTGCCGTACGACTCACAAACACACACACACAGAAACAAGCACACACATTCTGCCGTACGACTCACAAACACACACACACACACAGAAACAAGCACACACATCCTGCCGTACGACTCTCACACACACACACACACACAGAAACAAGCACACACATCCTGCCGTACGACTCACAAACACACACACAGAAACAAGCACACACATCCTGCCGTACGACTCACAAACACACACACACAGAAACAAGCACACACATCCTGCCGTATGACTCTCACACACACACACACACACAGAAACAAGCACACACATCCTGCCGTACGACTCACAAACACACACACAGAAACAAGCACACACATCCTGCCGTACGACTCACAAACACACACACACAGAAACAAGCACACACATCCTGCCGTATGACTTACAAACACACACACACAGAAACAAGCACACACATCCTGCCGTACAACTCATTCACAAAGCAACACATCTTACATTTCTGTAGTATCTACAAAAAATAGCATATAATCTGCTCCCGTTGGCATAAAAAACCCAAGTGCATCTGTAGTTAATTGAAATGGTCAAAAGTAGAGGTAGAAGTCTCAGATTTGTGACAGTCTGTGTACATGATGTGTTCAGTTACGGCCTGCGCTACACAGCCAAAGTCCTGCGAGATGCTCTGAGGGACAAGTTTCCTGCGGCCTCTGAGGATGACCTCTACAAGGTAAGCTCTGCTTCTGCAGCTATGTCTTCATGATGTCTTCATGATGTCTTCATGATGGATTGATGATGGATTGATGATGGATTCATCTGTATTCCCATGTTTTAGCTGGTGGGGAATCTGGTGTACTATCGCTACATGAACCCAGCTGTGGTGGCCCCGGATGGCTTTGATGTTCTAGACCGCTCTGTAGGCTCCACTATCTCTTCTGAACAGCGCCACCTGCTGGCTGCTATTGCTCGCATGCTCCAGCATGCTGCTGCAAACAAGTGTTTCCATGGAGATGGGTACCATGTCCGCATGCTCAACCAGTACATCACCAACACGCACCAGAAATTCAGGTACTAAAGTCACCTGTGAGACCTGAAGTCCACTTTCTGGACTTTGGCTGACACGCCATTGTGTCTACGTCTTTTCTCTGGTCCTGTCCCAGTGAAGTTTGAGTTTTCTGACGGTGCATTAAGAATGTGTGCACAAGGATTCAGGGTTTATAAAAATAATAATAATAACTTGCCTAGTGATTCTGAATTTCCCCTTGGGGATCAATAAAGTATTATCTATCTATCTGATAATGTAAAACAGCTAGTGGTAAAATAAGTCCATAAGGGAGCATTGAAATAACTTCCACATCCAAGTCCATGACTGAGTGAACTCAACTAGCTATGGACTATGGGAGATGTCTTGAGTCGCCCTCTTTATGCACAGATTGAGTCCCAGTGCCTACTGGAAACAGGAAAGGCTTTGTTCTTACGCTGCTGTCATGTTTTCGTTGGTCACTACCAAATGGTTAATTTCCTCAGTGTTTCCTCTGGGAGATCTACCACATTTGCTGCCATGTATACTGTAGAATAAAAACCCTGTAGCATCTCAAATGTCAATAGCTAGTAGTGGTTGTAGTGGGAACATATAAGATGGTCCTGAGATCAATTCACTAGGCCTGCATGCCTGCACGAAGTCAATATTATGCTTATACAACTCGCTATCTTCTAGTGGGGATTGTGCCAAGGACACTGTGTTTACGAAAAACAGGGCACCCTGCCCCATTGCCAGTTTCAAAAGACTGGACGTGGGACAGGAATGCGCCTCCATGTATGTGTGCGCGGTGGAGACTGGCCCTCTCTGCACGCACAGGTGCATGAAGAGAATATATAGAGGCGGAGGGAAAGCACCCACTTTAGAGTCTGCTGCGGGTTGCGTACGAACGCCCAGCCGGGTTTAAGCCACTCTGCCGTGGGTTGTTGGCTCTCCAGCCCAGTGTCAACGGTGAGTTTGATTTTCTTATGTGCCAGTTTGTGTGATGATTGATGCTTAAACCCATTGATTGATTGATATGATTGTAACAATGTTGAGCGGGGAATAAACGGACATATTTATTCTAGCCTCATTGTGTGATGATTGCAATGTTGAGCGGGGAGTAAACGGACACATTTGTTCTAGCTTCATTGTAACAATTATTGAGCGGGGAATAAACAGGCACAGTTATTCTAGCTTGTTGTAACAATGTTAAGCGGGGAATAGACAGACCCGTTCACTCTAGCTTCATTGTGTGCTGGCATTGATTGATGTGAAATAGTGATTGCCTGGTTGTGACTACTTCCCACGAACCTTTTAAGATATTTCACAAAACAGTGGTCTTCATACGGGCTGTGCACACAGCTAGAAGCAGCTCTCATCAGTCATTGACAAAAGCCTACACCTTCAGTAAAGAAATGATTTGTTTAATAACACCTACTTAGCAGCCTCTGCATAATCCTAATTCTGCTCCAGTAACCTGTCTGATGCTCTTCTGCCGTCACTGTCATGCAGCGGGCCTAATCTATCCCTTGTGTAAAGGTTAGCTGGACAATGGAGCATGTGGCCAGGTGTACAAACTGTGCAGCCTACACTGGATGTTACATTTGGATGAAAAGTATAAATAAAAATTTGATCTTTGTCCATGTTTTCCTCATGGAACAGCCCTGCTACTATCCCTGTGCTGGTCCCCGGGGCCAGCACACAGTACTGGGTATTGCTCAGAAGCAAAGACACAAACAGGTGAAGGGCTCTGGACGTGAGACTGTGGGTAGGCTGTCTGTGGCTTAGGCTCCCCCTTTCAGAGACCGAGGTGTCCTAAGCAGAGCACTGATCACTACCTGAGACAGTAGACAGTAGACTTTGGCTCAGCGGGGCTGGAGATAGACCTCAATGACTATTGCCCTGCAGCTCGTACAGCTTTTGTGTCTGGGTTGTGTCTGACAGGAGGTTCCTGGCAGCTGTGTGTGATGTGCCAGAGCCAGAGGACAGGTTCAGTGTGGATGAATATTCTGAGCTGCTGAATGTGAATAAACCAGTGATCTACATCTCCCTGAGCGAGCTCATCAACACTCACCAGGTACAGCAGGGGGGGGTCTCTGGACAATATGTACAATGACTGTCACTGCCCACTGCCTCACCTGCTCCATGTGTGTATGTGTGTGTATATGTGTGTCTGTATGCATGTGTGTGCATGTGTGTGTGCGTACAGCTACTGGTGGAGCAGCAGTCTGTCCTGTGTCCTGACCCAGCCGACCCTCTCCGAGCTCTGCTGCGAGACCTGGGCTCCGTGCCCACCTTACAGGAGCTCAGTGGAACTGCAGGTAGGACACACTTTGGCATGTCCCTTGAGATTTGAATTTGAGCTTTACTTCTGATAATAGAATTTACTTCTGATAATAGAATTTACTTCTGATAATAGAATTTACTTCTGATAATAGAATGGTTTTAGCTACTTGATCTTATTGGCTAAAAGAGTCTATGATTCTGTCTGCAGAGGAGTGTTCTTCTGACGGAGACCAGACTCATGTGGGGAAGACAGAGGTGTCTCTCACTCTGACCAACAGGTTTGACATCTTCAATGAGGAGTACGAGCAGTCGGACACCAGAGGGCTGCTGCTCAGGTCAGCCGTCCTTTATACTGTACCTCCTCACCTCCACACCTCCACAACTCCACACCTCCTCACCTCCTCACCTCCACACCTCCTCACCCTGCTGTTTAAGCGTACAGAATAATACGTATGTTTTATACACAGCACAAAGCAGATGATCATCGATGTGATCCGCACTCAGCCTGGAGACTCTTTGGCCCAGATCCTCCGCTTGTCTGCGTCCCAGGAGCAGGTCTCTACTCTACACAACACAATGCTTTAAAACACATTACAAATGATGTTTTCACTGGCACAGGAAACACAGTCTGCTGTACATGATCAGAATTGGAGACCTTTTTGGAGAGATGTTCTTCTGACTTTTAATAGTATATAGGCCTTTCAGAAAAATAGTGGATTATACACCATAAAATGTTAATGTTATCTTTAAAACTTGAACTCCACATCGCAGTTTTAATCGAGATCATGTTTAATGAAGAGGTCTACAGTCAAGGCTGTATTGTTTATTTTCAGGAAATGAAAGTCATTTCCATTTGTTTATAGTAAAAGATGTATCAGTAAGAGGTATGTTTGTCATACAGTCCAGCGCTACACTGACCAGATGCTTTTCATTATGTGTTCATTTGAATAGACTAGGGATGTCAAGTATCGAAAATCAGATACTACCAATAATTAGAGCAAATATAATACTAAAAAAAGTTACATTCACAGGACACAGGAAATGACCTTTTCCAGAACAGTTTTATCTGTATGAGAACAGGTAGAAGCACATAGACCAGTATACGCCCATGGACACTATGAACCTACCTGGATCACTGAGGTTTACACACATATAAAACACATGGGAATAGAAAAGAAACTTCTACCATTTATTGCTGAAAATCAAACATCAGTCATTCTATTGTGTAAAGAAAGAACGTGCTACTGGAATCAGTACTGAGTCTATTCCTTAGGATGGAAACAGAGCTGACTAGATTAAGATGAACGTGTTTGACCATGATTCACCATAATAACTTGTAACCTCCCCACTCTGGCCCTGCAGACTGAGCACCACAGCTGGTTGGTGCAGAGCCGTGCGCGGCAGGATGCGCGCACCCCCGACAAACTCAAGAGGAATGAGTCTCTGATGGCCAACAGCAACCTGAGCCTGGAGCACAAGAAGAGGAAGATCCTCCGCAACCTGCGCCTGCTGGAGACACAGGGAGTGCTCCGGGCTTCCACTGCAGAGGGCGCTATACTCACTATGATCGCCAAGGTAACCAGCACAGGGTGCTATTGATACTTTACAGGGGTTTTCTACATGCAACTTTATGTTTTCAGAGATCTTAAAAGTTTTTTCACTGTATTTGCTAATGTTTGCACTGTATCACCATGGTAAATGCTGAACATTCCACCAAGGAAAAAAAAAAAGTACAATTCAACAACACACAGCACTCTCATTTTGACCCTGCATATCCAAAATAATTTCTTTATGTATGTATTTGCAGGACATTCGGCAGCAGAGGCTCCACAGACAGAGGAGAGGAGCAGAGCTCATGAAGCTCAGACACACCCTGAGCAGCCTGCAGGCCAAGAGCAGCTTCCACAGCGAGCAGATGGATTTCTACAGACACTACATCACTTCCTGTCTGGACAAACTGACTGCTCCCAAAGCCCCAGACAGCAAGAGCAAGAAGAAGGGCCTGAGCTACAGCGCCACCAGGCTGCAGCAGAAGGGAGTGCTGCTGGAGATAGAAGACCTGCCCCAGACACAGTAAGAACCACCACAGGGCACGTGGGATTGGTCAGATACTCATGTGCTGTGTGACAGCTTTAAAGGTCCTATATTAAACAAAATGGACTCTAGTGACCTTTAAGTCATTTTATAAAGCTGTTACCTCCTCAAAAACAGTAGCTGGAGGACTAAAGGGAAGAATGAGGCGGCAGGAGGGGGGTATAACAGTGCGGGCTTTCCCCAAACGGCTCCTTCTCCCTTCTCTTCGTCCTAGCACTCACTTTTGTTCAGGGGTGTGCCGTCTGAATTGTTCAAGCACTGAATATAGCATTTTCAAAAACAATATTATATATATATATATATATATATATATATATATATATATATATATATATATATATATATATATATATATATATATATATATATATATATATATATATATATATATATATATATATATATATATATATATATATATATATATATAAAAATCATGGCACTTTCTTAAAGTGGGGACATTCCACTTGTATGGGGCACTAACTGCTGTCTGTGTGCTGTGTGTCAGGTTTAAGAATGTGCTGTTTGAGATCGTCCCTGGGACAGAGAAGGGCACCTTCAGTGTCAAAGCTCGATTCCTGGGAGTTCAGATGGAGGAGTTCACCGTCACGTACCAAGTAAAGCCTTTTTCCTCCACTCTTTCACTGACGACAACATCAGACGACAATCTGTAGAAGATGTATGTAAATAAAGAGCCCCAAGTGTTCATATATAAAGACCCCCTCAATATTAAAATCTAGAATTTGGAATTTCACAGTGGACCTATTATATAAAATCATTTTTTTTCAAGCTTTTTAATGTAAGGTTGAAACAATGTGCCTCTGTGCTGTTGTGTGCAGGAGCTGCTCCAGCTGCAGTACGATGGAGTGGCTGTGATGAAGATGTTCGACAAAGCCAAAGTCAACGTCAACCTCCTCATCTTCCTCCTCAATAAGAAGTTTTACAACAAATAACCCTCCCCCTGTGCACTGCACTTTATCATCTTCAGCTTTATGTACACACTTTCACTACTTTAGTCATACTTTATATTAGGCACTCACCGTGCCGTCGTCATGGTCAAATATTCTACATGTGAATGTTTTTAAATGTCTTTTACTTTTATCTGTGTGTCCACTGAGGGCGTGAAAGGGCTTGAAGGAGCACAATTGAACTTTTCTGATAAAAGTTTGTCTGATTTGGATCTTACCAATTTTGACACTGTTTTTCACACTGAGCATGTCCATACTTTGAGCAGTTATTAGTAAAACAGTGTACATTCACAAATCTCAAATTAGATTTGTCCAAAATATGGTTACTATTGCAACTTCTGTGCTTGCACCAAAGTCCATGAAAATAACCAGCTGATTTAAGTCTGACTGCATAATTAAAACTTTTATGTTTCTGGTGAAATATGATCCTTTGTTTCTAGTTCTAAGAGTAAACGTGTGTCTACAGCTGGCTGACCATAGAATACACTTTTCAAAGAGTTAAATTACAAAGGAACCAAATCAAACCACAGTTGTCACCATGGAGATGTTTTTGCTTTGTCTGGAATGTTTCACAGTGGAAAACAAGTTACAGGTCAAGTCTGTGGAGAGGTGGCCCCATTTACTCGAAGTATTTTTCGTGCCAATAATACTAACTGAATAAATGTGAGATGGATGTGTTTAATGTCAAATTCCAGACAATATTATACATCTCCTTGGCTGATGGCATAGACCTGGTCTGTCTGAAAAGTTCCATAGTACCCCTTTAAATGACCAAAATAGCCAAAAGATGGATGGCAGAATTGAATGAACTAGACACTATGCAGTAAACTTGTAATGTTGTGTGTGTTTTTCTGTGTGCTGTTGTGTTGCATCTCTCATCTTCATCATCATGTACTAAAATGTCCGATGACCTAAAACGCTCCAGTCTGTCAGCGGGACTCCTGCCATGTCCTGTATCTATTCACCAAATATCAATAAAGACTGTTGTCTGCAGTGTCAACATTGTTTTTTGTTTTATAGTTTACTTTTTTAACATCTTTCTTCTAAAACCTCTTGCAATGTCAAGAGAACATGAATGTAGGAGTAAAACATTACAGAAAGCTCTTAGTTTAGCCGAGTAGTCTGAGGCGAAAGAAATGAAAGGTCCTAAATTACGCAAAACTGACTCTTGAGCATTAAGCCATGTTGGCAATAAGTCTGTCTACATCTCCTTTTAAGGTAACAGCCAATCCTTTACTTTTTGTTTAGTCGAGACTGGCAGTTCCAGGGCTGAAATGATCTAAATGGTTCTAGTGAAGATGTGTGGAGTTTACCATGTGCTGAGGCAGAGCTGGGACCCTCACGAGAAAAGCAGCTGCATTGGGTCTGATTTAAAATGAATTTACAATGTTGATGCCTGCATGCTGGCCACAGACCTCCCTCCACCTTGAGGACCGTCACCTGACTCCTTTCATTCCAGAAGTGGGGACTTGCAAGTCATGACCTGGACTCAAGTCAGACTTGAGTCACTATTTTTAGGACTTGAGACTTGTTAAAATAGACCAAGACTTGAGCCTTGTGACTTGAGAAGACTTTCATTTCTGCTGTAAGATCTTGTCAACACATTTAAAAAGGAAAAAAATTGATTAATATAAATAGTCATATACAAATATACCATGACTTTTTAAATACAGTTGGTTTAAAGACTTGAAATGACTTGAAGCTCAAAGCAGACGACTTGAGTCGACTTGGACTTGTCTTTGACTTGGCACTTGACTTGGACTTGAGACTTTCAAAACAATGACTTGGTTCCAACTCTGGAGCAGAGACACCAAGATACTTTCAAAGATACTTTCAAACACTTGCAGTGCTGATAAGTGCAAACATTGAAATGAGCTTTGATTAACATTTAATTATGAACTAAGACCTGATAGTGATAAAAGCTGTCATCAAGTGGAGTTAATATGATATCCCCATTTAATGACTAACCCTAACACATCTCGACATCACCGTCAGCGTCAGCTCCGTCCCTCCCACTTTATCTCTCGTCCATCCTTCAGTCTGTAGACAGTAGTTCAGTTGGTAGAGCATTCGCACACTAATCTGAAGGTTGGCGGTTCGATTCCAGCTCTCCACATAAACATCACAGGTTGAGCGGTCAGATCCACTGACCCACAGGTTGCTGGTGTGATTCCAGCTCCCACAGATGAATGCTGCCGTTGTGTCCTTGGGCAAGACACTTAACCCACAGTGTCTGCATACACTGGTGTGTGAATGGGTGAGTGGTTCCTTGTTGTAAAGCGCTTTAAGTGCCTTGAAGGTGGAAAAGCACTATAGAAAAATGTGACCATTTACCATCTTTAAGGAGGGGGTTCTCTCAGCTGGGAGACGGAGCCCCACCATCAATAAATAACTTTATCTTATTCTATTGTTGTGGTGTGGTCCTTACTAGTGAATTTCAAGGTTTCCACAATCATGGAAATCCTGGAAAAGTTGTGGAAATTGAAAATGTCATTTTCCAGGCCTGGAAAGTCATGGAATTTTGTAAATTCATGAAAGTTTTGGAAAAGCTGTTGAATTTTAGAATCTCTTTCACTCAACTTCAGTGTTCTGTTAAGTTCTCGTGAGTGTGTTCTGATTATTTCTGAACGTCCTGTACCTTTTGTTTAAAGAGACGACAATAAACGCACTGACAGGATTTTGAATATAAAAAAATATATATATATATAATCAAAACCATAAGGTGAGTGGAAAGTGTTAACATTTCATATTTAGACTAAAAGTCTGATCAATTCTAAACATGTAGGTGCCGTAAAGTCATGGAAAATTCACATCAGGTCATGAAAAAGTCATGGAAAAGTTTTGATATTTTGTCATTGAAAAAGAGTGTGAACCCTGGATTTTGCTTCTAAAAAGAAATGGTGAGACGTGTGGGTGGAAGTGCGTCCTGGTGGAGGATAGGGTTCTCTGGGTGGAGGTCAGCAGTCAGACTCTATCTTCACTCTGTGTAAGACCTCGGTTTAAATCAGCCATGTTCAGTTAAATAGGCCAGAATCAAATGGTGCAGTTCTGTCGTCCTGAGGTGGAACAGCAGGATACGACACGATACGCTGTATGTTCAGCATGTTGAAGCAGACAAAACTCTGAAATGGAAACCACAACCACTGTATTTGAAAACATTTGAGGACATATGAGGTCCCCATGTACAAATCACTGAAATTGTCACACAAAGGCAAAGAGTAACAGTTGGATTTTCCAGTGAAATACACAACCAACAACCCACAAGTTTAACAAACACCTGAAGAAACAGTACTGTGACTTTGTTACATTTGACCACTGATAACAATGAGGTTACTGCTCTGACAAGCGCTCCTAAAAAATGTGTAACTTAAATCTGTCTTTGCTCTGTGGCCCCAGAGCTAGTGATGTGACAGACCCATTCATGTCAAAGAGCTGTTCAAAAATCTCTTTTTATATTTATTTAATGACTGAAGTCGATGTGACAATTTAGGCTTCAACCTGTTTAAAATGGTTCAAACTGAGAGTGGAAGTGTATTTACCCTTTAAAATCATGAAATTCTAAATCAAATGTTGCACTACAGTAATAATTATTCAAAAATATGATGCCAAATATGTTTTTTCTGCACAAAGATCTCACTCGTGTTGCCTTCTCTGCTTCTGTGCTGATTCTTGTATTGGTTCAGCATTAATCAGTGTAAAAAGACATACAGTCCCTGACAAAAGCCTTGTCGCTTATCCATTTTGTTGAAACAAAAGCTTATAACCTGACTTTAAATTAATCGTTTGGTTTTAGAAATGTCTCATATGAAAGCTAAAACCCTCCCAAATTATGCTCAATATACTAAAATAAATTTGCTTCACTGAAGAAAGATTGATCATTTAATGAACACAGAAAGGTCAGATTTTGGCAAGACAAAAGTCTTGTGGCCTTGTCATATGATGCACCCAATCCTAGATTACAGCCTCACCTGTGATCAGTTACTGATCAATCAATTAGTGGGTGTGTATAAAAAGAAGCCCAGCACACCAGACCTTCACATCAACTGCAACTTGACCTCTGACAACATGCCTAAGATCCACCCTGAGACCAAAGCATTAATTATCAAGAGGCTGAAGACCAGATCCACTGCTGAGGTGGCTGACACCTTCAATGTGTCTCAGCATCAAGTACAAAGAATAAGAAAAAGATCTGAAATGACTGGAGATGTTTTTGACAAGCCCAGGTCCGGCAGACCCCACAAGACAACTGCTCGGTAGGACCGTTTGTTGATTCGAAAATCCAAGGCCAGCCCCTTTTCCACTGCAGCAGACTCCACCAGGCCTGGTCACCTCAAGTCCCTGTGTCAACCACAACAGTTTGTAGAATTCTGTCTCGAAATGGCCTCCATGGTCGAATCAGTGCACAGAAACCAGCACTAAACAAAAGGCAATTAAAAAACCATGTGGCATTTGCCAAGGCCCACAGCCTGCTAAAAGGATGGACACTGGAAAAGTGGCAGAAGGTGGATTTCTCAGATGAATAATCGGTTGAATTACATCACAGCCGCCGCAAATATTGCAGGAGACCTACTGGAGCCTGCATGGATCCAAGATTCACCCAGAAAACAGTTAAGTTTGGTGGCAGAAAAATCATGGTCTGGGGTTCCATCCAGTATGGGGCTATGCGAGACATTTGCAGGGTGGAAGGTAAATATCAATATCCTAAAATATCAAGAAGTATTAGCTCCTCTTACATTTCCAACCATAAAAGGGGTCAAATTTTGCAGCAGGATGGTGCTCCATCACATACTTCTATCTCTACATCAAAGTTTCTCAAGGCGAAGAAGATCAAGGTGGTCCAGGACTGGCCAGCCCAGTCACCAGACATGAACATCATTGAGCATGTCTGGGGTAGAATGAAAGAGGAAGCATGGAAGGCAAAACCAAAGAATCTTGATGAACTCTGGGAGGCATGTAAGACGCTTTCTTTGCTATTCCTGATGACTTCATCAACAAATTGTATGAATCATTGTCGAACCGCATGGATGTGTCCTTCAAGCTCACGGAAGTCATACAAGATATTAAATATGGATCTCACAGCACCACTACTTCATTCACTGACGTTATGCAACATATTTTTGTATTTGAAGTAAATTATTTGTTGGCGACAAAACTTTTGTCTTGCCAAAATCTGACCTTTCTGTGTTCATTAAATGATCAATCTTTCTTCAGTGAAGCAAATTTATTTTAGTATATTGAGCATAATTTGGGAGGGTTTTAGCTTTCATATGAGACATTTCTAAAACCAATCGATTAATTTAAAGTCAGGTTATAAGCTTTTGTTTCTACAAAATGGATAAGCGACAAAACCTTTGTCAGGGACTGTACACGTTTGAAAATAAAAATAAAAAGATGAGATCCGGATTCCACCATTCATGATAAGGAAGTGTTCAAAAGAGCTGACTCATTCAGGAATGTCACATCACTTCACAGCCCCTTTCACATGTCAGCAGGGAACACAGGCACACAGCAGAGGCATCAGGAGGTGTGTGTGTCCCTGTCTCAGTGGGACTCTCTGCACTGGACCGGCATTTCCAGGGGGACATAGTTCTGGTGACACACATGAGAAAAAGCAGAGGCCAGATGACAGGGAGCTGCTCTGTGAGGACTGCCCCTGCACACGGACAGGAACGCACTCGGGTCCACCTGAAACAGACATAGTGTAAAATGACTTCAGTGGCCAATGGGACTGGTACTAGATCCACTATAAACAAGAGGCCATATTACACTGTATTCTGATCTATGTGTTTTGTTTCATTCACTCATGTTTAATACAAAACGCTGCATATTTAGGCTGAGATCTTTCACAGAAAACATTTCTAATCTCCAAAATCTGCAGGTAAAAGGAGCTGTTCACGTGGAAACTACAGCTGTGTCTTTTAAGCCCAGCTCCTTGTGTCGCCCGGGATCCAGAACACACATTTCTTTCTGAAGATGATCTTGACACTGGTGAAGCTCCCTAAATT